ACTGTGTGTGTGTGTGTAGGGTGGACCTCGAGGTGGGAGGTCTTTAATCTGGACTTCAGTGAACAATGAACCCTAGAAGAGCCCCAATCTCCCGCAGTGATGAACAGACCACTCTGTACAGATCTCTCAAAAGAACGAGGTGTGCTGTGTATTTCGTGCGTGGGTGTTCATGAGAGAGTAATCTGGGTTACGAGGTTTGTGTGAGAAAATTCAGTGGTTCCTCATAAGCTTTGTGACTCTGTTCTTCTGTCTGTGCTGCTGTGTGACACGCTAGAACTTTAAATTAGGACTGTATGATATGGAAACATCAGTATCCGCATTGTTACATGATTATACTGCTGCATTTTACAGTTTTTGAAAGTCGCTTTGGTGCATTGCTCAGATCAGGGCTGAGATTCTGAAAATGATTTGTCCAGCCTCCACATCATTTAGTCACTTGTGCACATCATAAGAGCCATTTCTCATTGCTTTGGCATAATCATGCAAATGACTTTGTTCAATTGTCTGCTGTTCTCTACATTATCACTTTAGTCGTGCTTTTACTTTTACATGTTTTTACATGTTTTTACATATTATACTTGTTCTCTGGTGAACAGCCCTACCCCCAACACATAAGTCATTACATTCAAAAATGCTGAACCAGTTGTTATAAACTGTGACACATATTTTATACCTTTCCATTAGCCTTTTTAAATGTCTCCTGAACTGATGATTAGATCTAAGGTCAATCATGACTGTCACTGATGAAGAGGATATATATAAATATACATATATATACCGATCAGGCACCTCCTTGTTTCCACTTACTATATAGGTGCACTTTGTAGTTCTACAGTTACAGACTGTAGTCCATCTGTTTCTCTGCATACTTTGTTAGCCCCTTTTACCCTGTTCTTCAGTGGTCAGGACCCCCATGGACCCTCACAGAGCAGGTACTATTTGGGTGGTGGATCATTCTCAGCACTGCAGTAACACTGACGTGGTGGTGGTGTGTTAGTGTGTGTTGCGCTGGTCTAAGTGGATCAGACACAGCAGTGCTGCTGGAGTTTTTAAACAGCTCAGTGTCACTGCTGGACTGAGAATAGTCCACCAACCTAAAATATCCAGCCAACAGCGTCCTGTGGGCAGTGTCCTGTGAGCACTGATGAAGGACTAGAGGATGACCAACACAAACTGTGCAGCAGCAGATGAGCTATCGTCTCTGACTTACATCTACAAGGTGGACTGACAAGGTAGGAGTGTCTAATAGAGTGGACAGTGAGTGGACACAGTGTTTAAAAACTCCAGCAGCACTGCTGTGTCTGATCCACTCGTACCAGTGCAACACACACTAACACACCACCACCACGTCAGTGTTACTGCAGTGCTGAGAATGATCCACCACCCAAATAGTACCTGCTCTGTGAGGGTCCATGGGGGTCCTGACCACTGAAGAACAGGGTAAAAGGGGCTAACAAAGTATGCAGAGAAACAGATGGACTACAGTCTGTAACTGAATGACTTTGTTTACATCTTAAACATTTTGAAGAATTGGTGGAATTCTACTTAAAGGCAAGGAGTCACAGAAGTGTAATGTATATGTCTACATGCGTACAGCATATGTGGTGCCCATATACAGCTACCCTTGATCAAATGAGATGTTTTGTTGATTTTCTAGGTGTAATTAAGTTAATTCATCCTCTACAGAGAACACACTTCTGCACATTTTAATGCACAATTACTGTTTATGTGCTGAATTTAACATACTGGGAGGAAATAAAACATAAAATCTGGCCTGTACAAAGGTTCTGGCACATTTATATTTGATTTTATTTTATAATTGACATTAATCAGAGTATGTATTTCCACACTGCAGCCTCCTGCAACATTCATATTGCAAAGAATACAGCGATAATGATGAACAAATGAATAAATCTCCCCAGACAAAACAATTAGCCGCATGCATCATTTCTTATCCAGAATTTGGTTAAGCATCTAATTATCTGAATAACAGTTCCATTCCTGTTAAATAAGAATTACACCAGTCTCTCCAGGAAGTTCCTGTCCATTTTAGTCCACTAAAGCAGAAATGAGCAGAACAACATTAACGTTCCCACATTCCAGGATGACAACAGTAGGGTGGTCTGGTTCCATCATGTCTGGTTCAACAGACAGACAGAACGCTAGCACAGTTTGACCGACCTGCAAAATCACTGGACCTCAATCCCAATTCTCAGTCTGGAACAGCAGTTGAAATAGGTACACATGACCTCTGGGTGGAATGAGCAGCCAGTTCATGGAAGAAAGCACTAAAAAGGACAGAAACAATCTCGAGAGGATGGTGTCATCCTTACCAGACAGGATCAGTGTTGTTATTTAAGGGGAATTCCACTGAATTTTCAAAATTTCTGCATAATTCAGTCAATGAGATGTAAACAAAGTCATTAAGAGTGGTTTAATATGTATGTGGATTATTTTTTACAGTGGTGGTGATAGGACCCATGGGTTGCCATGTATATACAAATATAGCCAGTTTATTTACTATCCAGAACCACCAGTGAACCTACACGTGCCTTCTGAGTTTTTATAATTAATGTTGATGATGTTAAAATCATGGTAAATCTGAACTTTTCTCTGGGGAATATTTTGCCTTATATCTTCCTGCATGTACCTCTTTGTCATAAATGGGTTTTAAATAATACGTTTAAGGCCAAAACTTTCGGCCTCAGACATCAGGCAGCTTATTCATAACCACTTCATGTAATGACTGTGTGAGGGAGCTTTTAGAGGACTCAAATGTCTGGTTCCTATCACGACCACTGTGAATGGTTCTGACTTTTATTTCACGTCAAATCACTCTGAATGACTTTGTTTACATCTTAAACATTTTGAAGAATTGGTGGAATTCTACTTAAAGGCAAGAAGTGCAATGTATATGTCTACATGCGTACAGCATATGTGGTGCCCATATACAGCTACCCTTGATCAAATGAGATGTTTTGTTGATTTTCTAGGTGTAATTAAGTTAATTCATCCTCTACAGAGAACACACTTCTGCACATTTTAATGCACAATTACTGTTTATGTGCTGAATTTAACATACTGGGAGGAAATAAAACATAAAATCTGGCCTGTACAAAGGTTCTGGCACATTTATATTTGATTTTATTTTATATTTTATTTTTTCCAATCTGTTAAACTCAAATAAATACAAAAAGTGCACCAGGATTGACATAAAAATATTGACCAGAGGTGTTCATACTTCTGCATACAGCTGAATGTGGATTCCACTCTTTCTCTACTCTTTCTGTCCACCACTCTTTCTCTACACTTTCATCTATAATAGCTGCCTCCACGCCTGAAGGAATGTTTCACCCAAAAGCAGCACTGCTGGTGGTAAATGAACGTGAACAGAGCCAGACAGCTTTATGCAAATGAGTCCAGCAATCAGGTCCATGCAAGTCTTCAGTCACTGGGAGCAACATTAGCATTTTGAGGCACATTTCTCAAGAACTCTGCACTGCAGAGGTTACATTCACTGTCTTCCAACAGAACAAGACGCACTATGTGTAGCAGATATGAAGTTCCTCGTATGCAATAGTGATTTTCTAAGTAAAAATAAGTGAACACACTAAAATATGACTTTTTCTGCTCATTTTAGTGCACAATTTCTATTTATTTGCTGAGTTCAACCCTTGTGTGCTGTTGGTGTGTTTGTTACTCAGTGGTCTGGTGACCCACCACATTATGGTTTTATTAAATCAATACAGCCATAACAATTTATATAAAAATACCAGATGTTTAAAATATCTCAGGTGTCCAGCGTAGGGTTCTCCTTTAGCAGCTGTAGCCAGTCAGCAGCCTGTCCATGTTGTCCACCCTCACACACACATATACAAACACATACACACACACACGCACATATACAAACACATACACACACAGACACACACACACATAAACAGCAGGCCATGTAGGAGGAGAACAGAGTGAAGGACACAGCACCTCCACACTTTTATTCCCCGTGGGTTCACCCAACACCACATGTGTAATATAAATGTGTGGAGGGTGAACAGAGTGAAGACACTGAAATGAGTTATTTTATATGTTCTTCACAGAAAATGAGCAAAGGCCATTTTCTTTTGGTAAATGTTGAAAATTTGAAACACCACACAAGGGTTAAGCGTTAATACATTGGAAAATAACATATGTAAAATATAAAATGTGCCATAACTTTTGCACAAGCCATGTTTTGTGTTTTAAGTTTTCCCAATATGTTAAATTCAGCAAATAAACAGTAATTGTGTTTTCAAATGTGCAGAAGTGTGCTGTCTGTAGAGGATGTGTAACTTATTTTTACTCACTCCAAATTATCATTATTGTTTTGTAGTTTTTTCTTCATTATACTTATTTTCTTATTCCATTTGAAAACGCCCTCTGACCTTTACATTGATGGAACATTTTACGACAAATGGACCAACAGAATGGTCCAAAATTAGGCTATAAAGTTACTTCTTTGCAGTTTTTCTTACAACAGTGATGATAAACACACTGTTAGAAATAAAGGTTCTGTGCAGGTACATTTTTCGTTCATCAAGGTACAAACAATGTACGTTTCCTCAAAGGTACAACAGTGGTTTTAGGGTCCAATTGTGAACCTTAAATAAGTTTTTCCAGGTGAAAAGTACACATTTGTACCTTTTCATAATCTAATGATTTAAAACAGAACAGTAAAATAAAAGCCTGGAGACGAGACGGGGTGTGTGGAGTCAGTACAGCTTAGAAAATATCATTTCAGTGGATTATGGTTCAGTTATGTTCCCTGACTAAAGGTACTGAGATGTACCCTTGAGGGTCCCACCTCAGTGACAGTAGTGGCACTGCCCCAGTGACAGTTTACTACCTTTATTTCTGAGAGTGCAGGCTTACTCTACAGCATATAGTCAAAGATGGAACATCAGACACAGAGATATTGTGTGGTCAGTGCTGGGTGAGGCTGTGTTTATGTGTGAGTGTCCTACCCTGCTGTCCTCCTGGTACTCCCACTCGGGGCTGAAGCTGTGGAGCGTGTGTCCGCTGGAGCAGTTGGAGAACTGGAAGAGGCTGGAGAAAATGCGGCGGTTCTCCGGGGTGTCTGGAAAGATGGCGTCCTGGTAGTTGATGGCATGAGGAAGGATGCTGTAGTCTTCATCCATCCTGTTTGTGAAAACACACACATTAGAACACTAGCAGGACATCTGAACGTCAGCAGAGTTCAAAGTGTGTGAAATGGTATAAAGTCCACAAGCGCTCAAAAGTTTTAATAATTGCTGTATTTTACTCTTCACTCGTCACTCCACTGCTGCGCTCCCTTCACTGGACTCCATGAAGCTGCGCGCATCAGATTTAAAACGCTGATGCCTACAAAGCCAAAAACGGACCAGCCCTTCCTACCTAAAGGCAATGGTCAAACCTCGAACTGCACCTCGAGCCCTTCCCAACGCGTGGAAGACAAGCATCAAGACTCTTCTCTGTCCTGACAGCCAGGTGGTGGAGTCTCTCGTGGCCTTCAAACACAGACTGAAGACCATCTCTTTATACAGCACTTAAGGGAGCACTAAGTTAAGTACTTATTGAAATGTATTGTATTGAACCATGTCTGATTACTGCTTCTTTTTCTTTATGTATCAACATGGGCTTTTGTTCTAAGGAGCTACTCCAGAGGAGTAGCTTTAAGCAATAGAACACTCAAGGTTGTGTGTTAAGGCGAAATACCATCACGGCTGTGATTTGGTCGCAGTAGATCATCACAGCCGTGACGTTATTCGCAATAACACACATCCTCGAGTGTTCTATTGCTTTTATACAACAGTTAAATAAATAAAGTAAGAAATCAATAAACTGGTTTGTGAACGTGGCATTTAATACGCTTTAATGTTAGGAGTTCCTTCTGCCGAAGTTCTTGTTAGTTCCTTAACAAGCAGCTTTTTGCTATGTCAGAGTAACGAGCTCCGCTCACTCACTGCACAGCCAGCAGTTCGTTCTCCAGCTCCTTGTTTTGTTCCAGTCAGTCTGTAAAGCATTTTTACAGCCCATTTAGTTTGGCGAATGGTATTCGGTTCATTTCTGGCTGATTCCAGGTTGTTTAGCGGTTCTTCTGTCACAGCTGCCGACTGAAAAGCTGCTCAGTGGTGACGACAGTTTGGGAATTTAGTGCAGTCTCATCTTCAGAGTCTGACCAAATCGGCTGTCGGTCAAATGTGATCTTAAAAGTGTCCATTTTCTGTTTGTGGCAAAGTAAGAAGTAAAAATGTACAAATGGCTTGAGGGTCTCCTACAGCTGTCAAAGTCGTTGCTTAGCAACGGCATCTCAGAGGAGTGATGCATGGCAAATAACAGCATGGTTAGAACGCTTCTCAACCAATCAGCTTGCGTGGCCGGAACTAACTGTTGTATAATTTACTCTAAGCTGTTTGTACCAGCTAAGATACTTTCTCTGAGTAGACAACAGAGCTGTTGTGTAAGTCGCTCTGGATAAGAGAATCTGCTGAAAGCTGTAAATGTAAATGTAATAATGCATTATTACACTGTGATACTGCACTGTGAAACTGTGACAGTGTTACTTGTGGAGAATGGACTTTCTATTAATGATGCGATTTAATGCAACGGCGCTGTTTGAACACCAAAGTTTGTGAATGATCAGCACTCAGCTACACCTCCCTCCAGCCCTCCTCCTGCTCCGGCTCCAGTGTCGTTAGTTAGCTGTGCAGCACAGTTATAGTGATCATCCAGTTCCAATTCCAGTTTTGTTCAAAATATCGTGAGAATGCCAGACTGTGATCCCCGTATTGTGAATGAACTGTGGGCTGAGTGTGTCGTTACACCAATATATGCTATTGCTCTCTCTCCCTCTCTCTCTCTCTCTCTTTCTCTCTCTCTCTCTCTCTCTCTGTCTGGCTGTCTCTCCATCTTTGGGTTGACTAAATCCAACTATAGCCTTTGTGTTTGTCCTGTATCACTTTCTATCTTTATCCTTCTTTCTCCTGTTTCTGTGCTCCTTTTTCTCCCTCTATTTGTCTCTTTCTCTATATCCTTTACTCTTCTTTCTCTCTCTCACACCCTTTCTCTTTAACTGCGTTTCTCTCACTCTCACCTTTTTTCTTACTCTAACTTTCGTGTTCTTTCTCTCCTTCTCCTTTCTCAGCCTCTCTGTCTTTCTCTTTCACTCTTTCTTTCCCCCTTTTTCTCACCATCTCGTTTGTTCTATCTCTCCTGTGCCCTCACTAATGCAGTCTTTATACCTCTCTTATACACCCTCTCTCTCATTCTTTCTGTCTTTAACTCGTCTCTCTATCTCACCCCTATCTTTTTCTTTCTCTTTAACTTTCTGTTGATCTTTCCCTCCCTCTCTCCTTTCTGCGCCTCTCTCTGTCTCTTTTTCACCGTCTTAAACTGTCTGTCTCTTTCTTTCTAAACTCTCTCTATTTCTCTCTCCCTCTCTCTCACCATCTCACTTGTTCTCTATCTTTTTAACTCCACCTCTCTCACCATCTCACATGTTCTCTTTCTTTTTTTACTCTCTCTATTATCTCACTTGTTTTTTCTCTCTCTCTCTTTAACTCTCTCTCACCATTTCACATGTTTTTATTTTGTCTTTTCAACTCCCTCTCTCACCTTCTCTCTACCTTTCACCATTTCACTTGCTCTCTCTCTCTCTCTTACTCTGTCCTCTCTCTCTCTTGTTCTCTCTCTCTCTCCCTCTCCCACACTGTTCTCTCTCTTCCTCTCTCTCTCTACCTCACTCTCTTGTTCTCTCTCTCTCTCCCTCTCCCACACTGTTCTCTCTCTCTTCCTCTCTCTCTCTCTACCTCACTCTCTTGTTCTCTCTCTCTCTCTCTCCCTCTTTCTGTTTTCTCTTTCCCTCTTGTTCTATCTCTCTGTCTCTCTCCCACAGTTTTCTCTCTCTCTCTCTCTCTCCCTTTCTCTCTCCCCACTGCTCTCTATCTCTCTTGTTCTCTCTCTCTCTCTCACCTGAGGAAGAAGATGTAGGAGTTGTTCTCCATCACTGAGTGGGACTGGCAGTGCAGGTATCCGAGGCCGGACACGTTGAGTCGGGACCCCGCGGGGACCTCCAGCATGCTGCCCCACGCCTGGTCACACAGCACCTCCACCTCCGCCGCGTACAGGAGGCCGTGCTGCGCGTGCGGCTCCGCGTGCAGAGCGAGCACTCTGGCGTACAGGATGATGTGCGCGAGCTCCGCGCGGCAGCCCTCGCTCAGCGGCCTCCACTCAGTGGGCAGCAGGCAGCCCGAGACCCAACACACGGAGCACGAGAGCAGCACGAGCAGCGCGCGCGCTGACATCATCTCTCTCTAAAAAAACCCCAAAACTAATTACAACTAATTAGCGCCCTGTTTCAGCTCTCTCTCTCTCTCTCTCTCTCTCTCTCTCTTTACATATACCTCTGTCTCCCTGTATCTCTCTCTTCACGGTATTTTTTTCGCTCCTTATTTATTTATTTACTTCTCTCTCTATACTTATTTATATATGCATTTCACTCCCTCTCTCTCTCTCCCTCTCTCTCTCTCTCTCTCTCTCTCTCTCTACCCATCAGTACATCCATAGCAGTCAGTGATGTCCATGGCAGGTTAAAGGAGTGCAGTCTGCAGTCTGTTCTCCTCTAATAATCTCCAACAATCTCCCCTCACAGCCTCTTCTGCCCCTCTGCCCCCCAGCGCGGCCTGGACCAATCAGAGTGCGCCAAAGTTTCTCCAGCCAATCGTTGCTCGCCTCCTCTGTAGCAGCGCTCAGCAGTGCTGCGTGTAGACGGACCCTCGAGTTTCCATTTGTCTGAATGGAGCTGAAAACTTCTGAGAAACTTTCCAAATAATGGATCTCTTTTATTGTGAACATCTTTTTTAATTTTAAAACTAAACAAAAATCAAGATGTACAAAAGTAACACAGATGTAAGTACAAATAAATGCACCCCACCCCCCCACCCCCAGCTAGAAAAACCAGTATGTGCTGTGTTTTGGATGCTGGTATGCTGGTCAGCAGCAGTGGAAACTGATAAGCTGATCACCTCCAAAACCAGCACATGTTGTGTTTTATTGCTGGTATGCTGGTCAACCAGCATGACCTTGCTGGGGTGAGCAGCTAAATCAGAACCAAACCATATTCACATGATTTTTTCTTTCAGTGTGATTTTTCAGTTTTCAGTCGTCTTTCTTATGTTATGGTTACATTGTCTGCTTTTTATTTTTCAGTTTCCTTTTTTTGTTTCTTTATTTGTCTTGTTTTGTTGTTCTTGATTTTTTTACTCTCATTGTTTTGTATGAATTGTTTTGTTAATTGTTACCACATTATTTTTGTTATGTATGGTATGTCTACTGGACCCCAGGAAGAATAGCAGCTATCACAATAGCAGCTAATGGACATCCTAAAAATAAACACAAGATAAATAAATAAATAAAACAAAATAAACAAATAAGCCAGAACAGGCCAGCTTAGACCAGCATGTAATGGTTGCTGGTCTGTGCTGTGTTTTTTGTTTATTTTTATCTAGTAGTACCAAAACACTGCTGTGTACACTATGCATATAGTCATGGAAGTGAAGAAGAGAAGTATGGACCTGTATTAAAGGGGAATTCCACCAATTTTCCAAAATTTCTGCACATTTAAATCATTGATATAAACATATGCCGGTTCAGCAAATGGACTGCTCTGCTGCTGCTCACACAGCTTAGCACTTTATTTTAGACCAAAAGGATCCAGAAAGAGAAGAATGGCATTGACTTTATTTCCTATGCTGATAGATGTGGGGTGTAATAACCACTTCAAATCTCTTATGGCATTCTAAGAACCCTTGTTCTAGATAGTACCAAAAATGGTTCAGCTATTCTTACGATGTCATTTTTGTAAAAATAGCAGAACCGCAGAACCCTTTTTAAAAAGGTATATACAACACATTCTCTATCAATCTGAAGAACCCTTTCACAGTGCAAAGAACCCTTTAATCATGCACAGGGTTCCTTGAGTGTTCATGGTCCTATATAGAACCATGAAAACTCAAAGAAGCGTTGTGTGATTAAAGGGTTCTTTGCATCATGGTTGATGGAGAATGTGCTATAGATGGTTCTATATAGAAACCTTTTGAAAAGGGTTCTAGATAGCACCAAAAATGGTTCAGCTGTTCTTATGATGTCAAGCTTGTAACAATAGCAGAACCCCTTTTGGTGCTGTACAGAACCCTTTTTAAAAAGACATATACAACACATTCTATATCAATCTGAAGAACGCTTTCACAGTGCAAAGAACCCTTTAATCATGCACAGGGTTCTTTGAGTGTTCATGGTTCTGTATAAGAACCATGAAAACTCAAAGAACCCTTTGTGTGACTAAAGGGTTCTTTGCATCATGGTTGATGGAGAATGTGCTGTAGATGGTTCTATATAGAAACCTTTTGAAAAGGGTTAGTGCTGTCTCAAAGCAGCTTTACAGAAAAGCAGTTTAGGAAGAATCAAAAGAATACAAAAGAAAATAAAAAGAAAATAAGAGAAAATAAAAGGAGTCCATGTACAGACGCAAGGAACTGAATCCGGGTCCAAGCCCCCCATGAGCAAGCCAGAGGCCACAGTGGCAAGGCAAAACTCCCTTGGAGTAACCTCTAGAGGAATCCAGGCTCAAGGGAGGAACCCATCCTCCTCTGGTCGACCCCGGATGAGGAGAGAATGACGTACTAATGAATGACAGAGCAGAGTGTTTTTTACTTACATGCTAATAAAACCTTTATTAATTTATTCTTCCAGTGTGATTTTGGTCCAAAGTTATTTACTCCTTTAAGTTCCAAGATATTATTGTTACTATAACAACATCACTAATAAGCCTCTTTGCCTCTGTACATTGTTAATGTTTTCATTCTATATCGTTGCTGTTGGAAGAAAACCTCGTATCTCCATTTTTCAGCTTTTTACATAACTTGAAGTAAACATAGTTAAGAGGCAAGATAGCTAATAAGCCAATTTGGCCACCTCAGGCTTTACAATGAATAAGAAAAGAGAAATTAATTGTTAACTGTAATTATTTATTAATCTTCAGCTAACATTACATAACTGTGTCAGGCCTGTTTGAAACCAAAAAAAAAAAATAGTTCTGTATTTTACTTTATGATGTTTTCATACACATCCTATTCCAGTTTTAAAGCTCCAATGTTGTGGAAAATCAAAATTTCTTCATTTTTATTAATAAAAGAGTTTGAAACAGTCACATATCATTCACTCCCCAGTCCATACAGTCCATATATGGAAACTAGGCTGCAAAAACAGCCTATATATTTATTTAAATGTTTTTGTGATGTCATGAAAAAGCAACACATTTTCATATACATTCGCCTATTCAGCCTAGGGCAGCTTAGGCCCGCCCACCCACAATGAAGTTGGGAAAAATACAGAGTAGCCAATCAGAAGAAGAGCTCATTTAGATATAACGCTCTTAAAGGCACAGTGACAAAACAGCTTGTTTCATTTTAGAGCGTAGAGATGGAAAATGATCCTGTGAAAAATAAACAGAAAACTACACAGACAGCATAAAAGAAAAAATATAGGCACAATTAAAAACTTGGATTTGAGCCCTTAAATCTTTTTTCTTCTGCATACTTTCTTGGCTTACCTAAGACATTTTAAAGCACTGTGTATGTGTTTTTAAGGTCAGGAGTTTGAACAGGTGAAGAGACGAACCCTATTTTATTGCTGCATTGGTTATCAGTGCATACACAGACAGATCATACCTGAACAGCCCCATCTAGTGTACATATGAAAGCACTACAGGGGCAAATACTGCAGCATAGGCCAGAAACGAGCGCTGTGAAAAACAGCATGACTTCCATCATATACATTACTGAAATAACACAGAAGTCAGATTGATATAGACTAAATTATATATCAGACATAAATATATAATATATATCAGACATAAGCATATGTATATATATATATATATATATATATATATATATATATACACACATACATATGCAGTGCACACACATATGTATACTTCTGCCATCAACATCGAAGGGGTTTCATGTACTCTGGTGGACCCTGGGTTGAGAGTCATGGTGGCCTAGCCTTAGGTGATACTGCATGGACACAGCACATGCATATGCTAGGAATAAGGAATAAGCTGCTGATTTCTGCCATGCAACAAAAAAAGGAGCTATGACCTGTAGGCCTGTGGATGGCACTTCACAGTAGGGGAGCTGATATGGATCTACAGCCTTAAAAAGAAAGAGGGGCCGGTCCCCTAAACTGGACAGTCACCGGATGGGGTCATGCTGGATCCTGGAGAGGGGAAGTTGTATATAGGATGCTGCTGCCCCCCTGTGTGTGCAAAAGGCTGTTTCCCTTTAGGGGCTGCAAAAGACTGCAGGGGGTTTCAATCCCCTATAATGTCGCCAGAGCAGCCATGTGAGTCAATCTGCCTAGGTGGGGAAAATACCGGGTCCTGGAGTGCCCCCTCGGCACTTAAACCCCTTCAGATGCATGCCTCCAGCACCAGTCAGCATGGGCGACTCCCCAGCCAAGGGAGTCAACTATTCAAGCACACCACAGGAGGAGAGGGCAGCCCCCGGTTTGGTTCAAAGACTTTGTGGTTCCTCGGGGGCGAGGACATAAGAAGAGGGGTTGTGTTGCTGGTTCAAGAAGTGTATTGGCATGTTAGTTTTGAGTTAGAGCTGTGTGTGTGTTGTAGTGTAGTATATATACTATTTGTCCAAAAGTTTGTAGACATCTGCTCATTTACTGTTTCTTATGAAATCAAAAGTATCATTGCTGTGAGGATTTGATTGCATTCAGCCACATGAGCACGAGTGAGGTCAGGTACTAATGTTGAATGGTTAGTTCTGGATCACAAACACCACCCCAACCCATCTCAAAAGTATTGGATGGAGCCCCATCACTCCAGGGAACGCTGCTCTACTACTCCACAGCACAATGCTGGGTCCCTCTATATTCCTATATGCGACGCTTGGCATTGGGCACGGTGACCTTAGGCTCATGTGTGGAATCCTATACTATGGGAATACTTTTCTATGGCGATTATAAGCTGAACGCCTATTTTAGCTGTGGGTGCTCCTAAAAGTAGCCAAAATCACTAATTTTAAAGAGTGTCTTGTTATGTATATATATATATATATATATATATATATATATATATACATAACAAGACATATAACAATATATATCATATATATATAATATAAACACACACAAATATATATATATATATATATATATATATATATATATATATATATATATATTTATATATAAAACAATATGGTCATATTCATTATGCAGAATAGAAATGTATGTGTGTAGGTGTATACACCTATACTTACATACACAAGGTGCTGTCATGAACGCCCCTGCGTTGTGTAAGTTTCTCTCCACAACGCAAAGTGATGAACGGAAAGCACAACACTATGAAACGTGCGTCACGCCGCGCGTGACTCTGGTAAAGGTGACTGTGCGAAAGGCTCGCGGCGATGGCGGAGGGAAATCCCGAGCTTGGGACAAACCGAGGAGGAGCTCAGCCTGCGGTTCTGCGCCTGCGCAGGAGGAGAGCAGATCTGTAGCTGCAGAGGATCGACTTAACAGCGCCGCTCGTCCTCTTAAAGGGCAATTCCACCATATTTTCACAACCTCTGAGCAGTTCAATGGTCAAAATATTAACAAGGTCATTCTGAGTGGTTTGATGTGAAATACTTCACTGTAGAGAAACTTTCCGACTTGGATTTCTTCATAGTGGTGGTGATAGGAACCAGGGGGACCAGGAGTTGCGATATTTAGAGTGCATGTATATTGATTTTATTTACTATCCAAAAACCTCCAGTGAACCTACAAGGGCCTTCTGAGTATTTAAAAGGTAACAATGATGATGGGAAATAGAGATAAATTTTAAAAATAAACAAGTTTTATTGGGGACTGTATTGCTTCACACCACCCTGCATGTACCTCTCTGCATTGAGTGCATGTTTTAAGAGAAAAGACTGTCACAAAACAACGTCTCAGACATCAGGCAGCGCGTTCATACTGAGCCCTGATGATGACATCCTGTATAAATAAAAATAATGCGTGGTCACGCCTTATTAACGCGTGGGAATGAGATCCTAATGTGTGGCCACGACTTAGTAAGGCGTGGGAATGTGATGATTAAGTCCTGGCCATGACTTAGTAAAGCGTGGGAACGAGATCACGGCTTACTAAGTCGTGGCCACGCATTAGGATCTCGTTCCCACGCTTTACTAAGTCGTGGCCACGACTTATTTTTATTAATACAAGATGTCACCAGCGGGGCTCCGTACATTCATGACTTTTTATCATGTAATAACTTTTTGTGATGGGCGGCCCGGTGGCACAGTGGGTAGCGCTGTCACCTCACAGCAAAAATGGCCTGGGTTCGATTTCCGGCTGGGTGACCAGGGTCATTTCTGTGTGAAGTTTGCCTGTTCTCCCTGTGTCTGCGTGGGTTTCCTCCGGGTGGTCCGGTTTCCTCCCACAGTCCAAAAACATGCAGTCAGGCCTATAGGACATGCTAAAATTGCCCCTAGGTGTGAATGTGTATGTCTGTCTGTCTGCCCTCCGATGGACTGGCGACCTGTCCAGGGTGTATCCTGCCTTCCGCCCAATGACAGCTGGGATAGGCTCCAGCACCCCACCGTGACCCAGAAGGATAAGTGGTTTAGATGATGTATGTATAACTTTTTGTGATGGAGCTTTTAGAAGCAATAAACTCTCTTCAGACGTCTGGCTCCTATCTTCACAGCGGGTTTTTTTCTACAACAGAGCATTTCACACCAAACCACTCCGGACGACTTTTGTTTACATCTCAACGACTGAACGATGCAGAACTTTGGAAAATTCGGTGGACTTCCCCTTTCCGCCTGTCAGCGTAGTGTGTAGATCTGCGAGGGAGTGAGTGAGTGAGCGAGCGAGGGAGCGAAGAGAAACGTCAGAACCAGGAACCAGTTCGTTTCCCCAAACAAGTCAAGTACGCAGAAAGAGAAAGAAGCAGAAAAGAAGCAGAAGTGAAGCTCGGTAGGTAAATCAGGCTGATGGACGCTGCTTACTAATTCAGTCCACTGTTTTTCCTGCTTCGGAGATGCGTGGCTTTTAATGACAGGCGAGTTTTGACGAACTGCTGCGGGAAGCGACGCCAGTTCGGAGGTCTGTAGTTTTGCTAGCAGGTTAACGTCGACAACTGACGGTTAGGCTGTGTCTAAAGTTGTTTTCTACATGTTGTCAGTGTCCAGTTAGTCTGAGGGCTTTAGTGAGTCTCTCTGTCCTGGATTAGTGTATTTTCGACTGGGCTAACTTAACTTATCCACGACGTGTTATGTAAGAAAACGAAAGTAAAAGTTGAAGCCAGCTAACAGTAAAGACAGTACAGTATGTGCTGTTTCATTTTAAAGGAGAATTCCACCAATTTTTCCAAAAATTCTGAATAATTCAGTCTTTGAGATGTAAACAGAGTCATTTCGGAGTGATTTGATGTGAAGTGCTTTATTGTGGAGAAATGTACAGACTCATTTCTTTACAGTGGTGGTGATAGGAACCAGGGGGGCACAATGTCTACAACACAGATATAGCCATTTTATTACCTATGCCAAACCACCAGTGTACCTACACGTGTCCTCTGAGTTTTTAGATGTAATATTCATGATGGTAAAATAGTGGTAAATCTGATAATAATGTGTTTTGGGGACTATTTTTTCTGTTCAGTGCCCTGTGTGTACCCCTCCGCCATGAATTGGTTAAAATAAACGGATTAAAATACGTTCTAAGCCTAAACTTTATCACAAAACTGTCGGAAAACAACATTTCAGACATCAGGCAGTGAATTCATAACTATTTTCGAGCAATAGCTGTCAGTGAGGGAGCTGTTAGAGGTGGACGTCTGGTTCCTATCAACACCACTGTGAACAGTTATGACTGTGAGTCTCTCCAGTCTGGAGCATTTCACACCAAACCACCCTGAATGGCTTTGTTTACATTTTCTCTAGTCAATTATATTGAATTTTTGAAAATCGGTGGAATACCCCTTTAACGTTAATGATATAGCTGCTCTGCTGGCTAAACTGCTCTAACAAGCGTTCAAAACCTGACACATTTTCTGAGCTGGTTTACTGATTAGACTATTGACATCAGACTCAGAAATCAGACACAGCAACATGTCTGAGGGGCTCACCCAGAGGCAGATTTAGTGATTCTGGGGTCCTAAGCAAAAGACAGGAATGGGGTCCACCCTGAATTCACTTTAAATTAAATTATTGACGCAGCTGTCTACACAGCAAATATCTTACCAAGTGAAACTATCTTGAATCCGGTCGTTATATCAAATATTTGTCTTTTTGAGATGGTTGCAAGAATATTATAACGTTATTTACAAACATTTTTTACTTAACTATTTTTTATTAAGTGAAATATATCACAATATTGGCAGATTATTTTGCCTTTTTATTTTTATCCTATCCAACTCCACCCACTAGTTAGGACACAATCACACAATACAAGCAGTGCTAGGAGGTTAAAGGCAAACACAGGCTTCCCCTGAGTCTTGTGAAGCGCCACTGCATCTTTTCAAATTGCCGCTAATGCAGTGTCATTAGACAGCTGAACACGCTTGGAGGAGAACACTAACCGCCAGTTCTGTTGGGACAGCTAGCAGATACCTGCGCTGGCTTGCATCACGCTGACTGATGGAAGGAGACGGGGGGAGCCATCCTTGGACTCCCGGCCACGGATGGCTGTATCATCACCGTGGCTCGAACTCACGATCTCCTGACGACAGGGCCAACACTTGGATGACTTTGCCTGTTTTATGAGACGATGCTTGAAATACACAAAGTGATCTGCCAGCATTGTGAGATAGTTTGTACAGAGTAAAGCAGAAACAAAGTGATGAGCAGAAAGATTAGTTTTTCCAGGAAGTCATAAGTAGCTTAATCATGTTACGTTTTGAACAAGGTCATTTGTAATGTGAATTGATTACTTTTATGACTAATTACACCAGCATTAACACCAGCGTTATGTACTGTGTGCTGAGCCTGAGCAGCACTCGGTTCTGATTGAAAAAAATGATGTCAGCGTCAGAAGTCTAGTGATAAACTTTGCTTTTCCCATCTTTTTGCATTTCTTTGCTACACTTGAATGTATGTATATATGTATATATGTATATATATAAGACCCACCCTGGGCTAATCTAGCTAGTTTGAAGCTCCAAACAGTGAGGGACCTCGCCTTTTGACCCAGCTTCTTCTTTTGGTTCTGATTCTGAAGGCTTTGTGTTTTGAGTCTTCTTGTCCTGTTTCTCTACCCTCCTCATTCAGAAACAGCCTGTGGAAAAGATGGCATCGAGTTCGCCCATGGTGAATGGGGACCTCACTTCACCCCGAGGGTCCCACGGTCCAGGCACTTCTCATGTAGAGGAGACCCTTCAACAGATGAACGTCCTCATCAAGGAGAATAGGGAGCTGAAAGGTGAGCTTGTTGCCCTGTTGTTAGCAGCACCATGATCACCATAACACCAATCAGATGCCATGTAGGAGAATCCTCAGTTTCCATTCGTTTACTGTCAAAGGGCCCATATTCTACGCTTTTCTAGTCCACTTATGACATTTGTGTGGTTTTGTGTGCTCAAACCTGTCTTAATTCATTTTTGCATAAACATTCTTCAGCCTCTCTTTGTCTTGACGCAGCTGTCAACTCTGCAAATATCTTGGCAAGTGAAATCATCTTAAATCTAGTTGTTACATCAAATATTTCTCATTTTGAGATTGTTGCAAAAATATTATAAGGTTATTTAACTTATTTCCAAACATTTTACACTTAACTAATTTTACACTTAACTAATTTTATTAAGTGAAATGATATCACTGTATCGGCTGATCATTTTGCCTTTTTTATTATTATTATTATTATTATTATTATTGTATCCAGTTTCAACCACTAGTTAGGACTCCCCCAATTACCAAATACCCCAAATACCGCCAGCGCTAAATGTTTCCCTGCTCCCTATGTGGTGCACTATGCGGGTCTTTAAATAATGACTCAGGCACCAAAACAGTGCATAATATGTCTAACAAAGAGTATTTGAGATTAAGCTACATGTGTACAGTTCCCTGTAGGGCACTATTTAGGCAAAGAAGAAGTCAAACTTCCATAACTCACATATATCAGGAATGCTCCCATATATGTAGGAAGTAGGGAGCCATTAGAGAATCAGCCTCAGAATTAAACCGACTGTTTTTGTTATTGTGCTTTTAAGATTGATTAAGATCCATCATTCAAAAGACCTCTGTTCTGATTGACTGTCCGGTATCGTGCCTCAGAACAAAAACGTCTCCTCTCCTTCACTGTGAAAGGGTGGGGCTGAACTGCTCTAGGCTGAATAGGTGAATGTATATAAATGTATTATTTTTAGTTTACATGTATGGACTCTTTGAACTGGGGAGTGAACGGTACATGTTGACTCTTGCAGACTCTTACTAATTTTCTTAGGAAAATGTGTTTTTTTATGATTTGGCCCTTTAATATTTGAATCGTGGGTCATATAAGTTTGTAATTTAAAGGGCTCGCATTCTAAATTGCTGTAGGCAGAATGGGTAGATATGTGATAATGCACTGCTTTTTGTGACATCACAAAAAAATAAATTCAGTTTTGATGCTCAGTTTACATCCAAATGGGCTGCAGAGTGGATGCTTAATTTAGAAACTGTTATATATATATATATATATATATATATATATATATATATATATATATATATATATATATATATCAAGAGATATCTTCAAAATGGTAACTTTACAGGAGAAGGAAAAAACATACTTTACTTTTAATGTAAGTCAATGGAACCAGACTTTTTTCCAAGTGGTTTTGGGTCATTTCTTTAGGTCCATTCTTCATGAAATTTACACACAATGTAAAGGACAACAGGCATTTTTGAATTATGTCAAAAACTGGAAAACAACAAAAATTGAGGAGATATATATATATATATATATATATATATATATATATATATATATATATATATATATATATATATATATTATATAGATATATATATACTTAGTATATAATGAACTTAGTGTTTTAAATATATATTTTTACATACTGTGTACATACTTTGCATACACCCTTGTAATGAAGCCACCACTATCATGGATTAGCTTCAAATTAACTGGGCAATCTCTTGACTCGACTGTTTATGTTTCTCATTGAACCATTTTCCTGTTTTTCAAAAGGATTCATTTTCTTTTAAACACCTCTGTAACAGAATAACAGAACAGAACAGACTTTCTCTCTTGCTTCCTCCTACAGAAGCTCTCAAGCAGACTAACCTGACGATGAAGGAGAGGTTTGAGGGTCTGACTTTGTGGAAGGAAAAGCAGAAGGAGGAGAGAAACTTTCTGGAGAGTCGGCTTGAGGAGGCGAGGGAAAGAGTGCGTGCTCTGGAGGCTGAAAATGAGCTGCTTAAGAAACGAGTGCAGGAGCTGGAGAGCCATGCTGCTGCAGAAGAGGTGAGACTACACACTGTTAGTGTGGGATTACATAGCTTTATTACACAGATTTGTAATTATTTTTAAAGGATATTGAATCATCATCCGAAATATTCTTGGTTTGTATTTGTTTACAGTCATATGCAAAAGTTTGGGCGCCCCGGTCAAATGACATGCTTTTTTGGTTGATATTCTCATGAAAATAAGTGAACACATCCTCTATCAAGATTAACCATCTGAACATTTTAATGCACAATTACTGTTTATTTGCTGAATTTACAGATTATGGAAAAAAAAAAAAACATAAAATAAGGCCTGGGCAAAAGCTAAGGAACATTTTATGTTTTTTTTTCCCAATATGTTGAACTTTATGTTGAATGTTAGCAAATAAATAGAAATTATGCACTAACATTTGCAGAAAAATATCATATTTACATTTCCTCCCTGTATAGAGGAACTTTAAAATCATCAAAATGTGTAACTGACCTGGGGTGATCAAACCTTTATACATGACTACATTTAATACAAGGCATTGCAGAAAAATATATAAAATATATTTTATAAAAGGGCCGCAAGGAATGTTTGTTAGGCTTGTCATGTGGCAGAGTGAGGATCTGATAAACTTGACCTGGGGAGTGGAATTTGATGAGTGAAGATAAGCGTGCTGTGCTCCAGGGTGAAGGGGCTGGTGTACAGGCCAAGCTGGAAGCGCTGAAGAATCAGATCGTCCGTCTGCAGGCTGAGAAGAGCGACTTGGTGGCTATGAACTCTGAGCTCCAACTGAAGATGGGCCAGGGATCACCAGAAGACTCCTTCATTGAGATCCGCATTGCAGTAAGGACATGTTCAAGTACACAAACAACAAACATACAAACTGTCTCCATTGGCTGGTTTCCATCTGGAATATTTTAATAGAAAAATGTTCTGACTGCATAAAATGTTTAGCGACGAATGGAAACCGCAATTATTAATATTTTACACATATTCACGGCAAAGTTTTCAATTCCACTTGAAAAGAAACTTAAAATAGAAAATAGTGGAAGCATTTTTAACAATCAGAAATAATGCAGCTCTGCAGAAGTTTAAGATCATGTGACAGGAATTTCGTCATGTGCTTCACTCTATAGTAAACTACAAAGCAAACCACAGCAGGAAGGGCAGGTTGGTAGCAGAGCAGTATTGGGCTGAGGACAAAAGAAGGTTTCATTTTAGACAAAAAACAACAAGATGTCTACAATAAAAAAAATAATAATAAATAAATAAATACATAAATACATACATACATATATACATACATACTAGGGTTGAAAGGTTTGGGATCACTGTTGATGGTACTTCTGTACCACATCACAAATTTCAATTTGTAGGAAGCTGCGACAAAAAGAAATGTTAGATGTTTTCAGAATGATGAACGGAGATTTAGATTGTTCTGAAAATGACTGAGAAAGCTGTAAAGCAAAAAAATAACTTAGACTTAATAACTTAACCAGTATGCCGCGTATTTGACCAAATCTGAGGCAGATAACGCATTAAAAAATAAATAATGAACTCTGATCATTAAGGGCCTCAAGAATAATAGGATAAGAATATAATAACTAATTATATGTGCATTATATATCATTTAGTAACTGTTTGATGTTCTCAAAAAGTTTGAAGTATTGAATAATTCATTTTAAAATATCTCGAGTCTTGCTTGTAGTATTTCAGTCCACACACAAACACACACACACACACACACACACACACACACACACATTATTGATACAGATTACAACAATGAATATTATAAGTGATTCCAAACTTTTTGAGCCTGTGTGTATGTATGTACACACACACACACACACACACATACACACACACACAAAAATACAAACACAATTGTATATTAAACCTCCATCACATCCTCTACAGAGAACAAACATAAATATGCCATTTATCCGCAAATCTTAGTGCACAATTTCTTTTTATTTGCTTCTGTTTATCTGAGTTTAACATATAAAAACATTACAAATAAAACTCAATATTTATAAAATGTCCTTTGCATTTTATTATCCAGTAAAATCCAACATATCTCCCTATATGTTAAATTCAGCAGATAAACAGTAATTGTGCATTACAGTGTACAGGAGTGTGTTCTCTGTAGAGGATGTGTTCCCTTATTTTCGCTAAGAAAACCAAAAAGCTTGTCATTGGATCAGGGGCACCGAAACTTTTGTATACAACTGTATATTTGTGTGCATAAAACAGCAGGAAATTACATCATTACACAGATTTTACAGAAAAAAAAAGATTTTCTTGTAGTATAAATTTGTGGCCAAAAATGTGCATTTTTTAAAAGCACATTTTCACTACTCTATAGAAACCTACTGTTATTACACTTAAATGGATTAATGTCCATATGCACGTTTGTATGCATGGACAAAAAGCTTTCTGACCATACTCTTTTGTGCAGGAGGGTGAGCTGAATGTGACCAAAGATTTGCCTGTTACCCAGAAAGACCCCTCCGCATCCAGCATGTATGTTAAGTTTGGACTTTAATATGATGGTTCTGCCCATTTCTCCGCATGTTTTTTGTGTTTTCACTGCTCTGACACTCTTAAATAAAATCATCAGGTAGTTGTAAATCCCTGCTTTTCTCACCCTTCAGTAGAACCAAACCATTTCTCACCGTCTAGTATAATGTTAGCCCAATTACGTGCATGCTTATGTGGACTATGTTTGTACTGTTTTTCTATGCAGGGCTAGGTGTGACTTGCCCATGCCACGGCTGGAGTCAGAGGAGCAGACTGTGAGGCAGCTCCTGCAGTCACTGAGACAGGTGACTCAGCAGAAAGAGCAACTGCAGCTTCAACTTCAGACTGCATCCAAGAGGTAGAGACACACCCACAACCATATAAGCACATGCAGAAACGCTCTCGACCGTGTAAGCATACAGTGGTGCTGGACAGTTTGTGAACCTTTTAGAATTTTTCATATTTTTGCATAAATTTGACCTAAAACTTCATCAGATTTTCACACAAGTCCTAACAGTAGATAAAGAGAACCAAATTAAACAAATGAGACAAAAATATTAGACTTGGTCATTTATTTATTGAGGAAAATGATCTAATATTACACATCTGTGAGTGGCAAAAGTATGTGTACCTATGTGGAGCCAGGGTAACTTCTAAGCAACTAAAGGCGTGACTCACAGTGGTTAACGTTAAAGTTCAAAAGGGGTTCACAAACTTTCAAGCACCACTGAAAGCAGAGCGAGAGGAAAAAGTCCTTTTCAAGGTTTTCAAATCAGTTTGAATGTGATGCTCAGAAATGAAGAGTGAAAGTATGAAAGGCTTTATCAGGCTTGTCAGGAATCAACATACGCACTGAAAGTAAAAGTAAACCTGTGTGTCCAAAGGTTAAATAATAACAGTGCTTAGTTTTACGAAACAACAAATTTGTCCCAAAATTTCTTTGCACAGCTCTCACTAAGTTTGACACAGTATTAAGAAAGTCACTTTAAAGTCACTTTAATTGTGATGTTAAATGTCAGTGTGAATAGATCATATTTTACTATGTAACAAATCGGCGTATCATATAGGCTCAGTCACACTTGCCTTTGCCAGTGAATTTTAACGAGCGAACTTGCATTGATTTCATTGGAATTTGCCACAGTGTGCTGCAGACCTCCAGGATGAACAAATGTTGTGTGAGAAATTTCACTTTTAGTTCTACTTTGGTGAACTGTGACACACAAATTTGAGGCCTCTACCAGTAGCTCTGCTGCTTTGGCTGTGTTGACCTTTAAAGGGGCGGCCCTTCATAGCACGGAACCTCCAAAACTACGGAAAATGCTACTTTAACCATCCTTTACTTTTGTGGTTTTACTGTTTGGACAAACTTTCTAACTGCTGGTTTAGCTTCTTGGCCAGCCGCAGCTGCACAAATGTCACCCCACTGTCACCAACCATTCTCGTCATCTACATTTTTTTTGTGTGACTTAGGCCCAATCCCATTTCTTCTTTTTACTCCTACCCCTTGTTTTTGAGTGTCACCCTAACCCCTTGGAACTGAGTTACAGTTAGTGGTTAAAATCTTGCCCTACGAAATGGGACCCTCAAAAAAAAAAAAATAAATAAATAAAAAACATACTTCATTAACAGCTACTAGCGCTGCTCTGTAGGCGACCCAGCCCATCTTCAGTGATAGCAGAGAAGAGAAAAGTTCAGCTCCTCACTGCTGGGCTTTAGTTACATTTAGGAAATCATATTTTTCAAAGAGGGACAATTATTTTTATCACCCACCACTAATTCTTTGGTGATATGAAGCTGAAGTCAGATATTCACCAGCTTCTTGCTCGAATTTTCCTGTTCCACCTTAAATGGTGCAGCAGTTACATTCTGGCTTTTTAGGCATCAGAACTGCTGGACTATTTAAGGTGGAATGGGAAAGTTAGCTAGCTAGCTACCGAGACATTAGCATGATATTTAGCGAATATTTTATTTTATTTTTTTTTTTTTATGCTTGTTATGAAGAAAAGGACCATAATACATTAAAACATCATTAAACTAAAATAATACAGTGGTTATCGTAATTTCTTAACAGAGAAAATTCGCACATTCATGGGTTTCTTTGGTCTCTTGTTCAGCCATCTTGCCGGTTTTTCTTTTTTTCTCACAACACTCCGTTTGGAGTGAGTCTCTGAAAAACCTCCGTTTGGAGGGCCATGTAGCCCTAACACTTCACACTACCCTCCATCTCAACAAAAACTGGGACACCCTACCCCTAGACATGAACGCTAAGGGCTAAGTGGTAGGGGCGAGGGGTGAAATGGGACTGGGCCTTAGTCCACAGCAGTATATCTTGCAAGTATATTATTATCTGATATAATTATGTCTACCTTTATAACTGTTTATGGTTAGTGAGTTAGCTGGCTCACTAACTGCATCAGCATGGAGGATGTTGTCATTGCCAGCCTCGGCTGAAACCATTTCGCCAGGCAACGCAAACTGATGTCTAGTGTGACTGCGGCTTAAATAAGCACATGAAACAGGCTCGACACATTCCTGAATACAGAGCACAACAAAGACTGTGGAATGTGCAGCGCGTCACTGCAGACAGGTTATACATGTTACACCTTTATGTTTTCATTGACCTGGCTTTGTAACTCACTAGCTTTACATCTATATATCTGTACGGATCTTAGAGGATGAGCAGACAGAGTGGGTCAGGAAGATTAGTGTGGACAGTGACTGACGTCCTGGGACTTACAATGTTGTCATATCAGCTTATTAAAAATAAAACACTTACTAAATGCTGTTTCTAAAGTTGGAACATTATCAGTGTGATGGTTCATCAAGGCTTCTTCAGTAAGGAAAATGGTTCTGTAGAGAACCATAAACACTCAAAAAACGAAAGTGTTCTTTGCATCGTTAAATGGTTCCTCTTCAGGTTGATGGGGAATGTGCTGTAGATGGTTCTATACAGAACCTTTTTGAAAAGGGTTCTGTATAGCACCAAAAAGGGTTCTTCTGTTGTTATGATGTCAAGCTTGTAACAATAGAAGAACCCTTTTAGAGCTATATAGAACCCTTTACAAAAAGGTTCTGTATAGAACCATCTACAGCACATTCTCCATCAACCTGAAGAGGAACCGTTTAACGATGCAAAGAACACTTTAATCATGCAAAGGGTTCTTTGAGTGTTTATGGTTCTCTACAGAACCATTTTCTTCACGGAAAAAGCCTTGGTTATTTCTGAGTGTACATACACCGATCAGGCATAACATTATGACCACCTCCTTGTTTCTACGCTCATTGTCCATCTTATCAGCTCCACTTACTATATAGGTGCACTTTGTAGTTCTACAGTTACAGACTGTAGTCCATCTGTTTCTCTGCATACTTTGTTAGCCCCCTTTTACCCTGTTCTTCAGTGGTCAGGACCCCCATGGACCCTCACAGAGCAGGTACTATTTGGGTGGTGGATCATTCTCAGCACTGCAGTAACACTGACATGGTGGTGGTGTGTTAGTGTGTGTTGTGCTGGTCTGGGTGGATCAGACACAGCAGTGCTGCTGGAGTTTTTAAACACCTCAGTGTCACTGCTGGACTGAGAATAGTCCACCAACCAAAAACATCCAGCCAACAGCGTCCTGTGAGCAGCGTCCTGTGACCACTGATGAAGGACTGTCGTCTCTATCGTCTCTGACTTTACATCTACAAGGTGGACTGACAAGGTAGTAGTGTCTAATAGAGTGGGCAGTGAGTGGACACAGTGTTTAAAAACTCCAGCAGCACTGCTGTGTCTGATCCACTCATACCAGCGCAACACACACTAACACACCACCACGTCAGTGTTACTGCAGTGCTGAGAATGATCCACCAACCAAATAGTACCTGCTCTGTGAGGGTCCATGGGGGTCCTGACCACTGAAGAACAGGGTGAAATGAGTGTTGAAACAAGGAGGTGGTTGCAGTTATGCCTGATCGGTGTATGCATCTTTGACAAACATAAGCAAATGCAAACATGTACAATGAAGACCATTTGTCATTTATCTATGAGACACACACACACACACACACACACACGTATATTGTGGCTGTCGGAACAGGAACAAAACCTTCTATCTCCAAAATGACAACTTTACAGGAGAAGGAAAAACACTTATTTAATATTTTTGTTAAGGGCAACTGTAGTTCTCAAATTATGCAATAAAAAAGTAAAACAATGAGAAAAATAGAGAAACAAGGTTTTGTTCCGACAGTGACCATTTTAAGCATGCTGTTCTCTCCTGAAGGATTGCAGAATTGGAGCTGCAGCCACCCAACACTGACAGTGAAACACAGACATCTTTGCCATGTACCACCACAGCAGATACACAGACCAAGAGCGCCGAGGAGGACACAGCCAAGGTAACAGTACAGCATCCGAAAGGACTTTGAGATCTGAAAACATAAGTCTGTTCACAAAACCCCGAATATGATGAATAAATGATGGTGTGTATGTGTTCCAGTCGGCCTCTGAGGTGGAGAATCTGAAGGCTCAGATGATGAGTTTGTTTAAAGAGCTGCAGCAGGCTCAGAGTAAACTGGATGAGGCGGAGAACATGAAGAAGAGCCTCCAGGACAGGTTCACAATTCTAAAGCGTCTATCAGCCGTCTAATCTTATATTACAATGGAGTCAGTAATCAAAAACTGTTATACAGTCGCAGACGGTGGCAGAAGTTCTTTTAAATGGGCTGCCCTGCATATTAGATTATTTTGTGTATTAATTGGATGTTTTCTTCATCAGATGTGAAAATGTAACTGCAGGCCCTCCCCCTGTCCCTCTTTGCAGGTGTAAGGATCTGGAGCAGGATCTGACCACCGTGAAGACTCAGCTGGGGGAGAGGCAGCAGATTCAGGCTGAGAACGACAAGCTGAAGGTGCAGCTGGAGAGCATGCAGGCTGCCATCAAACTGGAACAGAGGAAAGCTCAGGAGGAGAGGTCAGTCTACTGCACTGCACTGCAGCCAGCAGTGTACTTCAAACGATGAAACACTAAACGAAACCGAACTACCACTAAACACGCTGTTATAAATATACGTCTTAGGACTGCTAGTGGCCCACTTCATGCAGTAGACCAATCACAGTCAGTGGGAGGTCTCAGAATGAATGATGCAGTGATTTGGACCAGTTGCATTCAGAGGGAGGTCCCAGAATGAATCATGCAGTGATTCGGACCAATCACAGTCAGGGGGAGGTCTCCGAAGGAACAGCGTGGTGATTCGGACCAATCACAGTTGGGGGGAGGTCTCAGAATGAATGACGCAGTGATCTGGACCAATTGCATTCAGAAGGAGGTCCCAGAATGAATCATGCAGTGATTCGGACCAATCACAGTCAGGGGGAGGTCTCAGAATGAATGACGCAGTGATCTGGACCAATTGCATTCAGAAGGAGGTCCCAGAATGAATCATGCAGTGATTCGGACCAATCACAGTCAGGGGGAGGTCTCAGAAGGAACGGCGTGGTGATTTGGACCAATCACAGTCAGGGGGAGGTCTCCGAAGGAACAGCGTGGTGATTCGGACCAGTCACAGTCAGGGGGAGGTTTCCGAAGGAACAGCGTGGTGATTCGGACCAATCACAGTCAGTGGGAGGTCTCAGAATGAATGACGCAGTGATCTGGACCAATTGCATTCAGAAGGAGGTCCCAGAATGAATCATGCAGTGATTCGGACCAATCACAGTCAGGGGGAGGTCTCAGAATGAATGACGCAGTGATCTGGACCAATTGCATTCAGAAGGAGGTCCCAGAATGAATCATGCAGTGATTCGGACCAATCACAGTCAGGGGGAGGTCTCAGAAGGAACAGCGTGGTGATTCGGACCAGTCACAGTCAGGGGGAGGTCTCCGAAGGAACGGCGTGGTGATTCGGACCAGTCACAGTCAGGGGGAGGTCTCCGAAGGAACGGCGTGGTGATTCGGACCAATCACAGTCAGGGGGAGGTCTCCGAAGGAACAGCGTGGTGATTCGGACCAATCACAGTCGGGGGGAGGTCTCCGAAGGAACAGCGTGGTGATTCGGACCAATCACAGTCGGGGGGAGGTCTCCGAAGGAACAGCGTGGTGATTCGGACCAATCACAGTCGGGGGGAGGTCTCCGAAGGAACAGCGTGGTGATTCGGACCAATCACAGTCGGGGGGAGGTCTCCGAAGGAACAGCGTGGTGATTCGGACCAATCACAGTCGGGGGGAGGTCTCCGAAGGAACAGCGTGGTGATTCGGACCAATCACAGTCGGGGGGAGGTCTCCGAAGGAACAGCGTGGTGATTCGGACCAATCACAGTCGGGGGGAGGTCTCCGAAGGAACAGCGTGGTGATTCGGACCAATCACAGTCGGGGGGAGGTCTCCGAAGGAACAGCGTGGTGATTCGGACCAATCACAGTCGGGGGGAGGTCTCCGAAGGAACAGCGTGGTGATTCGGACCAATCACAGTCGGGGGGAGGTCTCCGAAGGAACAGCGTGGTGATTCGGACCAATCACAGTCGGGGGGAGGTCTCCGAAGGAACAGCGTGGTGATTCGGACCAATCACAGTCGGGGGGAGGTCTCCGAAGGAACAGCGTGGTGATTCGGACCAATCACAGTCGGGGGGAGGTCTCCGAAGGAACAGCGTGGTGATTCGGACCAATCACAGTCGGGGGGAGGTCTCCGAAGGAACAGCGTGGTGATTCGGACCAATCACAGTCGGGGGGAGGTCTCCGAAGGAACAGCGTGGTGATTCGGACCAATCACAGTCGGGGGGAGGTCTCCGAAGGAACAGCGTGGTGATTCGGACCAATCACAGTCGGGGGGAGGTCTCCGAAGGAACAGCGTGGTGATTCGGACCAATCACAGTCGGGGGGAGGTCTCCGAAGGAACAGCGTGGTGATTCGGACCAATCACAGTCGGGGGGAGGTCTCCGAAGGAACAGCGTGGTGATTCGGACCAATCACAGTCGGGGGGAGGTCTCCGAAGGAACAGCGTGGTGATTCGGACCAATCACAGTCGGGGGGAGGTCTCCGAAGGAACAGCGTGGTGATTCGGACCAATCACAGTCGGGGGGAGGTCTCCGAAGGAACAGCGTGGTGATTCGGACCAATCACAGTCGGGGGGAGGTCTCCGAAGGAACAGCGCGGTGATTCGGACCAATCACAGTCGGGGGGAGGTCTCCGAAGGAACAGCGCGGTGATTCGGACCAATCACAGTCGGGGGGAGGTCTCCGAAGGAACAGCGCGGTGATTCGGACCAATCACAGTCGGGGGGAGGTCTCCGAAGGAACAGCGCGGTGATTCGGACCAATCACAGTCGGGGGGAGGTCTCCGAAGGAACAGCGCGGTGATTCGGACCAATCACAGTCGGGGGGAGGTCTCCGAAGGAACAGCGCGGTGATTCGGACCAATCACAGTCGGGGGGAGGTCTCCGAAGGAACAGCGCGGTGATTCGGACCAATCACAGTCGGGGGGAGGTCTCCGAAGGAACAGCGCGGTGATTCGGACCAATCACAGTCGGGGGGAGGTCTCCGAAGGAACAGCGCGGTGATTCGGACCAATCACAGTCGGGGGGAGGTCTCCGAAGGAACAGCGCGGTGATTCGGACCAATCACAGTCAGGGGGAGGTCTCCGAAGGAACAGCGCGGTGATTCGGACCAATCACAGTCAGGGGGAGGTCTCCGAAGGAACAGCGTGGTGATTCGGACCAATCACAGTCAGGGGGAGGTCTCCGAAGGAACAGCGTGGTGATTCGGACCAATCACAGTCAGGAGATCTCAGAATAAACGGCGTAATTAGAGCTGATAATTAGAGTCGATTACAGTCAGGGGAGGTCTCAAAACAACAACATGCCGTTTAGGACCACTCACAGTCGGGGGGAGGTCTCAGAACTAGGGCTGTGAATTTTGGCAATTTTTTTTTAAAGATAACTGACCATTATTAGTTGGTGATCAGTCATTTACCCACAAACCATGAGAATGACCCATGGAAACATCAAACACAGTCCTGCGTTTTATAAGAAAAAGTTTTAGGCTTTACTGAATGAAAACACAGCCTAACGTAACAGATATGACAGCAGGTTAATGTAGTCTTTTTACTTACATTTAAAACACACTATTAGCCCAACTTAACAAACATTTTGTTTTCATGTAAACTTTGGCCTAAAAATTTATTTTACCAAAAAATTCCACACTAAGATTAATAGCCCTCAGCTTAAACATCAGCCTGGGCTCAAAATTGATCTTTAACCTTCATGTCCCTCATCATATTAAGTGCAATTCATCATATTATATATAACTTAGAAGAAAACCTTGTTTTCCTGTAATCCGCCTTCAAAATGTAATGACTTTTCCCCGTCCATAAAAGGGTCTCCTGATTTTTGGTCATCGCTGCGTGTCCGTTAGTGGAGAAAAATAATTTTAACCAATGATATCATGATTCACTTCCCCCCACACTCACTTATCATCCCACCACAAAGCTCAGCTAGTTCAGAGACCCTCCCTGATAATGTGTTTTACTTGGAAGTATATCACAGTTCGGGAGGAAAATGAGGTCTAATTTCAGACTCTGGTTGACTTTAAAGGCCAGATTGGCTGGTCTGCCATTTCATTTTCAAAGAAATCAACAGCACATTTACCATAAACCATAAAAAATGTGATTACATGAGGAATTCATCAGTTTCAGACAGGTCGGGGCAGAAGGTACAAAACATTCATTTTTGGTAAACAGGGTTGTGTCGACATGGTTATTGACGCTTGTTGAGAATTTCCCCACTGAATGTAAATCACAGTTAGCTGATCAGTGTAACCCATTACTGTAGAGAACTGACATGTGACTGAGTGGAAAATAACTGTGACTCATCTGTCTGTTTCTCTGTCCCCTAACAGGAATAATCTGGCGCAGCTGAAGGATGCTTACACCAAACTGTTTGAGGATTATAATGAACTCAAGGAGGAGAATAAGAAAAAGGAGGTAACTGTTCACACTTACCTTAATCTAAAACGCTGATGTTGCAAACAATCAGAATGTAGTAGTTTTGTTTTTTTCATGCTTTTTAAACTTTTATTTCTTTACGAAATGTGAAATTAATTTTAGCTGTGCTTAATGTTGAAGGAGGATATATATATATATATATATATATATATATATGCCCTGACTAATAAGAAATGAAAACTGCTAGCAGCCAGTTAGCAAAATACAGATAATGCTACCTGATCTACACTGCATTTCATTTCTAAGTGTTTTAATCTTTTTATTATTAGAAAATTATAATTATATATATTATTTTATTATTAGGTTGTTATTTTTGTATTATTATGTTTAATCTTAATTCATTTGACATTTAGATGGTAGAAACATCCTGAATCTTTTAAGCCTCTTGTTCAGTCTGGCATTCCCAGGTTTGTGCATATGGGTTGTAACAATGTTCCTCCCAAGAGCTTCCGTAGTTTGAGGTGACCTTGATTGGCCAGTGCAGGAGTGGACGTACTGATTGATTTAGATCAGGGGTTCCCAGTGCTGGTGACCTCCTACACCTGATACAGCCCACTAGCAGCTTGTTAATTAGTTTTATGAGTTAAGTCAGGTGTACTGGGATTGGGAACCCCTTATGTAGATCATGTCCAGATTTTGAGAACTTGGTCCATCACAGGATTTAAAATCAAATAGTGGTAACACTTTATGTTGATAGTGCACTGTAGATGCTTTGTAGAAGCTCAGTCTGTCTTTAACAACCATTCAACTAAATGTGTATCAAACGAGTTGAGTCTAACCCTGACTTTAACTTCAGTCTCAAACCTACACCAACTCCTAAACCTAACCCTAACCATACAGTTGTTGATAATCAGCCATCACCAGAAAGTTGTCAATAATTTCAGTGTATGTAGAACATCTATAGGCGACCTTCAAAATAAAATGTGCCCCGAACAGCCGAGTCATCTGAGTTTTTGATGGTCCAGCAGGTGTTCAGAGCAGTGTGTGTGTCTGTGATCTTCAGGGCTTTGTATCTTCGGAGGATTTTGGAGAGCTTCAGGACAGACTGGCGGCAGCTGAGCAGGCTCTGGCAGACAAACAGCAGAAGATTGATGAGATGAAGCAGGAGATCTTCCAGAAGGAGAAGGACCTGGAGACCATCTCTGTCTTTCAAGCCCAGGTGCTGCATGTCTGAACTGAAGCTAAACATGAATCTTCATGTGAATTTAATGAGTTTTTAGTTTTAGGAAGGGTCTCCTACCAGCAGGGAATCCGTCTGCTCCCCCAAACACAGCACAGCAGCAGCTTAGTCATTATTCAGCCAACCCACAGGATAAAGGATTTCATTTTATTGGACAGTCAGAAAAAGATAAGAACGAAACGAGAGCCGTGTTTTGTGAGCGGTGAAGCAAAAGAGTGTGAAAGTGATCGTTAGACCTCAGTCCGCTACCACTCTACATGGTCTGAAATTGATTTGAATGATTTCTCTGGACTGTCTTGACGGTGTGAGAGCTCAGCAACTCTACAAATCACACTGCAAATAGCAATCATCGGGGTCCAAGCACTGGGTGCCATTATGGAGCCAGTAGAACAAAAATGATAGGCAAATTGGCCTCTATTTATAATTGATGTTGGGTCTCACAAGAAGATGTCAGCCAAATTTTGTACACATTGACCTTCATAGATCATAATATTTAGAAAACAGTACAGTTTATGCATGTGACGTGGTGTTTGCATGGTTGGTTTTATTTTAAAATTAGAGCTACAACTATTGGAAAAGTTTCATTTTCTTATGTAGCTGTTGAATATTATCTCAGTTATTCCAGTTTTCTGAGAAAAGCCCGAGATATGTTTCACTTTTAATGACTGAATGAAAAAAAATCTTGTTGTTCTGTTTTATTACAAACACTATTATTACAATAATCATTAGTAATATTATAATTATAATAATTATTATTTATTGTTAATTTGCTTTTTTGTAGGAGTGGTGGAATCGGTTTCTTTTTATAATACTTGTAGTGAAAACACATCACTGGCAAACAGTTATTGTCATAGCAAATTGCATTAAGTGGTTTCCAAGGGATTCTGCCCAATCTGGCAACCCTGGCCAGGTTGCTGAGACTTTATCACACACATTTGGGAAAACACCAGGCAATTAAAACCAACATGATCTCCTCAAATTAGAGCTCTAATACAGACGTAATAGGAACGTTCTCTTGACAGCCCTCTGCTGGGATATCACCACCACTTAAACAGGAAAGGAAAATTCGACTGAAATGAAAAATGGCAAATCATAAATCACTGTTATTCCATTATGTGACGTTGAGATTCTCTCGTTCCCTGTAGATATGCTGCTATTGTGCTCTAGTGGTGACTCGCTAGTGTTGAGCTTGATAAAGAGAACTTTGTTTCCCGTCGGACTGATAAAACAGATGCACAGCAGCTTGTGGTTTCATAAAAAATGTAAAAACACCAGTTACTTGTATTTTATTGAGTAGTCTTTGGCCTTAAAGTCAGCAACATTTCTCCTGGGGAACATTTCTGCTGCTGGACCCCCTACAGAGGACTGGTTTCTGAACTTGCCACCTGTTTAAGCACCTGTCTAGCAGGTGATGCTTACCTGTATGTGCGTGTGCTACGCAGGCGGAGGTGTACTCCTCAGACTTCTACGCAGAGCGAGCAGCCCGGGAGAAGATTCATGAGGAGAAAGAGCGCCTGGCTACTCAGCTGGAGTTTGTGAAGAAGCACAACAGCCAGTTGCAGGAGGAGTTGGAGTCTCTGGGCAGGTACATATTTTTTCTTTCTGTGGTCATCCTTTCTCTGTCTCCCCCTGCTGTATTACTCTAAAGACCTGTCTTTCCCATTCAGGCAGTCTATGAGTGAGCTGCAGAGGAGACATGTGTCTCGTGGGGCTAATCCAGGGGGCTCCTCACCACACCAAGTGCAGGGAGGCAGAGGTAAGCTGCTATCGCTACCCTCCTTCACAAAGGCCCAATCCCATTTCTTATTTTTACCCCTACCCCTTGTTTTTGAGTGTCACCTTGCCCATTGGGACTGAGTTCTAAGAGGCACAGTCGTTATCTGATTTCAGTAGTTATCTGGTTATTCAAGTGGCCGTGTGAACAGCGTACTCCACTTTCTTGGACTGGATTAAAGTTGTTTAAGAAACCCAGTAAAGAGTCCTGGAGTTCAGCTCAGTTATCAGGCTTTTTCAATGCATGTGGAGTATTTTTTTGTTTTTCTATATCTGCATACCCTGCTAGAAAAAAACAGCAGAGACCAGCATAGCTGATCACCAGCATAACCAGCATATGCTGTGTTTTGGATGCTGGTCAACTGTGACCAGGGTAGCAGAACCAAATAGAGACAAGCTGCCCAGGAAACAGTAAACACTAATTTTCAATGCTACCAAGAAATGGTGACAAATGACCACATGGTTGTGCATTGTGGAGCCATATAAACTCCCAAATAAGTGTTTACCAATAAAGGGACTCCGTGTTAAAAGGAAAACCGTTTTGCATCTCATGCTGCACGTTCTTCTTTGGTGAGATTTTAAGGAATTGCTATAGGTTGCTATGGTACACGTGCATGTCTTGTATTAAGGCAGAAATCTGATTATTGAGAGACTCAGAGTTTCCACATGATCAGATTACTGAAGTGCTTGTGAACGTGTTGATTGACTCATTACTAAAATCTGATTTTCTGCAGTTGCTGTGTGCAACTGATTTAGCAGAAAAAATACAGTGTGTTCCTACATGGGCCAAAACAAATTCCTCACTGTCATTAATACATATAAGAAATTGTCACCGTCCAAAAATATGTATCTCCAAAATAGTAACTTTAATGGAGGGGGCAGAAATGTCCCTAATTTTAATATAAGTTAAACCAAAGACATTTTTATTCCATTTTGGAGGATTTCTGTTGGCCCATTTTCACAGAGTGTAAAGGAGAGCTGGTCTTTAAAAAATAAAAAAAATGAAAAAGTTTGACAGTATCAGTTCCACAGCAGCTACTGAATGTTTTATAATTGAATATTATTACTTTTCAGTCTATAACTTTTTTTATTCTTTCTAATTTGTTTTTAACTTATTGGTATTATTATTACTTGTATAGTTGTATTTCATTGGATTTCATTTCATCCCACTGTAAATGAGACTTTGGTCTCAGTGGGCTAATAAATATAGAGTAGTTATTGAATAATAACTAATAAGCCTGCAGTTTAAAGGGTTAATACCCACATTGCTGCTGTCTCTGCCTGTAACATTCTGGCAGTTAACACGTTGCACTGTGGACTGCACTGTGTAAACTGGAGTTTGTGTCAGAATGGACGTGGTGCTATTAATATTAATAACCAGTGCAGCAACTGAGTGTTCTTAGTTGGTCTGAATGGTTTGAAGTTTTGTGCACTGATTCCAGCCTCTCTTTCAGTTGACTGGCAGCAGCAGGTGAATATACCAGAGCACGCGTGTCCTAAGTGTGGGGAAGTCCTGCCAGATCTGGACACGCTGCAGATCCACATCATGGACTGCATCATCTGAGTCCGTTGCCCAGCAACCACATCGGCCTGTCACTAATCCTCCTTCTGAGCACTCGGATGGACGGGCCAGTCATAAGATTTAGCAACGCACTTATGGTAAAAACTCCCAGCGCTCAAATCTAACGCAATCTCCATAGAGGCTCCTACACGATTTATTCTAATACTGCTCGGCTGATCTACTTCCTGTAAATAGCATTAAGGCAAATGTTATTACATAGGTAAAAATGACTGAGGGCTCAGAAATGATGATATTACGTTTTGTTTGAAAGATAAGGATGAACAAAGTTTGTCCAGAGAGGGAAAAATGGATATTATATCTGAAGAGGAAGGGTGACTGTTTAATCTCCTGAAGACAGACTTGATTTTGAGCTATACTCATCTATACTTATCTATAGATCGCCGTTCATGTTTTGGAGAAGGTAGTTTATATCTAACAGGAAAGAAATCTGTTGGTAGCATATTTAAACCAACGGTTATTAGCCAGTTAATTTATATTGGAGTGAATACAGGTGCTTTAGTATGAAAGGTGGATTAAGCTTTAAAAATCCTTTTATAAACAATGCACTTTAACAAATTATGTTTTCATACTATTGTAAGCAGGGTATTCTCCCTTATTGCTAAGAGAACAGTGTTGCAGCTAAGTGGAGGTATAGGGTGCATCCTGCATTATACTGTGGCTGTATACGTTCAGCTGTGAAGTGTAACTCTGTAAACACAAATACAATAAAAAAAACACATAAAAATCATGTGTGAAAGTTAATCTTGTACATCATGTCACATCATGTTATACAGATACATGATGCACTGAGCAGTTGAAATGATATTTTATATTCCTATGGTATCAAAGTTACATTTAAGAGATCGATAAGCTGGTCCTACGCATAAATGATCAGACATAGGTCTAGTAAGACCTATCCAAATCACCATGGTAACTATTTAAAGAGCCCATGTCCTACATTCTCCATGATTCTTCCCCCACTGAAATCCACTTACAAAGTTGGCTTTATGTACCAAAAATGGTCATAATTCATTTTTACATGCTCATTTTGCAACATTTCTTTACCCCTTACAATTAAAGGTTGCTTGTTACTGTGCCTTTAAGAGTGAATACTGATATGTTAATGAGCTCTGTTCTGATTGGCTGCCCTCTATTGTGCCTTACTTAACAAAACAAACAAACAAAAAAATAATAAAAAAAAAAACAGACCGTAAGAAAAAGCCCTCCTTATGACTTGACCTGCTGCTGTATGGACAGAGTGGGGACTGAGTGGTAAGTTTTTAAATCTTTAAAAATGTTTACATTTCGCTGTTGTCGGAGCAAAACCTCATATCTCCATTTTTGTAATTTTTCAATTTTTGACATAATCTGAAAATGCCTGTTGTCCTTTACATTGTGTGTAAATTTCATGATGAATGGACCAAAAGAAACGGCCCAAAACGACTTGGGGGAAAAAGTCTGGTTCCACTGACTTGCATTGAAAGTAAAGAATGTTTTTTCCTTCTCTTGTAACGTTATTATTTTGGAGATAAGAGGTTTTGATTCGACAGCAGCGATATCATTATTGTTTAATGTAATTTAAATACATTAAATTCTTGTTTCAAAAAAACAAAAGGAAATTCAGTTTTCCATAATACGAGCCCTTTAAAAGAACCTTCAGCAATACAAACCCCTGATCAGCGTGAAACCTGGTGCCCAGCCCTGGTCCTGGTGATCTGCCGCCCAGGAGAGTGTAGGTCCAACAACACCTGGCTCTAATATTCAGATGCTCCTGAAGGCCTTCATTACCTGGATCAGCAGTGGTTAGACCAGGGCTGGAGATAAGCTCTGAGGAGCATGAGGAGCACGGCTGGGCACAGCTTCTCCCAAGACCCTCAGGATATCTTCCATACTGCCACTTACAAGCCAAACGTGATTTATTTAAATGACTTTTCGTTTATTAAGTTTACAAACACGGTAACAAATCTGGTTTTTATTGGAGCGCAAAGCGCAGTTTTATACGAAGCTTGAACATCCTATAGTGCAAAACATACAGTTAAATGCTGCCAATGATTCCCTACATGTTTTTTTGTTTGGTTTTCACTTTATTCAACTTTTTTTTTCTTTTGAACATTTTGTACAATGTTAAATAGTATATGGAAAAACCACTGAACTGAAGTCACTAGATGACCTAGAGACACGACATTGCAAAACAAATCAGATAGTAGTACAAAACAAAATAACTTAATGACAGGTCAGTAGCATTAAGTAAACATGTTGTTCTGCTGTATTTCTTTCCACAGGAGATCGAATGGAAAATAAAACACATGACCATTTTATTCAAATTTGTGTGTGTGCACTTTTGTGGTTACTCTGTGGCGATATAGTCTGAGACCAAAGCAGCATGCAAGGTCTTTTTTTTTTCCATAAAGACGAGCATGGTCAATATCTGAACGTGTCAGGTGGCGCACTGAATGGCATTTCCACATATCGGCACTTTGCTAAGCAGTTTTTAATAGGAAGGCGACAGGAGTAAACAGAAATAATAATAATATTAATAATAATAATAATAACTGAAAAAACAAAAACACTGACAGTAGAAGTGACACCATTCCAAAAAGGTGGTGGAGTATGTTGCATTTCTGAATTCAGTAACTTCTCCCTACTATTTGAGTAAACCAGGGACATGGTCTCTAACCAATGAATCCCCTTATAATATATATATATATATATATATATATATATATATATATATATATATATATATGTATAGCTGGCTGTTGTTGGAAGAAAATCTTGTACCTCCATTTTTGACGTTTTCCAGTTTTTGACATAATTTGAAAATACTGGTTACCCTTTACATTGTATGTAAATTTCATGTTGAATGGACTAAAATAAATGACCCAAAATGACTCGGAAAAAATTCTGGTTCCATTGACTTACATTAAAAGTGAAGTAGGTTTTTTCCTTTTCCTGTAAAGTTATTATTTGAGAGATCTGAGGTTTTCTTCCGATAACAGCGATTTATATATATATATATATATATATATATATATATATATATATATATATTCTGCACTGCAGCTACTACACCACTCTATGGTAAACAATGCTCAGTTTATGGAATGAGAGCAAACGGACAAATTACAACTGGGGAATGGCACTCATTTGGTAAGCTTTATATATATTATTTCATGAATGGGGACTGAGAACTTTGATTTGAAAAACTGATTTGTTCACAGCTTGAGCCAACCAAACTACGCAACTCTGAACTGACTTCTGTTTTCTAGACTTACAGGTAAAGCACTGAGCACAAAATGAAAGTCTCTAAAACAACGGTTCGTTATTAAATATCGAAAGTACAATATAGCCACTCACAGACAGTAAACAGTTGATAATCTATTCTGTATATCTGGCTTAACGTGAACTCTTCTTGTACCAGACGTTTCACTTAAACAGCTAAGCTCTAAGTAGAAGGCTTGTAATCTAGCAGTCCTTATCAGCGATCAGTAGTAGTTAAGATGACGGGTGGGACTCCACTAGTTTCACTGCTCTATGGTTTGTAACAAGCTGTGTCCGGCACGAACCGCTCCATCGCAAGTCTTCTGCTCTGTGTGAACTCAACTGGTACTTGGCGACACATCCAGCGGAGCACAAAGACGTGGAGGATCTAACGCGGGTCTGCTGCTGCGGTCTGTACAGTGGTCTCCAGGACTGGAACTAACCTACACGAACAGTTTGGTTTCTTTACAGACGATAGAAGAACTGTGGAGATTAACCAACTCTTTTCTTTACATCGTGAGTGGCGTCATGTGACTGCTACTAAAAGGTCGTAGAAGCTACTGATCTGCAGGAAACCCAAGAAGGCAGTTATCTATACAGCAAAATGAGAACCATAAAAGATGTGGGGCAGCATTAAAAAGAAGAGAGGAGGGGATTCGTAGGAGAGCTGGAGACCTTTGTGAGAGCGGCAGTGTTACAGCAGAGCAGCAGCTTGTGTCTTGTGTTGGTGAGGGGCCACCTAAGACTCGTCTCCCTAGTCCTACATCGAAGCTGAACTGACTGTCACATCTACTGCAATACTGGCCTCACTGGTCCAACATGCACCCAGAGGAAACTGAGAAACCCACCACTGAACGTACCTTAGCTCACCACTGAATGCTGTCGCAACCAGTGGGGCACACATGCCTGGTTAGTTACTGTCAAAAACAACCGGTTAAAGCAGAATTTTCAACATTTCTACATGAGAAATAAGTCAGAGTGGTCTGATGTGAAACAGACTTCTTTACAGTGGTGGTGATAGAAACAACTGCAACGCAAATACAGCCATTTTATTTACTATCGAAAAACAACCAGTGAAGCTAAATGTGAGTTTTTATGTGTAATGTAACCCTGCCATCATAATTTTTCAATTATATAATTGCTGCTGTCGGAACAAAACCTTGTATCTCCATTTTTGTTTTTCAGTTTTTGGCATAGTTTGAAAGTACCCGTTGTCCTTTACGTTGTGTGAACATTTCAAGTTGAATGGATGAACAGAAATGACCCAAAATGACCTGGAAAAAAGTCTGGTTCCATTGACTTACACTACAAGTAGAGTATGTTTTTTCTCATTTTGGAGATAAAAGGTTTTGTTCCAACAAAGTGATATGATTTAGAACTATCACAAAACAACGTCTCAGGCGTCAGGCAACATATTTGTAACCGTTACTGTGTTGGGAGCCTTTAGAGGCTTTACACTCTTCAGACGTTTGGTTTCTCTAGAATGGTCCACATCAAACCACTCTGAATGACCTGCAGCTTAACTGAGTACACAGAAAATTAGATCTTTTTCCCCTTTATTTATTTACTAATACACAACATACTGTCTCACACACTTACGCTTTTCTTCCACTTGCCTCATCCTGCCACCTCTATCTGACTGACCCGTCGCAAACACAAGGCTGCCACTGCTGGTCTGCTGCTGCCTGCGTGACGTCCCCTCAGGAGAAAAAGGGCACTGTGGTTTGTCTAAATCAAAGCACTCAAGCAAATCTTCTAGAGGAGAGCATCAGCTATAGGCACGCTCTGCTCATTTGCATACCGAACAAGTTTAATAGAGAAATGCAACTTTGAGCCAATAACCACATGCACACCTTACAACTCGGTGAAATCATTAGCCTGGGCTCGCTCACCTCTCTGAATTACGTCCTGGAACTGTCCCGGTCTAACCGTGCCTACCGTGTCATGACAATGCAATGAGCCGGAGCCTAACTGAGTGGATTAAGAGTGCGCCAAACCCAATCGCAGGATGACTGCGCAGCCTGCGGCATGTGCAACTACGGCGGCTGTGTGTTTACATGCTACCTGCAAACCTCTAAGGTAAGCATTCACGAACGTCCGAGCTTCAAAACGATTCGCAACCCTTTCCTACACGCAATAAAACGATAGAACGACGTCTCATCATTTCAGTCTCAAAAGAAAATGGCACCAAAACCAGAATCTCTTCCCTACTGTATACCTGTTTAGTCCACATACCAGCAATCCAACCAGGCACCAAGCACCTCCGCCGCCTCGACATCCAACCACAAAGCCGAAAAAAAAAAAAAAAGAGAAATAAAAACTGAATGAATGCAAGGCACTAGAAACTCCAGCACGCTTTCTGGGCACTGGGGGGGGTGAGGGAAAAACGGACCGGTTATTCAAGTATGTTAATTGAAACCATTTTACATTCACATTTATCTAATACAAAGAAAGTACAAAGGGAAAAAAAAAAGGTTAAAGTGTCTCCAATAAGTTCTGTATAAGGTAATAGCTAGCCTTTCTTCACCGTTAAGCTAATAGCAATAATCCTCCAATTTCCACCCTTTTTCTACCTTTGTTTTAAACTAATGTTGTCCAACAACATTTATAATAAATCACAGTGTTTCAACATCAAAAACTGATGGGTAAATACAGGTCCATACAGAACGCGACTTTTCTCATTCAAACATACAATTCAAAATCAACCTGTCAACCTAAAGAGGCCCCTAACGCCGTCATGATTACAAAAGCTGTCACGTTAGTAATAGATAACAGATTTAAAGCTTTAGTGGCTTCCAAGGCAGAATGCTTGGAAGAGCCAGACTGGCACCCCCGTTTAAATCAAACCTCCACTTTACCTCCACCGTTTCCCATCCCTGTCAATACCGATTGAGAATACTAGATAGAGCAGGTAAACAGGTTTATTTATTTATTTTTTTTAATGGGGAACTAATTCGTCTAGCCCTGTAAGGGGAGGCAAAATGAGGATTTTATTAATACCCAAATCTAGTCCTCCTTACAGCCCTGATATAAATATTTACTCCTGGATAAACCATCAATTTGAGGGCCCAGTCAAAACGGTCCCATGTGACAGGAGTATGGTAAGCATGACAACGCACCACAAAGCAAACTGGGATCTGAAGCAGCTTTGTAGTCCAAAACATGGGGGGTGGCTGAATGACCTCTGCACATATGTACAACCTTACTAAAACGTAACCAAATGTATATTCATAACCTAATTCATAAAAAGAGAGAAGCTGTACATGGATTTTTATATTTTCTCTACTGAAGGCCACTTTCTGCGTTTTAAAATGGGCTTTGTCATTCTATTACTATAATTATTGCATTACTACATGGCATTAGAGCAGATACTGGGCTGGCAGCAGGGTTGTAATGGAGAGATGGGGCACATCCTCTCCGTCCTCTCTTCCTTCACCAGTAGTAGTCGCTAGTCTCCAGAGAACTCAGCTGACACAACAGTGGGAAATCAATCAAGACAAGCTTGGAGACTGGGAAGGGACAGGATGATTTGCCTTTCTTCAAAAGGTTAGTAAGCTACAACCCGACGCCCTGACCTACCACCACCTCAGTCTACTCTGGAGCAAACACTCTGGGGCCGGTTAGCGAAGGAAGCCATCACTACACACGTTAGAGATTTTGAAAAAGAAAAAAAAAAAAGAAAAAAAAAAGGTCACAACCTTCTTTGGCCACTTAACATTGCACTCATTGTGTTCACCCATTTGTTATTTATTTATTTTTTTCTCGCCTCTCTCTCCTCATGTTGTGCGTTTGCCCCATAGCATGTCCATGAGAGTGCAGGAGTGATGAGAAGTCCCCAGGAGATGTGAGAGAGGTGTGTGATTCTGTTTATGTGTGCACGAACCCTGGCTTTTCCCCACACAGCACTCTCCTGCTGGCTCTTCTCTCGCTCCGAACTCTCTCTCCAATTTGAAAAATACTGTCCAGGGCAAACAGGCCAGATGTCAGCCCCTTCGACAAGTCAGAGTCTGCAAAGCTGCAATGAAACCCAACTCATGTACCCAAGTCCACGGCAACGTCACCACCGGTCCATGCGTTTCTGCCCCACTCTCTTTAACTCCTCCCCCAGTCAACACTTGTCGTGGCCTAGCACTGGGCTGGCCGAGCCCTACGTGGTCCTCAGGTTGGGGCCTCCTGGATTGCTGACTGACTTTTGCAAAGTGCTAATGTGGAAGGCCTGCATGGCAGACGGGCCCGGGTTGAACTGGCCCAGGGGTTGGGAGCCAGCCAGCAGGCCCGCCGCCTGGGTGTGTGCAGCCGAGCCGCCGGCCCACGGGCTGCTGTAAGGTGCTGATTGGTAGCCATACTGCGGTGTAGGGCACAGGGAACCCTTGCGGGTCCCCAGAGAGGTAGCAGGGGGGTTGGACATGGGCGTGTGGCCGCTCAGAGATGAAGCGATGCTGGGGCACAACTGACCCGGAGCCGAGAACTTGCGTCCCATATTGGCAGGTGGGATCATCTGAGGAGACACAAGGAAATTAGAAAGTTGTTGAATCACTCTTCTGTGAGACTTTGCTAAGATTGGTGTCACTGGTCTTGAATTGTAAGTGGTTTACACAGTTCAATGAACTAGTTAAAGATTTCTGCCCCTGACACGTACAAGGGGAACCTTAAAAGGCAGAGATTTTTCAAAATTTCTGTATAATTCTATGGTTAAGAAATAAAAGTCACACAGAATGGTTTGATGTGAAATGTTCTGATTTAGAAAAATTTATTGAGTCAAAATTGTTCACATCGGTGGTGATAGAAACCAGATGTACAAAGAGTTTACAAATACACTGCCTGATGCCTCAGACTTAGTTTTATGAGTTTTGTTAAGGCTTTCGCCCAAAACATATTTTTAACAAGCTATTCGTGGCAGAGAGGTACATGTAGGGCACTGTTAGGCCAGACAGTCTCCAAAGAGCAGCAGCTCTTCTGCCGACATTATTCAATATGTTCTATCTAAATATTTACCTAAATATATCTGCGGTTCATTACATATTTTGATCTGTGGCAGGCGTGTGCCAGTGATGTTAAACGTGATTTCCTTCTGATTTAGGGGTACAATAACCAAAATGCTAGTCGAATGAATTCTATGTCTCTCTCGACATCTAAACCAGAAATGAACAATGATTCCAGTCTCAGTCCTGGGGGCCCCATGCATGGCACACTCTCCATTTTCCATAATCTAACACTTATCAAGCCTTTTGTGAGCTCAATCATGTGTATTACAATGGCGGTTCTCAACCCTGGTCTGCATTTTTCTGTGTTTTTCTGCTCTCATTCAACTAATCAGTTCATTAACAGGTCTTTCCTTATTTGAAATAGGTGTGTTCAAGCAGGGAAAGGGTTTAAATGTGCAGGGCAGGAGAACTCCAGGTCCGGCACTGGGAGCCACTGCTTAAAATCAAGTCTAATTTAAACCTATTCGAACTATTTAACCATCTCTATTAAAGTAACACTATCTTAATTGGGGCTGGCATCACAAAACATTTTGATGATGCACAATAAGAATCACAATATTTAGTTTTTCTGAGGTTTGATGTGTTGGAACAGGCAAAAAGAGCCAGTAGCGCCACATTTCAAAATACTTTTGAATTGAAATAATTAACATTTTACATGCAGCACAACACTAAATCCAAGTAAAGAGGACTAACTGTGCTCTCTCTGTAATGAATCATGCAGTTGGTCTGTGTTCATCCACGATATGCTCAGAAAAGCATATGTTGTTGTAATTTGTCGCAATAAATATTGTCATACTGCCCCTCCCTAATTTTCACCTAAAAGGCTTGTACTGTACTGGAGTAAGGAAAATGCAGAAATGAGCAGTGCTTGAGGCTCTAAGGACTATGACTGAGAACCACTCCTTCATAAACACTAAAGGGCAGGTTCTTACATCATAGCTGTGGCCCTGAGAGGGGGCCTGCTGTTGGTGCTTGGACCCCCTCTTGCCCTGGGACAGGTTCATGGCATCCCTGGCCCAGTTGTCCACCAGTTTGTGCAGGTCGTCGGTGAACGTGCCCTTGCGGCTCTGGGGCGCAGTGTTCGGCGGCTGAGTTTGGCTCTGCCCCGGGCCTGGCCCACCCACCGTGTTGGTGCTGCTCGTCCCTGTAAGACGACAGAAGGAGAAAAAAGACGGAAAGAAAAAAAAAAAAAGAAGGGAAGTCATTCATCTGCATTCCACTGTAAAGATGCTGAAGTGACACAATCTAACCACAAAAGACCAAGTCAAGGTGTTCATGTATATTTTCATATACATATAGGTTTGTATGTGTATGGTAATAGTCATGGCAGTGAGAGGCCCTATAGAGCACCTGGGAGTCCGCTCTGAGGCTAAAGGGGCATTTTTATCTCTCTGACTCCAGCCTGAAAAACAGGGCATGGTGAAAGAGTTAAGACACCGTCTGGGTTTACACTCAACCACTGTTAGGCTTCCAACTCGCATTTTCCATGGCAGCGTTGCTGCAGTGAGCTACAGCAGTCTTTTATGACATTAGAGGGAGCCAAAGAGCAACAAATGGTGATGGAATTCATCATTAGCACCACTGCATTAACCTTAAATGAACTGCGATGACTCAAATTCAAAATGGATCGGTGCCATTAATATGGATTTTGCTTCGCTTTTTTAGCAGACAAGGTTTTCCTCTGACAAGTCTGTTTATCCACAACCAGGAAGGTACTGAGAGTACTGAATTAGCAGTATGTGAACTGCATGACTTTCCTTCTTGTTAGCACAGTGGTTTTTCTGCTGTTTGTATTTTTTGTCTGTATGAACTACTTTAAAAATAGTCACTTACGGTCTACATATACTTAATTCTATCACTTGCACTCTCAAACTCAAAGCCCTTTACTTTATAAAGGCAGCACTTCTGTATTGATTGTATTTATCATCATCGGATGGAGTACCTTGGCTCTTTTAGACATGTCTGAGGATAACCATCAAACATGCAAGTCAACTGCCCTGTTGAACTGTCTGTGTCTGTGAGTGTATGTGAAGCCAATGCATTTGTGAAAAACAGGGTTAAAATAATGAAAAAAAGCTGAAAACGAAACGATGAAAGCCACTGGTTTTTGTAAATGAAAACCTGGTGCATGTTTAGGTTAAGAAAGGAAAGAAGAATCACAATTTCTGTTGACATTAAACCACAATCTGCCTCTATGGCAGAATTAAACAAAAAGCCTCCAATGAAGCAGCGGTAGAGTGCAGAGACAGAAAAGCGCATACACTGCACCAAGCCTCAAGCACCAGTGGAATTCTGGGGGATGGAGTCCAGAGCAAAGCCATGCTTACAGGGAGTGCGGGAGGAAAGCTGCACGCACAGCTTGACTTCAGCATTTTACTGGATGACTTCCATTCACTTCACGTTCATTTCACGTTGCACTGATTCAGAGGTCTGGCGTGTGCATGTTATACAAGAATAACAGCGAGTCTTACAGCGAGCAGAGGGTTTTAGTTCAGACTGAATTGTTCATGAGCGCTTACACCGAAATGTTAGCTGCTTGAGTCATGTTGAGAGATTAAGGAGTAGCACAGTGCAAAGAGCTGGAGCAAAAATCCGACAGGGTTTATTATACATGGAAAGGATAAAGGCCCCGACACACCAAGCTGTTTGTCGGCGGACAGACGCCGCCAGGCCACTGGCTGTGACATGTCTACACTGTTGGCTCTAATCGGCTCTCATCAATGCTGGGGGTGGCTAATTTCTCAACACCAGCACAGGCAGCAAATTTTATCACTAACGATGGGCATTTTAACTTTTATTAAATAAGCTGTATTTGAATGGCATATTCCCAACAAGAAAATAATGTGGAAAACTGCAATGAAAAACTATGGCCGGGCAAGAGCTCTGAAGGTGCTCTGATAAAGGGATACATATTATGATTATTATTATTATTAATTTGTATTTTTGTACTTTTGTAGTCAGATAATAATGAACATGAACCAACATGCATAATTTTATTTCACAGTTTAACGTACAAACATTCATTTCTAACCGTCCCTTTTACCCACCCAGTGCCATTTTTCACTTTCACATTCTAGGTTTAGCTTAAACTTGGACATTTGAAGGCTGTCAGACATTCAAACAATACGCTCTTTACTCTGTATGTTGCAATTTTACAGTTTTACAGACTCCAGTTTCTGCTACAGAGAGTTGTTCCTGTGTTTGGCATCAGTTACAGTCTTTGCTGCGTGTCTGAGTGTGACTAATTAAAATCATCCAATTTGGCTCCAAAGCAGGAGGTTTTCAACCCAGTCCTCAGGGCCCCCAGACAATCCACATTTCTGCTACAACCTAAATCAGGAAGGAGCAAAAATGTGGACCACCTGGGGGGCAACGATGATCAGTTTGAAGACCCCTGCTCTACAGAATTCAGAATCGGCCAATGCACCACTAATTTTGATTGTGTCTATTTCTCTATGAAGCTATTTGAGCTGCACTGTGCGTGTGCGCGCCGGAAGAAAACCTTCTATGTCCGTTTTTCAGTTTTTGGCATAATTTGAAAATGCCTGTTGGTCTTTACATTGTGTATAAATTTCATGATGAATGGACTAAAAGAAACTGCCCAAAAAGTCTGGTTCCATTGACTTACATTAGAAGTAAAGTAGGTTTTTTCCTTCTCCTGTAAAGTTATCATTCTGGAAATACGAGGTTTTCTTCCAACAACAGTGATGCATTATATACACCAGTTGGTGTTCGAGTCGGTGTGTCTGGGCCCTAACAGGATAAAGTGCGTGTGTAATAGGGGTTAGTGCGGGGAGATGGGGAGTCATCTTTAAATTGGCTTGGGCGTAATAGGATGAGGCTTCAGCCTGGACCATTTAGAATGCATTAGCAGTGAACAGTGCTAGGAATGGAGATGTCTTGCTGTGGTTTTTTCAAGTGTTTTGGTGAGAAAAGCACTTACATGCACACACACACACACACACACGCGCACGAAACCAAAAAACGCTGTGAATGATGATCTGAATTCCTGACTGGAAACTGTTAACGACTCACCCAAGCAAAAACCTCTGACTTGCGTCACTGACGTTTTTCAAATTTCGAGAAGAATACATGACGGATGCTTTTGAGGAGAGATTGGTTCTGGTAGATTCCCAACTTGACAACACATTTACAGCACATGAATGGGGTCATCAGAACAGAGAAATGCTCAAGTCAGCCTGAGAGCTTAGCAACGCCCAGCAGCTTGAGCTTCAACAGGCCACAACGTGCGCACACACGCGCACACATATACAGAGCAAGAGAGGACGAGAGGAATGGGAAGTGCGGGAGTGAAGGAGGAGGAGGAGGAGGAGGAGGAGGAGGAGACATAAAAAAGAGAGAGATAATTACTACAGAGCTGGTTGCAGGGGCACACTTTTTTCACCATCTTCCCTGAAGCACGGAGAGAAGCATGGGATTGAAGAGAGTCAGTGTTAAAGTCACTAAGCACAATGCATTACAGGGAGTGCATCATTACATGCCACCCTAGAGCTAAACTAAAGTCCAGACTGCTGCTTTAGCTCCATGGTGCATTAGCAAGAAGTGGAGGTGGAGCAAGGAGGGGAACTAAGCTGCAGCTGGACTCTCTCTCATCTCCTAAAACTGGGACATTTCAAAGGAAGAGAAGCCAGTGAGAGAGTGAACGACCTCCTGTGTACAGTCATTTTGTTCACTGCAGAGGATAACAGCTTTGAGGGGAGACGCAGTGTGAGTAGTGCGTTTCTGCGTGAAGGGACCTGTGTAAAATACTGTACAGGCTGCCTTTAATGTTGATGTATGTAAATTAGCTCTGTTCTGACTGGATACGCTGTATTGTGCCTCTTTCAGAAAGTCTGGACTGAAATACTCAGAAAATTCATTGTGAATGGGCGGGGCGTCGCTGCTGTAGGCTGAATAGAAGGATATATAAATCTAAACGTTTCTATTTTTAATATGAGACTTTGATGTCATATGTAAAAAATTATTAAAATCTTTTAAATGTACTATTCACACCCCAGTCCATACAATCTATATATGGAAATTAAGCTGCCTACAGCAGTTTAACTTCACCCATTCCTGCTAAAGATATCCAGCCTGGACTGCTTTTTGAATGAGGCATGGCACAGTGGCAACCAATCAGAACAAAGGTCAGTTTTGTGTGTGTGTGTGTGTGTGTGCGTGTGTGTATGTATGTGTGTATATATATATATATATATATATATATATATATATATATATATATATATATATATATATATATATATATATATATATATATATATCTAAAATCAAAAAGGCCCTGTTTAATACTAAGGGTCGCGGTGGGGTGCTGGAGCCTATCCCAGCTGTCTGCCCTGCAATGGACTGGCGACCTGTCCAGGGTGTATCCTGCCTTCCGCCCAATGACAGCTGGGATAGGCTCCAGCACCCCACCGCGACCCAGAAGGAGAAGCGGTTTAGATGATGTATGTATGTATGTATTAATACTAAGGAATAAAGAGATATTGGAAAGTTGGAAAATGGTCATGTAAAAATGAACCGCAATGTGCGTTTTTGTTACATACACAGGCCCTTTAAAAGGTGAGGAAAAATCTGGTTTTTTTTTTTTTCAGGTTACGGGCCCTTTAACTTTTTAGAGAGAGAGAACACTGCAGAGATTTGCCCTGCCTGGTAAACTAGTGGCCACATCTATGCAGAGCTCCTGAAGCTTCTGGGCTTTGAACTGCAACAGCACTTCATAGCTCAACACTTCATAATAAGCACCAGGCAGGGAGGTCTAACTCCAAGATCTGGCACTGAACTAAGTGTGGGGCACATATTCAGCCACACACATGTAAAATCATCATAACCAAAGGTTCACAGTTGAAAAATAATGATAAGATTAATGGAAAGTAAAATTGCACATTATGAATGCTGAACTTGTTTAGGGCGTTTTAAACTGGGAAAACGGTTTATTATTAATCAGTAATGTTGTAGAGTGAGTGTGTTAAAAGGTTGATGGAAGTAATGTGGCAAAAGTGAGTATTTGTAGGGTTTGAATGAGGTAGCCTGCATTTTAAGATGGTTGAAGGGGGTAAATAAACAACAGGTTTGGTTTTGGACTTCAGGGGCAGCCATTCTGGAGCAGCAGTGGAGGGGAGTGTAGGGTCATGGGTGCAGGGATGGGAAGGGCTAAAACTAGGTGAAGCAGTTCTGGAATACTGTAAGCATGGAGATGTCTTGCTATCAAATACTTCAGTAATAAACGCTCTCATGGACCATAAGACTTCTAGCAAATGCCAGTTATGCAGCCTAATAAAAACTAGTCATCTTCAGCACTTATGAAACTGCCACACCTATAAACTTTTCCTGCTATTAATTAATTAATTATTAAACTGCAGGCAAATCTTGCACCAAAACTAAGTTCTCATATGAAACTAAGCTTCAAAGATGGAATAGATGGAGGCAAATAGTTATGATACTGTAATGTTGAATATGAGCATTAAATCAGAATGTCCTATTCAAGTTTAGTGGTGAAGTTTGATCATTTGAAGATGGTGCCAGTCAGAATGGCTCCCAAACACAAGAAAACCAGTCAGTGTGTAGGAAAGAGACAAAGGAAAAGCGTTACACACAAAGAGCCAAGCAGGGCGTACTCAGAAAACGGGTCCTTCTGCCACCTGGTTTGAAGGTCACTCTCTCCGACCCACAGCTGAACTTTACACAGCCTGTGGCACAAAAAGAGGGAAGAGAGAAAAAAAAAAGAAAAAGAAAAGAGAGAGGTACAGAAAAAGAGAGAGGGAGAAGGAGACGTACACCAATACACAGTAAGAATGGAAACAGAGGTCAGTAAGCCATGAGCTCGAGATAGAGAGAGAGAGAGAGAGAGAGATAGAGAGAGAGAGACAGAGAGAGAGACAGAGAGAGAGCAAGACAGAAAAAGGAGTGCAAGATTGTGGCACAAAGGAGAAGTGAGCATAGAGCTGTGCTGCACAGTGGAAAAGGCAAGCAACAGCATCCCCTGCAGAGAGTGGAATCTGCACTGCAGCTACACTCACAACAAGGCATGCATTGATGAGTTTTACAGGCCGCATCTTTATGAACTTCTACTGACGGGTCAGTGGGCAAACAGGGATACAGATCAACACTACGTGCCTGTAATAGTCTTATTACTGAGCAAACCTGTGCAGCTGGCAAAAAGACTAATAGGCGTGGAAACACAAGGACAGCCCAAACAGTACGATAGTAAATACTGTGCAAAACTCAGAGACCATCCTTCGTTTATTTAATATCCACTCCAAACAGCTATTAATTTACTCTACTCAAGAATTTCGTCACAGTACTTCAGGCACTTGACAGTACTTAACGCTTTCATCTTTGAGAGGGTGAAGCAAAATCAAGCTCCCCTCTTGCTTCAGATCTAAAAAAAAGCTGTCTGACTGCAGAGCCGCAGATTTACACACCCACAGTTTCACTCCAGCGGTTTCAGTCCAGTGAAATTCATGCGCAGTAGGGCAGCGAGATTGTGCCACGTAAACAAAGTCCGTATAGGAAAGTTGAGCATTAAGAGCGTCACATTCGTATTTCAACCAGTGGCCGTACTCCTCATTTATAACGTCTCTGATGTAAACAGCGACTGTGTGTGCTGGTTGCATGCATATTACCATTGAGGATGGGAGTCTGTTATATGGGTATAATATAGGAATCAACCATTGGTAACCGATTAAACCATAAGACAAAACACATTACAAAACCATCAGAAACAAAAAGAAATACCTAATGATTTACATGGATTTTTCAGCAGTAATATGTTCAAAAACGAAAGTTTGTTTTAGCTTAAAGCTTAATATTATGCTCAGTTTAAGCTGCTTGAGGTAAAGTTATATTCCTGTTTTCCTCAAGTTAATTGAGCTATATGTCTACATAACCCATTAACTTGCCTAGGCCACATAAGCTGTAGTTCGTGTAATATATACCCTGTAAATCTCTATATGTGTTCAAACCAAAGTTTGTTTTAGCCTAAAGCTTAAAATATAATGTTAGCGCAATGCAAGTTTGGGACCAAACCAAAACAAGTGTCTGCACATGCGCTGAATGCCACTGGATTGAACCTTCTGGAGTGAAACTGCTGGCATGAAACTGTTGGCATGAAACTGTGACTCTGCAGCTCTGCAGACAGGTGTTATTGGGTTTCTGTCCTTCCTTACACTGTGAGAAGGCAACTCAGCACTATAAGTCTGAAAGGAACATTTGCAAATCAAACAAATAAGGTGCTGATGCTCTCAGAAAAATGGACTGACCACCCCACAGTCCAGACCTCATCATTAACTGTATTTAGGATTATTTGGATTGTGAGAAGCAAAAAAATGCAACCAACTTCTAAGACTGAACTTTGGAGGTGTGAGGAAAAATATTGCAGCACATTTATTGTAAAGTCCTCCAAAAAGAATGTAAGCTGTAATAAAGACAGTACATTATTATATGATTGATGATATTTAGTTCAGGTTTCTGCTTTTTTCTGATGCTGAAAATTAAATAACTTCTACTTAATGACTGTTTTGACTGGCCATTAAATGGTGAGTGAATGAAGGGTGGTCTCTGACATTTGTACAGTGCTGCACATATGCTATTAACCTCAATCAACAGAGACAGCAAGTTAAATGCTGTTGTACACCAATCTGTTTGACTTTGCCCTTGGAAAACCTTGACTCATCTGAACAGACAATGTTACTCAAGATTTTACAAAAGAAGCAATATTACCTTGCGTGGCTACACAGAGGCTGGGGGCGGACAGCGTGGCATCGCTGGTGTAGGCTGAGTACAGGTTTTCACTGGAAGGAGTGGGTTTGAAGGGCTGGAGGATGGGGCTGCTCCCTGCATCAACCAGACCTCCGGGGGACAGGAAGCCCTGCTGTGGTGGGTACACTGAGGGAGCACTCTGCGCCGATAAAGTGCTGCTTGCTGAAACAAACACAAACATATAGTAACAGCTGGTTATGACTGAGTCAAAGGTTACTTCATTATTAGCTGACAAAGTCCATTAGACTTCACAGAAGAATATTAAGGAAAGAAGTTGAAATCTTAATGTATTACTTAAAAACAAAAGCTCTCTAATGTTCATCTGATATACGCAGCGATCCTGATAGATTCCAACACACTAAAGCATGTGTGCAATATGGTGTCTATTGTTTTGGTGAACCATAAAAAGTCAAGGAACTTTGAATGATGGCAGCCCTGTGACAGATGCAAAGTAAGAAGAAACTGCAGAAAGCGTAATGGTTTAATTAGTCAATGAATCAAATAAATGATTAGTCAACTATAAAAATGAGTGTTAACTGCAGCCCTAGAGCTCACAAGACTGAAAGAATGAAGCTGGATAGACTATTTTTCCCCCATAAAGTTTATTTTATAACACAGAATCAGCTGTTAGTGAAGACATACCAGGCTGAAGTGGGCTCTTGCTGCCCTGTGAGCTACCACGGCTAGACTTGCTGCTTTTGCTCTTGGTGGGTCGCCGTCTGCGGCCGGCCAGGGTCACTGCGGGTGGGTTAACTGTGGCAGGCGGGACTTTACCCATTCGGGCAAAAAGGGCATCGATCTCCTCTTTCTGCCGTGTGTAGAGGGCCTGACTCTCCATCATGTGCCTGACAGCACAATAACAAGAGGTTATGAATGATGTAACCTGCACAACTTTCTTCACATTCATTAAGTATGAAGCAGATCATTTCATCACTGTCATAAGAAAAACCTGCATCTCTGCAATGGTGACTTCATAGGAAAAGGGAAAAGAATGGGCCTCATTCATGGGCCAGTTTTTACCAAGATTGACATTCACCAATGTTTTCTTATTTGGGATTTGTTCTTAAGTAAGAACAGAATCTACACTCACTCAAGAGCAAAAAGGCATGAACAATTCTGCAGTTTAAGAACACGTCTAGAATCTGACACAGGCTACGTTCACATTACCAGTCTGAAGTGGCACAAATTAGATTTTTTGCCCTAATGTGACTCAGATCTGATGTTTTCTGAGCTGTGTGGACACGCAAATCTGATCTTTTCAAATCCAACCTGAGCCACTTATGCCTTATGTGGTCCTGGATCGGATACGTATCCGATTAGTGGCCGTGTGACCTTAATGTGACGCTCAGATCGGACGTCATGTGCTTTTTTCCATTGCGCGTGCGCCATCATTCAGCGTTACCATGGCAGCAGCGCTGATCCGAAGTTGAAGCCTGTACACGGTGGAAAAACAGCACATCTCACCTTTTTCACCTTCGTCTCGCTCTAATAATGAAGCTGAGAGCTGATCAGAGTTAATTATCTTCACAGCGAAGCTCGTTAGTTTGTTTGCTGATGATGCACGTGATTCATTCACGTGACGTTACTGAGTAGGATGTGCGCATGTGGGTCATTTCAGGATGCCGGTTCGTTCACATTAATGACAGATTTGACTCACTTACCTAAACGAGTGTGAACCATCGTGTTGTAATGTGAACGTAGCCTTAGACTTTTCCTTAGGAACTTTCTCAAGAACAAATTTAAGAAAAAACTTAAGATAGTGGTGAATGAGGCCCAAATGTTCTCAACATCTTAAAAACACTACAACATATCCACTGGCCCACGTCATTGAAATGTCAACAAAAAGGTGATGTTTTTAAACCTACTTCTCTCGCAGCTTGCTGACTTCTCGCTTGAAGTCCTCATCCTCAAACTCCGAGTCGTTGTCACTGCTCAAGTAGGAGTTGAAGGAGTTGTTCAGGCTGGCCAGGCTCTTGCCTTCAGGGCTGAGAGCTGGGCCATTTCCCACAGCAGGAAGGCTCTGAGGCTGAGGCTCTGGAGACCCCGGAGCCTCTGGAGCGCCTGCAGGGGGATCATCTGGGGCCCTTCTCACTGAAAAACGGCCCACCTTGGTGTCGGTCCTGGTGGTGACCTGAAAGCGGCCGATGGTGGTGGGCTGCGGGGAGGGGGCCTTCTGGCCAGGCTGCATTGGAGGAAGGCCGTCCACAACATCTCCCCCCAGCTCATGGAGTGGAGACGAGGTCCTGTGCAGAGTGTTCTCCGGGCTGGAGAGAGTGGAGGGAGAGGAGGATGAGGAGGAAGAGGTGGATGAAGAGGTGGTAGAAGAAGATGAGTCACTGGAGGTGGTGGGAGCCTGCAGGGAAGAGTCCTCAGCTGCCAGTGACACCTGAATGAGGACGGGGAAAAGAAAAGAAACAGATGTGAAATAATTTCAGTGTATTTCATTAAACAGTATCTTATACGACCAAAAATATCTCGCTTGTTATAACTATGACAAATGATTAAAGAGTAAAAATAACATTCAGTTACATAAACAAAGGTGAAACGTGAAGAAAAGACGGCTTAATACCTGGAATCGGCCCAGTTTGAAGCCTCCAGCTACAGGTGCGGCTACTGGTTCCCCATCCAGAGAAAATGGAACTGAAAGAAGAATCATAAAAATAAGCATAGATATTAATTTAAAAATGACTTTCAAAGTTTAAATATTGTTTTTAGTTTTTTTGATTAAGGTTTCAGTTATTTGTAATATTAAGGTTCAATGAAAGAGGCTGCACACACCTGGCTGACCTCCAGCAGGCATCCCGGTAAGAGAGGACTACAGAGGAAAGAGAGGTAAGGGGGTCAATTATAAGACTAATATTACATGTAGTCACAGCATTGAGTACACTGATGAAACGCAATAACTAACATTAACTGCTGTCACTCTACAACATGTCTCTAAGGCTGGCAGTCTGAGCCAGAGATGTTAGAAAGGAGGAGACAGGTCACTGGTTGAAATATGAATGAAAAAGCTTGTAACCCCTTATTATGGCATAGGTTTACAACAAAAGTCCTGCCATTCAATAAAACAAGCCAAGGTTGCTGCTTAAGCTGGAAGCGGGAAAACCTCCCTCTGGCTGTGGAGATATGTGCCTATACAGAGGCCTGAACAAGCTGAAAATTCATGCTTTTTTGTGTGTGATTTGAGCCAAATGCCAACTGTTTATGCTGTTTTCATCAGATTTTATCTGAGATTTCAAGTGTGTTTCTGCAAAGTTTGTTTGGCTTTTAGTTTGGGGTTTATAGGTCTCTCCCCATTCAAATGCCTTCCTATAAGGACAGACTTTCCTATAAGGACTGTCTGAACCATTGGCGGTTGATCCTTTAGGACATTCTTGTCAATTTTTCTTTGTAAGACTGGAAATAACGCTCCTTCTTCCTAATTGTTCGGCCTTTTATTATATCTATTATATCGTATAAAATGTTTATCTACACTGGTATCTTATATCGCAACTTTCTTGTGATCTTGATATGCAGTTGTATGCACAAGTTTGAACATTCTTGGTCAAATATCATGATCTGTTGATTTTTTTTTTTTTTAAGTAAAATAAGTCTGTGTCATTTTTTCCTATTTTCAATTCTGAGTTTGAGAAACTGGGAAAAATAAAACAAAATGTAACATATGCCATAACTTTTGCACAATTTCTACTTTTTCCTATTCCATTTTTTTAAATTGGTAAAATATATGACAAGGAAACAAAACTGTGCAGGGTATAGAAATACACCAGGACTGGAACTGATGACCCCTGCTTTAGAGGGTCATTAGAGAAGACTTCATATTATTTCTATATAGTGATTCAGTTAACGAATGTGAGGACTAGGCACGTGCCGATATATCTTTTTTTTTTTACCATGATAATGATCATAATTGCCTAATCCTTAATCATGGTTTACAATATTAACTCAATATTGTATTTTTAATATACTGTCATGTGTTGAATGTCAAAGATATGTTTTGAACGTCATGTGAAATTCAGTAAATACACAGCAATTGTGCAGAAGTCTGTTCTCTGTAGAGGATGTGTTACTTATTTACGCTTAGAAAATCAACAAGACGTGTCATTTGACCAGGGGCACCAAAACTTTTGCACACAACTGTGCTCCCTATTGCTCAATTGTTTGGACTTAGCGTTCTCAACAATATAAAGCCAATTTATTTGCAGAGTATAAACTGATTAAACTGAATCTGGAGAAGATTCTATAATGACAGAAAGCTGTAGAGCATCAAGAATTTAGTTATAATAAAATAAATACATATTTTCAAATGGAGATAACATCTCAATGCAGATGACCTGACAAAAAAAAGAATGTAAACTGATAATTATAGTAGATTATTTATCATTTTATTCACTTCTTGTTCACAGAAGCCTTAGAATATTAAATAAAATAAAAAACAGCTTTTATAGTGAATAGTTTGTAATAATTTAATCCACAGTGCATAAGTCATGGTATGGTATAACAAAATGTTAAAAGACAAGCGATTCCATACAGATGTAACTGGAGCACTTAAGGATACTGTTGTTGAAATATATTTTTAAATAAAAATTTTTATTAATTTCTACATACTGCAGTGTATAAATTTGGTCACCCTTGGTCAAATTACATTTTTTTTTGTTGATTTTATTTATAGAGAACACTTTTTTGACATGTTCTTTTGTTTTTTGGAAAAAAAATTCTCAGTTTCAATATTTGATGTGTTCTCTTGTAGTGTTTTCAATTAAATATAGGGTTTACTTGATTTGCATATCATTTACATTCTATTTTTATGTACATTTTACACAAAATTCCAACTTCTTTTGAAAACAGGGCTGTAAATCTGGAGTATTTCTACTGTTCCATGCGTCAAGAAATGTTCATATAATGTACAGAGCAGCTGACTTTTATCAAATGATTTTACAAATAAATAAAAACTGATTTCTGACAGAGTTTTGATACAGCAGCGATATGGAAGTTAAACAACCTTAGGCTGGGCTCCTGTCCAGGCTCCTTATGTTTGTGAGTGCATGTGCGCTGTGTACCTGATGCGTGACACTGCTGACAGACACAGTCTCTGGACTCAAAGCCCGTCTCAGCTGGGCGTCCAGATCCTCCAGGGGCTGCTGGGACTGAGGAACAATCCGGTTCACCAATTAGTCAAGTCCACTTAGCCACAAAGCCACAACACATGCACTCAAATGACTTATAGCAGCGCACACAAATCCAGCAGGAGGAAAGGCTATCCAGTTAGCTTCTGCATGAAAGTTTTTTTTTTTTTTACCACAAGTTAGAAATCTGCTGACCTTCGGATGGACACAGAGCATTCTGGATCAACCGATGGGGTTCTCCTTCATTTCACACTTCAAATTAGAAAGATGGCAACTAAATGCTCTATTTGGGTGCCATTCAGTAGGTTCTGAGATGATTTGTACTGGGTGGTTTGAGGCCAAGGCCACTTTTTAGTCTTTTTAGTTTTAAAGAAGTCTAAAGAATCAGGAACAGTCTTTGGTAAAGGGTAAACCACCTCAGGCAAGGATGAAGGACTTTCCAAGAGTCTGGACAAGCCTGACAGCAGGGTCCCAAATGTTTCAGGGCATTACATAAGGTTGGATTCCTTTGCACTAAAGCATTCCAAACTGGACTGTAATGACCATAAAGTTGGTTTCAACTTAAAGAAATGCAAGCATCCAAATATCCTACACATTATTCTGTAACACTGCACTCTCCTCCCCCTTTTCCCCTTCACTCCTTAGGGAGAGAGAGAATGAGAGAGTGATAGAGACAGACAGAGATAAAAAGCAGCCAGTCAGAGTTAATGAGAATCACAGGTCATGCTCCTAACGGGTTTTCAGAGAAATGCAATGCCATGCACTGATTTGATACTGATCCGATTAGAAATCTCCCCTCATGCCTCAGCTGTTTTTCGGGAAAGCGTGAATGGAAAAAGGTAGAGTAAAGTGGTGTACAGCGAGAACAGGAGGTCAGAGCTTAACATAGCAAGGGTAGACCAACAGTGGGAGAAGGCAACGATGGACAGAAGCACTCTGATAGAGAAGGGAAGAAAAATGCACCTGAGTTAGACAAGGTCCTGGGAAGGGTGGCGGGTGTTCTGTGGGTGGCGTGCCGGCTTGCTCGGAGCCGACAGGCAACACCTGATGAAACGAAGATGAAGATCAAACCAACAGCACTTTTGCCCAGAGCCCTAGCAGAGAGGCTACTGCGCAACCTACAGGCCACATGCAGCTCCCATTCAACTACTCTGGCAACGTATTACACTGTAAATTAGAGGTACTTGGGTTTGAACTTGGGATCTTCTCTGGAGAGATATCTGCAGTACGAGTAGCCAGAGTTCCCCTTTTTTTTAGAGCAATGGTTTCCAAACCTGATCCTGCACATTTTGGCCTTTTCCCTCCACACCTAAAAAGATGGTTCTTCAAGGGTTCTTTACTAAAGAAAATGGTTCTGTATTGAACCATGAATACTCAAAGAACCTTTTTCATGATTAAAGGGTTATTTGCATCTTGAAAGAGTTCCTCAGATTGATGGACAACGTGCTGTAGATGGTTCTATACAGAATCTTTTTGAAAAGCGTTCTTTATAGCACCAAAAAAGGTTCTAATATTGTTACGATACGAGCTTATAATAATAGCAGAACTCTATATAGGGTGCTAGATGCAAAGAACCCTGTATAATCATGCAAAGAGCTCTTTGAGTGTTCATAGTTCTACATAGAACCATTTTCTTTAGTAAAGAAGCCTTAAAGAGCCACTATCCCATCCTCTCTACTCAGGAAGGACTTATTAAATACTTGGTAAAATATATTGGTAAAATATATGACCAGGGAACAAAAATGTGCAGGGTAGAAATACACCAGGACTGGAACTGATGACCCCTGCTTTAGAGGGTCATTAGAGAAGACTTCATATTATTTCTATATAGTGATTAAGTTAATGTGAGGACTAGGCACGTGCCGATATATCGTTTTTTTTTTTTTTAATCATGATAATTGCCTAACATTTAATTACAGTTTACAATATTATCTGAGTATTGTATTTTTAATAAACTGACGTGTTGAATGTCAAATATATGTTCTGAACGTCATGTTTTATGCAGTACTTCCACAAAAATCCATATAATGCTCACTGAGTTTCATTATGATATATGACTATTTGCAGTTAGGACTGGAGTTGAGAACCCTGCCATAGAGCACATACCATTGCAGTACTTACAATACCACAATTTTAAAAATTGCATAGCCTGCACTTTATCGTATAATAATCATAAACAGGCTGTGCATATCATTATATAAAAGTGTTTAAACTTTATTAGTATCCTGTAATTCTCAAAAAAAAAAAAATGCAACCATAATGCTAATTTCTCTTAGCTGATTAATAAGATTTTCCATTACGTGTTAGCATCAAGCTAACGGTGGTGGGATTTTTTTTCCCCACTGAGTTCTATACTATGGCTTGAGTCTAAACATGGACTATTGACAAAGCTTCTAACTGACAATCAGTTTTTGTTTCCTTTATTTATTTATTTTTACTTTGTATGCTGCAAATATACACTGAATCTTTCAGTAAATGTTCCAAACTTGAAGTCTAACTCTGAATATTACGAGAATTGCTTATCAGAAGTCTGCAGAAGTGCTTGCTAACCTTACTTAGAAACAGAGTTTTGTTTATGTTTAGTCTTCTTTCGTGACTTCTACTTGATAAACATGCAGTTTGTGACTGCAAACATACATTAATTCATGAGAGCATTTTTCCTGAGATGGGTGGAATGTGAGTTTTCACCTTGTTTGATGGTGGAAAAAAATTCAGCGCTCTCTGATCTCTAAAATCTCTGGTGAAGCTGCAGCTTGTTTGACTAAAATGCAGTGACTGCACTGTCCATGATAATGTTACAGACTGTGATTGATACTGCGGTATACCGAATTATCGAATATCGGCACATGTCTAGCAAGGACAAATGATTCTATCATAATGATGCCAATAATACTACTAATAATAATCATTATCATATACATTGTGTATAAGCAAAGGCCATGCGTTAAATGTGTTAAACAGCAGAAACGTTTTCATTCCATTGGATGTTAGTGGTTCTAGTGAATGTGGTTAATAAAGACCTATAGAGAAAAGAGATGAGTGTCCACCGCACCAAATGTTAACACCATTGTTCTCTCCACACAAAACAATGAGCACGGCCACAAGGGCAGTCCAAAATACTCTCAAACAGACATGTCGGTCATTCTCACTCACCGGCAATCTTGACAACGGTGCTTTGGATGGCGTGCTCTGGCCGTAGTTGACAGGCGTGGTAGTAGTGCCTGGGGTGGTCATAGGGGAGCCTGCTGGCTGACCAGAAAAACCCAAAGGCAAGCTAGAAGGAGGGAGAGGTGGGCCGCCAGAGATGGTGGTGGAGCTTGTAGGGGAGGACGTGCCAGGAATGTTGGGCTCCAGGGCTCCGGTGTCGGCCTGTGCCGAAGGGGGGCCCGAGCCCAGGTCCATGAAAAGGGAGCGTAGTTTCTTGTCCAGGGCATGAATGTCGTCTATGCCAGGGGTCTTGCCCTGGGAGTCTCCTTCACACTCAACACAGTGAGAGTGGCTCTGGTTGGGAAGCGTGGAGGGCTGGGGCTGACTGTGCACGGGTGTGGGCTGCACCACAGGGATGCTAGTGGTGACCGGCTGAAGGCTAGGCACCTGGGGCAAAGCGGCAGGGACAGGAGCTGGCGGGCCGCTGGTGCTTGGAACGCTGGAGGGGATGAGCTGGGGCGTTTGGATGGCCGTGGTTGGTATCACAGCTGGAGTGAGTTGGGCTACGGTGGAAGGGATAGGAGGCTGCTCAGCAGTTCCCCCAGGAAGAGAATTCACATTGTTAACAGGGTGAGGGGGTAGGGCTGCAGTGCTGGGCACTGAAGTGTTTATGACCACATGCAAGGGGACTGTAGATGGAGGGAAAGAGGCTGGAGGAACCATAGAAGCAGCGCTCATGGCTACTGGAGGGGATACTGAGCAGGGCGGAGACATCATGGTGGGGACTGTGGAGATGGCAGGCTGACCGATGGGTGGCGGGGGCTGAGAAGGCAGTGAGGCAACTACAGGAGGGAGTGAGGAAGGAGGAAGAAGGGGAGTGGGGACAGCTGGTTCAGAAGGCTGAGGTTGAGGTGAGAGCACAGCAGCAGATGAAGCAGGGAGGGGGCTGGCTACAGGTAACAGAGGAGGCATGGAGGTGTGCAGGGTAGGGGGTGCTGTGCTGGGTCCAGGGTCATACTGGCCCTGGCGGAGTTCAGCAAAGGCCTGCTGCAGACTGACTGCAGAGGCAGACTGAGACAGCCCCACGGCAGATCCTCCCACTGACGCTGCTGAGAAAAACAGGCACACAGTTGACGAAATTAAACTGGCATCTGGTTTCATAACAACTCCAAAAGGCTGAACTCAATCAGATTATTTATAACGCACTGTGACATTAAGTTATATCGTCAACGAACAGTGGATTACAATGTAATAAAAGTTGTTTTGTAGTGTTATCAGTACTGAATCATATGTCAGCTGAGACCTTCTTTCCTGTGACATTTAAAGGAACAGTCCAGTGTTTTTCTTCATTTACAAACACGGCATGAAAAAGCGTTCAATAGATTTATACAGGGAATAAAGTAAGAGAGCAAAACTGCTTTCAGAGACTGTACCGCTAATATGCAATATTAGTGGAATATTCTTGAAAAGATTATTTCTCTCTTATGGTGAATCCTGATAATGCAGATAAAGAGAATGTATCTGGGGGGATTTTTACCCAATTATCTCCCCAATTTAGTCGTTTCCAATTCCACCCGCTAGTTAGGACTCCCCCAATCACACGATGCTATCAACACTAGGAGGGTGAAGGCTAACACAGGCTTCCTCCAAGATCTGTGAAGCCAACCACCGCTTCTTTCCGAACTGCCGCTCACGCAACGTCACTGGACAGCCGAACGCGCTCGGAGGAAAGCGCCAACTGCCAGATCTGTTACGTCAGCTAACAGACGCCTGCGCTGACTAGCATCGCGTTGAGTGATGGGGGGAGAAGGAGGGGCCATCCTACCCACCCAGAGAGAGCGAGGCCAATTGTGCTCTCTTGGACTCCCGGCTACGGACGGCTGTAGCATCACCAGGGATCGAACTCGCCATCTCCTGATGATAGGGCCAACGCTTAGACGGTTGCGCCACTCAGGAGCCCGCATGTTATCTTATAACTGGCCAGGGATCATTTCACTGCTCCATGCTGGTTGCACGTAGAGACTTGGGTAACACTTTATTTGGATAGTCCACTTTAGATGCTTTGAAGATACTTAATTTACTTTCAAGTTACATTCAATTAAATATCTACTAAATTGACCATAATTTTCTTTAACTCTAAACCTGCTCTAATCCTAACCATAACCTTAACCTCAACCCAAAACCTAAACCCCAACCCTCACCCCGGTCCAAATCCTAACCCTAACCCCACCACTGTTTAGAATCAACTGAGTTTCAACAGATGATATAGTACCAGTTTGAACATCTGTAGATAATCTATAGGGGACTATAGCGGACAATCCAAATAAAGTGAGGCCGAGACTTTTTTCTGCCTTCTATTTCCTCTCACATAGGTGCAGAAACAAGAAGCACAAGAGCTGTTTTAGTTGAATTTTTATCGTTATAGATCACACTTCCTTTAGACGTTCTAAAATCAACTAAATTAGTTCCTACCCTAGCTAGCATACCTGCTTTACAAACTACAAACTAACCAACCGTTGAGCTGTTTGCCGCTTTCTTTTAAACACAGTATTTACTGTGTATAGCACTTCAGTTCTGTCCTTCAGACAGACGGTATTCCTATAATGAAAGGATCGTGATTTGAATCCATGTTGAACCTGGCAGGAGACAGTTGTGTTTACTTTTGTACAATGTAATGCCTGCAGCTAACAATGAGACCAAACTACATTTCTCCACTAAAGACCAAAGACTCGACTGGGACTCATTACTATCTCTGCTACGTAGTGCTAACAGTTTTAGTGATCATGTTAAAATACTTTAAATTAAGTTAAACAATAACAAAAAACAATGTCACTGAATTATTTTTAAATTTACATCTGTACAAGAACCATTTGGATCCAAACCTGGATGCAATTCTATGCCCAGTGGAAGCCCTTGGGAGGAGTAAAAAATAACTGACTTTTCCTTCAGTATCTAAAAACTGATGGCAAACCACAAAGCTCTCATCTCTGCTTACTTGGTGCAGACTGCTCTAGGAGTGGGGTGGTTGGTTGAGCTGTGCCGAAGAACTGTTCTTTCAGTCTGGACTCAGGTACAGGGCTAACGATGAACCTGCGGCCTGCTGAGTGCACCACCTGGGTAGTGGAACTCACGCCAACACCTGAATAGACAGTGGAAACTCAAGTTAACTTTCAAAATCATTTTAGAAAAGAAGAGAGAGAGAGAAAACACTGAAAACGTCTGAGAGCGTGAAGTTCTACCTGGCTGGAGAGGTGTGTATGTAACAGGTATCTGCTGTTCAGGGTTGCTCGCAGTCTGGGTAATAAAAGCATGGAGGAAGAGGGAGGAGCCATCAGTTAAAGCAAAATTAAATTAAAACTAAATAGTATCCTTTTTTTTTTCATGTCTCAGATGTTTTAGGTGATTTACCTGGCTGCCCTCTCTCTCAAGCCCTCTTTCATCTGCAGTTTCAATGACTTCCCGAACCTGTTCGATGAAGGACTCCCGCTCGCTCTCCAGAATGAACTCGCTCTCAACCTTTTGAGTTCACAGAACACAATTTAAACAACAAGTATATGTTAAACATACATATTAACGTACTATATATTCATATCTAACTACATAAATCAGAAAAGGGTCATATCAGCTACATGACACTGAGAATTAAAAAACAAATACCGCTATAACAATAAAATGTTATTTCTTTCATTCTTTCTCTTTATTTCAAAGGCAACTACACTTTCGAAATGTAATCATGGAGAATGAAATCTAGCCCTGAATTAGGTCCAAATCTATTTAACTGTTTTGATCTGCCATGAGAGTTCATTTTTAGTTGTATCCCTTTGACAACAAAAACGAATAGTACTCAAAAATAAACAGAGATTAGACAGATATTAGATAATAAACCGCAGCTCAAATTACCATAATCTGAGCAATTTCCTCTGGATTATCTCCATCCAGGTCAAACTTGAAAGTCACCATTTTCCTGTTGTGTGTTTCCAACTGACACTCAGCAACCCTGTCACCCATGTTGGAGATCTAAAAAGCAAAAAATCCACCAAACTCTCTGTTCATCCAAACATTTGTATTAGAAGGAAAATCAAATGGTCATAAAGGTCAATAGACATACATTGAGCACATTGAGCTTGGCCTTTGTGATCTTGTCATGGCGAGAGCGGCTGCGCACGGATCTCCGCTGGTGCCGTTTGGCCGAGCGCCCCTCGTGCCTGCCACCCGTCACGCCTTCGTTTCCATCACTCAGACCGGACGCCACATCAGAGTGGCTGCTGAGTACAACAGAGGACAACAAAACAATAAGTGATGATTGAGTTCAAAATGATAAGTGAAAACCTGTCACAGCTAATAGTGAGTTAGACGAAGTGACAAGGCAATGGGTAAGAGTCTTACCTTTCCATAGTGCAGGTCACCGCTGGAGGTTGGAGTTGTGACATATCCACTGTCTGGGATCCAGTCAGGGATGTCTGGAGCACAAAAAAACATAACTCAACAACGGCACAGGCTTCAAGTATGAGACACAAGCAAGTAGTGTAGAAATGTTATGGCAAGATTTCAGAAGACAAAACAGAAGAACAGAAAAAAGTCCCAAATAATGCACTCAAAAAAGTAAAAAACAGGTAAAAATGAGCCTAAATACTTCTGACTTCTTTCCTCTATGGATTAAGCCAGCACGGCTCACTACAACATCAAAAACCTAAACACTTCTGATTTGTTTCCTCTATGGATTAAGCCTGAACGGCTCACTACGACATCAAAAACCTAAATATTTCTGATTTGTTTTCTTTACAGAATAAGTCTCTTCAGCTCAACGCAACGTCAAATGCCTAAGTAGGTAAGTGGCAAAGAAATTCTACTAAAGAAACATGAGATGGCCACAATAACAGACACGCAGCAACTACTTCCCACCCCACCTTCAAAAGTTTAGCTTGGTTTGGGGTTGTTTCAGGGTAATCCATTCCAAAGGTACCTGGGACGGGGTTTCTGAAGCTAGACCGGACTGCTCAGTAGGGGTGGGGGCAGCGGCCACACGGATTGTCGGTACGGTGGTGGCTAGCGGCAGAGGAGAAGGAGGAGGCTTCGTTTGGGGCTGCGATGGCGAGGTGGGTGATGTGGCTATGGTGGCAGGCAGCACTGAAGGAGACACAGCCGGCACAGTTCCTGCTGCTGCTACCGCAGGTGAGCTCAGCACTGCTGGGGCTGGCACAGGGACTGGCTGCTGCCCCTGAGCCACTGTTACTGGGGGAAGTGCAACTGGGGCCAGGGAGCCCAGGCCAGGTGCAGAGGGCTGGGGGAGATAGGAGAGGGGCAGTGAGGTCCAGCTGATGGCTGGGCAGATGGAGGGTGACTGGGGGAATGGGTCGGTCTGGACAGGCTGGGTCAGCGGGGATAATGGAGACTGGAAGGCCAAATTCAGTAAAAGGGAAGAACAAAAATATCCCATTAACGCATTACCAAATGAAAACAAGCATTACCAAAAGAACAAAAAACATGCTGGACACCATGCCTTGAACGTAAGGGTCATATGCACAAAAGCAAAACACTCGGTTTCACCTCAAACACGATCAACACGATCCTAATCAGGATTAGGTTCTGTAAAGCGTGTCACTCAGGAGTGCTAAAACAGGCCCGCATGTTCACATACAGTGACAATACTAGCAATGTGACAAAAAAGTACCAAAAAAATCTGATGAAAACACCAAACCACACCAAAACACATCACACACCAACACCAGGGAGTCTACAAGGGCTCAAACCCCACTCAAATCAGTGGCTGTGTCAGAGTGAGCTGCACACAAGGTGGGTTAATGCACAAGAGCACACAGTGCTAAAGGGGGAAGGGGAGGGCTGAGAGGGATACACCCTCCTCGGTACTGCTGCGCTGTACCTGTACCAGAGCGAGCTGGGCGGCCTGGTAGAGGAAGAAGAGGCGCTCTGCGCAGGGCGTCGGGGACTGAACTGGAGGACTCGGCTCACTAGCACACTGCTGACAGCCATGCAAAACACACACGGGCAGCATGCCACGGGACGCATCAGATCAGAGAGTATGAGCGAGAGAGAGAGAGCAAGAGTGCAAGATGCAGTTCGATTAGGTGGAAAACAGAAAACGAAGCAGAGATGAAACAGCAAAGGAGAATGAAGAGAGAGCGAGCAGAGGATTATAACAGTGCAAACAGGGCGTACAAGCTATGACTGAAAACACTGACAGATGACTAAACAGCACATACTAAGAAATTGTACAGAAAAGTTCAAGTAAGCAGTGTTTGAGAGAACCAGGCACACCATCGATTTTTATTATCTGATGACAGGTGCCAAAAGTTATTGTAAATCTACACCGATCAGGCAAAACATTATGACCACCTCCTTGTTTCTACGCTCATTGTCCATTTTATCAGCTCCACTTACTATATAGGTGCACTTTGTAGTTCTACAATTACAGACTGTAGTCCATCTGTTTTTTTTAAACACCTCCGTGTCACTGCTGGACTGAGAATAGTCCACCAACCAAAAATATCCAGCCAACAGAGTCCTGTGGGCAGCGTCCTGTGACCACTGATGAAGGACCAGAGGATGACCAACACAAACTGTGCAGCAGCAGATGAGCTATCGTCTCTGACTTTACATCTACAAGGTGGACTGACAAGGTAGGAGTGTCTAATAGAGTGGACAGTGAGTGGACACAGTGTTTAAAAACTCCAGTAGCACTGCTGTGTCTGATCCACTCATACCAGCACAACACACACTAACACACCACCACCACGTCAGTGTTACTGCAGTGCTGAGTTTGCAGAGAAACAGATGGACTACAGTCTGTAACTGTAGAACTACAAAGTGCACCTATATAGTAAGTGGAGCTGATAAAATGGACAGTGAGCGTGGAAACGAGGAGGTGCTCATAATGTTATGCCTGATTGGTGTATATACAGAATCAAAACTGCAGTTACTAGAGCATCTGTAAAAACCCTGAAGCCCGTTACTGCTGAGGGCTGATAAGCTTAGTTAGTTAGATCTAGGGCTGTTACGACCACAGATGACTAAAATTATCATTGATTATCTAGGGGTTTGCATAATAATTTATATTTTACATTTACCTCCTGGTCTGACTTACAGTAAGAAACTTGGCTGATGGACACACCCATTATATAAGTCTAATGGACAAACCCATTTATGCATATTTTGCCATATAATGTTTTAATCTATTTATTTCAATTAAGTCCAATTAAAGGCTTCCTTGTTTATCTTTTTCCATTAAACTATTTCAGAATCTCTGAAAGGCTATGCATGGTTTGTTATAGGTCAGTTAATGTTCATTATCTTGTTTTATCTTCTTTACCTTATGTTAAACTTTGATTACTTGATTAATCTTCAAAATAATCGTAAGTAGCTGATAAATATTATCGACAGTGACAACTCTAAATAGGCCAATAGTGAAAGGCTCAGAGCAAACCTGCGTATGTGTTCGCATATTGAGAATACTAGGAGTAGGTATATCAGGTCTATTGGATGTTTTCCAATAAGAATATGTCGTAAAACATCAACCAAACTCCAAGCATACTTGTGCCTCTGGTAAGGATCTGACAGAGAAATCTGAATTATACTACTGATTAAATGTCTAGGTTTGTATGTTTGTGCTACCTGAGCAGCCGGAGGTCCTGGCTGGATGTGTGTCTGGGCAATGCTCTGCAGGCCTGAGCTGGCAGGTTGTAATGGAGGCAGCTGCTGGGGCAGGGAAACACTGGGCTGCGAGGCAGGACCCAGTGAAACGTGCTGCGGAACCACCTGCAAGACAGAAACAAGGAGCCACGTTAATATGGTGCTGTGCAAAAGTCAGAGACCATCCTGTATCTATTTAACCTTCAGTCAAAATGGCCATTAAGTACAAAGCTATTCATTTTTCAAGAAATATTTCTGAGCAGATTAGATAAGAAGCAGAAAATATGACCTTTGGAGGCGTGGAAAAATATCCCTGCAGATTTCTTTATAAAAAGCAAGTTTTAAAAAGCAAGTTTCCTGAATAGAATGGATACATCAAATACCAAAAATATCAGATATTATGTTTAGTTGTTGAGGCTTAATTTTCAGTTAAATTTATGCTTTTAATGAAAATCAAAAATGAACAACTTTTTGTTAGAACTTATAACTTTGACTGGAAAAGACATAAATGAAAGGTGTTCTCTGACTTTTGCACAGTGCTGTATATTATCATCCTACTGGCATCTCAGCTCATTCCTCCCACCTGAGACTGCTGGGTTATCACCACGTCCAAACCCACTAAACCCAACCCAAGTCCCAGCACACATCAAAAGGCATTTAGCCATAGAAAAGGCAATAACTCAGACAAATACATCACCAGCCTTGAGCGACTTACTTCTATCAGGATACACTGAAACATTTCTTTTAAAAACACTGAAAACTCATGTAACTGACAAGCCTCATTCATGATGCATTGAGATAGACTGAAAACTTGAGAGGGCAAGGCCAAGAGCGCATCAATGGAAAGAGTGAAAAGAGTGTGTTTGGAAGGAATGGGGGGTTTCTCTACCTGCGAAGGGAGCGCTGGGACGTAGTAACCTCCATACTATAAGAAACAAATACAACACAGTGTAAGAGAGAGGAGACACACCTCTGGAGTCCACAGCTTTCACACGCAGGAGAGAATCGAGAGACAAAAATGAAAAGAACATAAAAATTCTGAATTTTTTTGAGGGCAGTGAGTGCATATGCTTTGCCTTTGCCCAAACCAGTCTGGGCCTTGAAAAGGAGAAGAGAAAAGTACACTGCAAGCTTGTAGAGAGAAATTGTACCTGTGGATTGACTGAGTCCATCCAGGGTGCGGACTGGGAGCTGCCGGGAACCAGAGGAACAGCGCTGCCGGACTGGGGAGCAGACACCTGCTAAAGCATGGGTAGAGAGAGGGAGAGGGATAGAGAAAGAGATGGGGAGAGATACAGAAAGAGATAGAGAGAGATGGTAGCGATGGAAACAGATGTAAACAAAAGAGAAAAAGATCCAAGTTAGAACAAGTCACACTAAGCACGTTCACGACTGTGGGTTAACGGACACGCATACACAAAGTGTGACCACTCTGAGGAACTTCATTAGTGCTCAGATTAACCTTCACTCTTTGTGTATGCCTTACGCTCACACACAAACATCCAAAACAGTCACTGTGTTAGTCAGGGAGTGAGTAGGCTTCATGCACATGGATCTCTAGATGATTTCACAGTTTAGGTGACTTGTTATCACAGGGAAGCAGGTGTGTGTCTGATGTTGCTGTGGATTGTAACCCTGGAACACATCGCTAGATTATATCCCTCTTCCACCATGGATGATCATGACAGAATCAACCCTTAGAAAGCTGCAGGCAAGTATACTTGTCTCCCTGCCTCCCCTGTTGGAGCGAGTTACATAACAAGTATAGTTGCATCAGGCAGATTGCCTTACCTTGGCCCTCAGCCTCATATCAAAAGAGCCATTCATTAGAAGCAAGAAACAGCAAGCAGAAAAGTACACCCAGCAAGTAAGGTGAAAAAGCAGATAATTAAATAAAACAATGCAAAAAGGATGGTAAAGAAAAAGGAAAAAAAAAAAGAAGAGGCCGCTCAGAGCAGGGAATGGGATTGCAGAATGGTGCTGTTGTCAGATTTCTAAGGGTTAACAGATGAACTCTCACCCTGAAGTCAAACCCCAAAATCACTTGGGCATAAATTATACCGGTACAATTCAAGAGTCATGATAAGTGTCCTTGACAAAGACACAGTAGGAAAATACAAATTATACAATACCGTTTTAACCGTTTCCAGCCAACTACGACATGATACCAGCTCTATGGAAGCAGCAGTTAATATTAAACAATAAAAACAGGAAACAAAAACAAAAACGTGGGGAAAGTAGCCTGCAACGTTACAAGCGAGTAAACCGACCACAGATTAAAGTGAGTAAACCTGTTCAAATCCCCTATTTGTGTTGTATGTCTGTGTGTTTGCATGTACAAATCCTCCATTTCCTTTGAACCCCTTTATTCTCAAGAAAAAAAAAAAGTAACATCTTCAAACAAATCACAAATAATCAGCAGAATCTGCTGACAGATTTCACCTGTAATATATTCAGCAGTGCATCACTAAGGGGGTTCCTCAACTTTGGATTTGTACGTGAAGTTTTCAGATATACAGTAAGTTTGGACCATATATCTCTATTCAAACACACATGCATCATATATTTTTAATTATATGACCATACACACAAAATATTACTTACTTACAAAGAACTTCAGGAAAACAAAGCACAAAAAGGACTCACAATTGGCTGTTTAAAAAAACAAAAAAAAACAAAACAATTACTACCTCAACAGAAAACAAGGGGATCGAAGAGGCAGGTTTACATGTACTTTTGTTCTAAGCCCCTCCAAAAGACTTATAATCATCTAAGCATGGCTGGAGAGGGTTAAAACCACAACCACGGGACAAACTGAATCAGGTAACAGAGAGAGCGAGAGTGGATGGGAGTGTTTTTAGAGGGGGTAGGAAGAGAAGAGTGGGGTGGTTTTGTAATCACCAAAGCAGAGCCCTGAAGGGCCAGGGCAGACTCGTGGTACGAAAGCTCGGGCTGGAGGGGCGTTTGCCTGGCCCAGTTGCTGTGCAGCATGCTGATGTGGGAGCTGGACGTCCCGGACAGCTCTGAGTTCGGGATGAACAGAAATGCCTGCTGACTGGGTGGGTGGCCCTCGCAGGTGCCGCTGCCCACGTCTGGCCCATAATAGGATGTCTGTGGGATGGACTGGGCGGCCGAAGCGTCCAGATGAGGGTGCCCTGTGTGAGGAGGCGGTGAGTTGAACTCTCCAGCGTCTGAAGAAGCCACCGAGTCACTGGACGGTTCTGGACTGCGGTCTTTGGGTCCATGCAGCAGCAGACTGCCTGGGGGTAGAGGGAGCTCCGGGCTTACGTAGCTAATGTACTCCTCAGTGACGGGCTGAAGCCGGCTGACCAGTGCAGGATTGCCGGATGCCTCCTCGAGGTTAAGATCCATGGATCCACGGCGTGTTCGATACAGTCTTGAGGCTAGAGTGTTCGGGTCTGCCTGGAGGCCATGGACATGGAACTCAAAGGCACTGGCAGGTTCAGCAGCGTGGGCAAGCACTGGTGGAGCAGAGTGGGGGAATGAAGAGTGAGGTTGGTCATAAGATGGCTGGGCCACCGAGGTGACTGGTTGGGCTACACTTACGGGGGTCAGTTGCGGGACAGGGCTGTGGGTCAGGCGCATGTGGCCAGGAATGTGAGGGTGCATGTAGGCTGGACTAGGCTGTGGGGCCTCAAAAGCCAGGCTAGCAGCAGCAGCAGCAGCTTGCATATGCTGGTGGAGGGTGAGCTGGTTGAGCTGATGGGCTGCCAATGGATAGCCGCCATATGCTGCCATGCTTTCAAAATGGTCCAACAAAGTGGCCTGGTTGAGACTCAGTCTGCGCACGGCCTCCTCCTGCTGCTCCTTATAGCCATACAGGGACTCAGACGGGGCCTGCAGGTGCAAAGGCTCTGCCAGTCTCTGGGCAGCCATACTGGGTAGCAAGAAGAGCGAGGGCTCCAGGGCCTCCACGCCAGAGAAAGGATGGAGGCTGCTGCCGTAGCTGCGGTAGGCCGGCTGGAAATGGCGCGTGTGGGCCTCCAAGATCGACGTGCTCTTGCGGCGCTGCACGCTGAAGCCTTTGGGCGGGCAGGACGGCGGGGGCGAGAATGAGACGGGCCGCTCGGGGATGGTGGGGAAAAAGAACGGGGGCTCAGGGGCCAGAGCTGAGCCCCCTCCACCGCCGCCATACTGCTGACTCACTGACTGCGGCTGCAGTGACAATAACATACAGCATCTTTGTGAGGGAGCAGAAAGAGGCAGCATCATACAGTCACAAAGCAAGAGAGAGAGGAAAACATGAGAGACAGAGAGAGAAAGAGAACTGCAGCAATCACAAAGCAAAGACACCCAAGACAAAAAATAAGTTCTAAATACAGCAGAGAACTATTAAACGCCTTCACAAAAGAGAAGTGTACAGATGATACAGAGTGGCAGCATATGGGTATGGAATTAAATACAGATTTGGCAAAGGCTGTGCAGCTTGAGCTTGACTGACTGCTGAGACACCGACGACAAAGAGCTTTTCTACCAAAAGACATATAAAAAAAAATATATATATCAGCCCTGTACAGGATGTCCAACGGGGGAGCAGCAGCCAGGCCTAGTTTAGGAATGCAATGCGCCTTGCATTCTGTATTTAATGTGAGCACAGGGCTCCTGTTGAGCAGGCCAAGGGAACATACAGCACACAAGTACCTGAAAGAGCTTAAAGGAAGTATCTGTTGCACCTACAGTTACTGCTATAACATCAAAATCCTAATATTGTGAGGCACTGTACATTGGCTATATATACACCAAGTGTCTTTATATCTAAAAAACTCAACTGATGTGAGCTACAACAATGCTTACTAACCTTCTATAATTCACAAATGTGCAGTAATGAGAGACTATTCAGACTCCAGGCTAGCTGACATTCCAGAAGGCTCTATTATAGACAGTGAGGAACAACTGCAGTATACCACACTAACCAGGGAAATAACTGTACATGGACAGTTGGTGTAGAAGGGTGAACAGGAATCTGATCATATCGGCAACTCAAAGTCAAATCTTATTTGAAAGACAAGCTCAAAATACACCATTCAAACCATCTCTGTAATGTCAAGCCAATGACCAGACTAAAGGCCTTTACACAGATTTATTGGAATGACAATAAATTAATTAGAGCATGTGTATAACTAATGATATCTTGTACAACAAACAAATTTCCAGTTGGGGAAAACACAACATTTTATTCGCGCCCTCTGATTTTTGCAACCTTTTGCCAGCGACAAACTCCGTGACCAATCTCTGTAGTTTCTTAATCTCTCAAACTGGGTTAGTTATATTCTAAAAGAAGTGATGAAGCTCTTCACACTACTTTCAGTAGTCTGCCCAGTGTCACTGTTGGCACAAGACGCAAAGAATGCATGTCCTAAGGACCCTTAAACTGATTTACAGAGATCCAAGCCATGCGAAATACCATGGCAAAATTACAAAAAAAAAATAAAACTGTAATTGTGTCCTGTGTGTAGTATTAGATATGAATGAATTGGGTCTGAACATTCTGCGTTTGGCCTTAACAGTCTCCTTTCCTTTTCATCTCCTTTCAACAAAGCCTGTAAGTTCTTTAACCGCTTAAACTCATGGGCCCACATGTCAGCTTCTTATTCTCATAACTATCACAACTCGATACCAAACAACTCGTACTAGCTAAGGGAAAATTAGACTTTAAATTAACAACTAAATAAGAAGCCGAGATTAATTTTTCCTTGAGTTTCAGGTACCAGTGGCCTTCTGTCCCCTTGAGTCTTTTCCCAGCAGGAGGCTCCTGTTTCACTCAGGGAGACTAACATACAGGGCTGGCAAAGATTGCTGGGAGGCTGGCACGGCGGCGGGGCAGCACACACTCCAGCGCTTTGGAGAGGCGGCCCGCAAACGTCTCGCCGTCTGGCTTCCCCGGCCGGGGTGAGAGCGGGGCCGACAGCGCCGGCGGAGGAGTGGAGGGTGGCTTGGGAGGGCACGACGGAGGAGGGGCTGAGGAAAAGCAGGGCACGCAAACGGACATGCTACGACCGCGACGGGCAGTGGGGGGAGGTGGAGGAGGCTGCAGGCGAAGGAGGGGGAACAGAAATGTAAACACAGTGGATCACAACTAATGACACAAGGAAAAAGAAAGAAAGAAATAAAGAGAAATTACAACTAAAATGTAACACTTGATTTCTGATTATCCATCGACACAGGGTAAACGAACCTAAAGGATGAATGCTAATAATGAATATATGAGAGAGAGGGGGAGAGAGAGAGAGAGGGAGGGAGGGAGAGAGAGAGAAAGAGAGAGCGCCTTCTAAAGGACTTAAAGGGAACTGCGGCAACTTTTTCACAGTTTCTGCATAATTAAATCATTAAGATGAATAATGATTCAGAGTGGTTTGATGTAAAATGCTCCACCCTACAGAAACTACAATTATTCACAGCGGTGGTGATAGGAACCAGACGTCTGAAGAGTTCAATGCCTCTAAAAGCTCCCTCATGGAAAAGTTATTACATAAAATGGTTTCAAATTCACCGCCTGATGCCGGAGACATTGTTTTACGATAGTTCTGCAATAGGATTTCGGCCCAAAACTTATTTGGTAAAATCCACTTATGGTGGAGAGATACATGCAGGGCACTGCGAGGCACAGTCCCCAAAGAAAACTCCAGATCTATTAGTATCTTACTATCATTAACAATATATAAGTAAAAATGAAAATGAAAAGCATTCCGTCTTTTAAGGACCTGGAAACTGTTCATGCTTTTATTTCCTCTGTTATTAACTATTGCGATTCACTGTTCTTGGGAATCTGTCAGTCAGGGTTGTCGCGTTTGCAGTTGGTCCAAAATGCGGCCGCAAGGCTCCTGACTGGAACCAAGAAAAGGGAGAGCATCACCACTGTACTCGCATCATTGCACTGGTTACCAGTAAAATATAGAATTGAATTTAAAGTTTTAATATTCGTTTTTAAAGCATTGCATGGCCTGGCTCCCAGCTATATCTCTGTCCTCTTCTGCTTCCGTTCCACCTCACGAGTTCTATGATCTTCTAACCAGTTGCTCTTAAAGGTGACCGAGGCTTTTCTGTAGCTGCCCAAGACTCTGGAACAGTCGTCTGCTTTTCATTAAGGAATCCCCCACAACAGACGTTTTTAAGTCAAATCTTAAAACCCATCTATTTTCTCAGGCATTCAAGTCTTTTTAATGATTATGCACTCAGTATCTGTTGTGTCTTGCCGTCTGTTCTTTATCTCGCCCTTTTTGTTTTATTGCTTTTTATTCAATTTGCTTTGTATGCATGTTGTTATTTCTTTTCCTTGATCAATGTATTGTAAAGTTTTGATTAGTTAGTTAGTGGTTATTTAATTGATATTATTGTGCAGCACTGTGGCAGACACTTGTCTTTTAAATGTGCTATAAAAATAAAGGTGACGACTTTAAAAAAGACATGGTTCACTGGTTATTTTTGTTAGCAAGTAAAATTGTAGACATCACAACCCCTGGTTCCCATCACCACCACTGTAAAGAAATCTGAGTCAGTAAGTTTCCCTACAGTGAACTACTTCACATAAAACCACTCTGAATGACAGTGTTTACAACTCAGTAATAGAACTAATCTAGACAGAATTCCCCTTTAATAGAGGTACTATGGGTTAATCCACTACTCCATTTGGTTAAAAGAGAAACTTATGTATTCCACCGCTATTGAAACGTTGAAACTGTGGAAGTACCTCTACATTAACATGCTGTTTTTTTTATAACAGATTCAGAGAACAGAGAATTAGCAAAACAGCTCTAATAATAACAGAATAACAGAAACAGCTCTACATTCTTTAAGTTTCCACAGAATGTTTTCATCACAACCTAAAGCAGGGGTGTCCAGTCTTATCCACAAAGGGCTGATGTGGCTGCAGGCTTTCACTCCAAACAAGCAGAAGCTCACCTGATTCTACTTGTTTAAATCGGTCTTAGTCTTCAAACATTTCATCAGGTGACCTCCTGCTTTGTTGTAGTGAAAACCAGCAGCCACACCGGCCCTCTGGGGCTAAGACTGGACACCCCTGACCTAAACAATGCCAAGTTTCTGAAAGGCAAAGTTCTAGATGTATAATTCAATGTAATGTGCACTTAAAACATAAGTAGTTCCACTATCAGTTTAAGAAGAATATTTCAGCACATCATGACGCTATAGATATTTTCTTTAGCATAGAGCAAAGCGAATTTAGGGGAAAAAAAAAAATAAACGAACAAACCAAAAAACAGAGATAGAGTGGTTTACAACAAACTGCATTTTACAACAAATAACACATCAGCACAAATAACAATGGATACTGTCAAACTGATACGAAAAAAAAAAACAAAACAAAACAAAAAGCATCAGTGCTGTGCAGACTCCAGTCCTTTCATCAGCTCCTCCATGCAGAGCAAAGGTCAGCATCAGCCGTCTCAGAGACAAACAACCTCTCAATAGCCGACAGAAATACAGAGAGCTCAAAAGCTTTGCTTTCATCAGTGAGATCTTTATTTACTTATCGTCACTTTAGGACATTAAAAAGCAACACCAGCAGCAAAAATAAGACATTAAGCATTTATTTTTTACCATTAAGTGCACTTGATATCAAACTCAGTGTATGCACTATTCTCTGTACCTGCATTTATATGGAAGACTGATGTACACCATTTCGAAAATAATTATGAATGGTAAAACATATGAGAAGCTCAATGGTGCTGTACTGTCCTTGGGGACCACCAAGACCTCCCATAGGATTTACCTTCTGGAATGAAAAGGAGGGGGCTAAGATGAGCCTTCACTTCTCTGAGCAGAGGAAGCGTTCAAAGTTGAAACATTATTGTTTCAGAGGCACAGAGGAGTGATGGAAGCCTGGCAGGCAGCACAGCACTGCTGCGAAGGTGAACCACTGCAAGACGTGGTCTTGCATAGGGGGCAACTTATTTTGGAACAATAAACCAAAACAAAGAGAGTAACATGTAAAGGAACTCAAAGTAACATGTAAAATGAGCGATGAGGAGGGCCAGTGAGAATGTGCATGGTCGTAGAGATTCGAGAGAGAGAGAGAGAGAGAGAGAGAGAGAGAGAGAGAGAGAGAGAGAGAGAGAGAGAGAGAGAGAGAGGGAGAGAGAGGTACAGAGAAGAATGGGCCGTTTGAAAAGGACTCAAACCCCATTAGAGTTTATGGTTTTGCGTCAATGGCTTTGCTTTCCTCCACATGCATCATTCCTTCATAGGCTCAAACAAACCATGTTTCCACACCATAAAAAGAAATCAGGTTAAGACATGCAACCACAGGCACTCATAAAAATCCACAACTGAGTGAGTCAGCACTGTTTTAAAGCCAGAGACATCATTCAAAGTGCGCATTTGCTAAAGTCTCTAGCCTAATATCAAAGACTTCTTCCTCAGCTGGCAGGCTTACTGTCTGTGGTTGTCTTACCTGTAAAGACTCTGTGAAGTCTAAATCGCACTAAGGCTGAAGTTCGACTAGCGTCTAGTCTATAATGATGATATTTCATTTTGACAATGAACAGTCATGAGCAAAAGTTTGAACAGGTCTGGTAAAATTGCACGTTTAGCTGACTGAAGTGAAAGTTAACATGTATTCAACAGGAAACAAACATGGCAAATTTCTGCACATTTTAATGCACAACTTCCATTTACTTGCTGAGTTTAACAAAAATATAAAATGTGCCATAACTTCTGTACAGGCCTCATTTTGTGTGTTTTTACCCCAATATATTAGATTCAGTAAACAAACAGTAATTATTCATTAAAACGTGCAGATGTGTGTTGAGTTAACTAATTTTCACTTAGAAAAACATCAAAACGTAATTTCACCAGGTGCACCAGGTGTATGCACCAACTTTTGCATACAACTGTATCTTTGCTGCATGGCTTGGAAGCTGAAGCAAATTTTCAAGGACCTTAATCACTGTTTTGGCAGCAAAAGCTTGCAAGTGATTAATTACTGGGCTGTGGGTTGGACGACAACAGCTGACAAAGAGAGGCCTAACCAAAACAGACTGGGTGGGGGGGATAAAACACAATGATGCTAATGCTTGCTGTCTACACCAGCCATTATTAGCAAATAACAGTTAATGCTAACATGCTAATGCTTAGTGACTGCGGAGAAGTGACCTAGTCTAGTAACCCTGTGATGACTGACCTCGTATCCGAGTGAGTCAGGTCTCATTGTGACTGTGAGACTTACCATAGGCTGCTGGGGGAAGGCAGGGTGCTGCTGGGCAGGCTGGGAGGCAGGGGTGTAAGAGGCCTGCCCAGGCTGCTGCTGCTGCTGCTGCTGGGAGGCCTGCTGGGATGCTGCGGGAGAACTGTAGGACATGGTGAGCTGGTTGAGAGGCGTCTCGGAGTATAAGGACGAGCCCTGTCCACTGTCCACTGTCCCTTCAGCTGTGGAGAGAAACGGAATAGTAACTCCCACACTTTTTCAACAACATTATGGGGGATGGTTAATTTGGCTGCATTATACAGATAACATACCATATATACACACCATATACTATCTGAGATACAGCTGCGTGCACAAGTTTGGGTTTGATTTTCAAAGTGAAAATAAGTTAATACATCCTTTATAGACAACACACTTTTGCACACTGTTGACGCACAATTACTGTTTATCAGCAGAAAAACACACTGGGAGGAAAATAAAACATAAAATTTGACCAGAGGAAAAGTTATGGAACATTTTATACCATATGTTTTATTTTTTCCAATATGCTAAGCTTAGCAAATAAATAGAAATTCTGGCATAAAAAAACTTACAAAAAAAAAAAAAAACATGTTCCCTGTAAAGCCCATGTGACAAACACAAGGCCAAGTCAGGCCTGTGGCACACACCTGTTCGGCCCGCAAAATTATTTAAATTTTCTATTAACACTATCCATTTTCACTGTGAACTGCACTACAGTCCCCAGCATGCACTGCAATATAATGTGCACTCCTACCCACTATCTAGCATCGATCTATGGGTCAGCAGTTACACATAAAGAAAAGGTGCCAGGTGTCTAGTTCAATCAAATAGGCAGTTTTAAAAACCTACCTCCTGGGGACATTTAAAGAGGTTTGACAGTTATCCATTTCTAATGTAGCCTGTTGTTTTACATAAACAACTCGTTTTTATTTAAAATTATCGTTTAATAGTTCAAGTATTCAGTGCCTATTCTGCTGGCATATTGGCATATTTTGAATAAACAATGGCCAGTTTGGGTCATGGCAAAATGGGAAGTAAATATGAAACAAAAACACAACTTGAGATTTTTTAATGCGGCCCTTTTAGTGGTTGAGTTTGACACCCCTGCTGTAGAGGATGTGTTCCCTCATTTTCACTTAGAAAACCAACAAAACATGTATATGACTAAGCGCAGCCCTAAGACCCCAATATTTGTGCAGCCCTAATGGTTAACTTCTGCTGCTCACACGTACAGGTGATGGTGATGCCACTTTGTTGGTACTGCAGCTGTTGGTGCTGGTCTGCTTCAGGCTCCTCGGACTCAGGCTGGCCAGGGGTTGGTGGCTGGACACTGCACTGATTCAGAGTGGCTCCTGGGGTTGCCTGAGGCCCAAGTTGCAAGGCCTTCTGGGACTCACTCAGCTGCTGCTGCTGTTCAGCCTCCTTTTTCCGTTTCTCCTGCTCCTCTCGCACTAGCTGGCGCTGCTCCCGCTTTCGTAGGATCAGCGACACACGGTCCTTAATGGCCTTGGCCATGGTCTTGTGGTCACCCTCACACACATAGCCAGAGTCAACCTGTAATTCGATAAAACGCATCAGCAAAGCGGTAAACATTCAGGGTTAAGCTCAGACTCAAAAAAAATCTAATTTACACAATTTAGTCCAACTCAAATTTAACTGATCAGGCAAAACATGTTCACTGTGCTGGGTTTGCTTCTTTAGTTTTGGACCTGAGCTATGAGGCTAATGTAGCTGAGAAGGTTACAGCCCACCATTTAGCATTGTGAAAACCGCAAACCTTAATAATCACAAATGTCCCACTTTACATGGTGAAACTCTCATGGTGAAACTAGTTTCTTGTTGTAAGTTGCATGCAACTTAATTTCTGTGCAGCTTGAGCATTACATGAAATAATCCAAAAACAACCAAAGCTGCAAAAAACAAATGTGATTACTCCACTAGTTAGTCAAATTAGCAGCTTGTGTTTTTTAGTTCTATTATAGTATAATTTTCCAGCTGTGCTGCTGTTCTTTCCCCTATCTATATATCTACCTATAGTTCTATATTGCATATTTGCATTGTAATCTGTTCTGTTCTGAAAATGAGTGTTTAAGTAGCCATTACAGCTGTATTTCATGTCTCCCTCATCTTGACCTAGAAGCACTGCGAGTTCAGAGGAGCGCCTCTTGGTCTCCTGTTCTGTAATCATTTTTTATTATTTAGATCCCAAATGTATCTCCAGTCGGTGTAAAATTAGTGTCAATCAAGAGAAAAGCAGGCTAGCAAAGAAGAATAAAAGGCAGAAACAAGTAAACGCAGGAACAAGCAGCCGTTTAAACAACGTCTAAAGCTGCGTTACTGTCAAGTCAGCTGTTTACAGAAAAGTTAACAAACTCGTTTGTTTGTTGTTGTGGCTCAGGAAACTGACAAAACAACAAAAAACACCCAACCTTAAATAAAGGTTCAGCCAAATATTTCTTTTTGTTCACTGAGCCGGTAAAATCAGTCACACGAAAGTATATCGTACAACATGATCACGACGCGTTAACAGTGTTTTGATTAGCTGTTTCCTGAAACTGGTTTTGCAAAGTTTTTGATGTTTTTTTAATGCCACATTAAGACTTTATAGGTAGCACTTGAAGAACCTACCATTTCTTGGGCCACATCTTCAGGAACATCTTTACTGAGGTCGAAAGAGAACTCGATGGCTTCGTTATCTTTGTATTTGCCTTTCAACTTCTTGGCGTCTTCAATGCGCAGCCAGAGCTTGATGGCGATCATCTCCCCATCGTCCTCCTCAGCCAATTCCACTCGCACCCCCGTCTCTTCCTGGAAGAAGGCATGGTTCAGCAGGACCTTAATGGCGTATCTGCAGATGGAGAGAAAAAAAGAAGCACAGACTCAGAAGAGCGCAGAGAAATCATGACAGGCAAACTGCAAAAACAAAAAGTTGTATTCACTTGACTGGAGAAGCCACATCAGGTCATCTGTCATTAAACAAAAAAAAAAAAGACAAAAAAGTAACTCTGCCCGCATAACACAAGGATTCAGCCGATAAATGATGAGGTACAGCATGAGCCAAACCAAAAACTGATGACCTTCTGCCTCTAATTTGCCTCATGGTCATACGGACATCTAATGAGCTTGTGAGCTCTCAGCTGTCTCACCACGCAGCAACAAAGCAGGCAAAATCAACATGGCCTGTGGTAAACAACTCATTCACTGATGCAATCAGGTCAGCTCTGGGACATTTACCATACCGCAGAACCTACCTCCAAAACTAAAATGGACGCGGATGTCATCGGGGGAGTGCTAATGCTAACGAGTGAAATCTGTTAGTGTACAGAGCTTTTTGTGTATCGTCAGGTAACAGCAATTTGTAATACTTAGAGGGGAATTTCTATATTTCTGTGTAATTCAATGGTTAAGACATAAACAAAGTCATTCAGAGTGGTTTGATGAGAAATGTTCTGTTCTACATAAACCCATTGAGGCAGGAACTAGACGTCTAAAAGCTCCCTCACAGAAAGTTATTACATTAAATGGTTGTAAATACGCTGCCTGATGCCTGAGACATTGTTTTATGACAGATTTGAGAAGGTTTGACCTAAAAGAATATATTTTTTAGAATGTATTTGTAGCAAAATAATTTCCAAAGAAGCCAGAAATGGAAGTTTTCCCACTGTTTTATTATCATCTACATTTTCTATAAAACTCAGCAGACGTGTAGGTTTAGTGGTGGCTTTGGATAGTAAATAAAATGGCTATACTTGTGTGGTAGATATCACGACCCCTGGTTCCTATCACCACCACTGTAAAGAAAATGCAGGAACAAGACGTCTGAAGTGTGTTATGCCTCAAAGCTCCCTCACAGGAAGTTATTACATTAAATGGTTATAAATATGCTGCCTGATGCCTGAGACATTGTTTTATGATAGATTTGAGAAGGTTTGGCCTATAAAATATATGTTTTAGAATGCATTCATGGTGAAATAATTTCCAAAGAAGCCAGAAATGGAAGCTTTACCACTGTTTTATCATCATCTACATTTTCTATAAAACTCAGATGACGTGTAGGTTTAGTGGCGGCTTTGGATAGTAAATAAAATAAAAATAAAAATGGCTACATCTGTGCGGTAGATATCACGACCGCTGGTTCCTATCACCACCACTGTAAAGAAAATGGCAGGGTAATTTTCTCTACAGTTAACCTTTCCATATCAAACCACTCTAAATGACGGTCTACATCGAACCACTGATTATGGAGAATTTTTTGAAGTTTGGTGGAATTCCCCTTGTGCTACATTAAAGAAAATGGGAATAAATACTTTGTCCCTTTAGTCTTTTATGATCACACCATAGTAAAAGAAATGTGGCCTAACTAAATAACAAAAATCAAGACAAAAAAGGCTGGAATGTATGTAAAAGTGGTGTGTTTACCAGGAACCCAGCAAAAGGAAGCTGGTGTTGAGGCTTTAAGGAGATGTGGGGTAAATTCTATGCTACTTTCCTACTACTCTGTTCTGAGATAACTATTAAGGCTATATTTCCCTGAGTGGCTGTGTCCTTCTCAGTGTGGGATGTAACTAGCAGCTGGTAATAAACTGTGTGGTGCTTATCACACACTGATGACCAGCCTACCAGACCCTTCAATATACTTTCATATCAGCACAGTTTACAAGAAACAGCTCCTTAGTGCACCTGGGGGTCAACACAAGCGAGGATGAATTATTACTGGCGTCTCAATGTTATGAATAACAGTGTGAGTGTGTGCAAGTGAGAGAAAAACTGCTTACCTCTCATCTTTGTTCTGTCGAATACACCCCTCGATGATCTCCTTCACCTCTGGTATGGCTACCTTATCAAAGCTGCCAGGTTTCACTCCCTGCAGAGCAAGAAATGGAGACAAGACTGGTACATCAGTGCATTGTCTAAAGCAAGGAAAGCAAACTCTACATTTTAATACCAAAAACAGCAGGTCTGAGCAGAGAGGCCAGAAGAGATTTAATTCAGAACAACATGAGCTGAGCAGAACTGGAACAGAACTGGTAGATGCTTTGTAGATGTTCGGTCTGTCTTTAACTAAAATTCAACTAAATATCTATTAAATGCAACTTAACTTGAAATTGAGTGTGAGACTTTCTATTAAATCTAACCCCGACCTTAACATCAACACAAAAACTACACCTACACCTACACCTAACCCTTACCCTAACGTTGTTAATAATCAACTGAGTATCACCAGAAACCTTGTTAATAATTTAAGTATCTGTAGATCATCTTCAGGGGGCCATTAGCATAAGGTGTGACTGTAGTTTATGCATATGATACTAAACAGATATTTACCAGTTATGCATTTATGTAGCATCTTATTTAGCATGTCATTACACCAGATCTCCTGGAAAGAATTATTTTTAGCTAGTGATGCACCAAAATGAAAATTCCTGTCCGAATACAGGATGCATCTTGCAAACCCCGTAAGAAAGGTGGAGTTTTTTGGGTTTTGTTTGTTTTTTATTTACGCTTAATAAATGAATAAACCTAGAAAACAATGTAACAAAGAAAACACACTTTTATACTGCAAAAATGGCATCTTGTCAAGTGAAATTATCTTAAATCTAGTCGATATATCTAATATTTTCCATTGTGAGACATTCGTGCACTTATAAGATTATTTACCTTATACATCTAGACATTAATCAGTTATTTTAGGTCATTTTATTGAGTAAAATTCTCACTATACTGGCAGATAATTTTGCTGGTTTCAAGCACATTTCTTAAAACAGGCAAAATTATATGCCAATATAGTGAGATAATTTTGCTTAAAACTTAAAAGTAATGAGTAAAAAAGGTCTAGAAATAAGGAAAATAATCTTAAATTAAGCTTAAATTTATCTAAACAGGAGATATTTTAGATTTATTGTGTATATTTAAGATCATTTTACTTGACAAGATATCATTTTTGCTGTGTACTAATAATATCTGCTTTCACCAGGACAAAACTGAGCTCACAATGTATCCACAGGCTGCAGAACGTGCTTACGAAATCCAGCATCCTCGACAACAGAGAATGGTTAGCCATTCAATCAAGTCACTCCCTGAAAATGACCTTGATCCAGCTACAGTTTTATTATAGATACATTTAACAACTGTATTGACCTTTAAATTCACACATGCTTAAAAGCTTGAAGAACAAAGACCTGGTTAAGTGGATTTAGTTAAATGCAGTATGTGAAGACTATAATTCATCATAGTCATAGTTTCTGATAGTATTTTATTGCATATAGTATTTATTTTTGCTATATTGTCCACCTTTATATCCTACCCTGGAAATTTCAGCCATGCAGGCATTTAAATGGCAGAATAAGTGACCTAACTTGTTCTTTGTATTTTGTGGCATGTTATAACCAACAGCCAAACATGGCCATGAAATCAAACAGAAGTATGACATACTACTCTCAGAGCTGGTGATGGAGATGAATGAGTGGTCTCAAGGACAGAACTGGCTAATCCTACAAATATGAATCTATGAAAGTTTCCAATTCATGATTTAAATCTGAGGATTACAAGTGTAGAAGATGGGATGTGACAAGACGACAGATCCACGGAGTCATTAGGAGCGATTACTGATGCAGGGAAGTAATTACGCCAGGGTCAGGGTAATGAACTGCACATTATTACATCTATTACACTAGAGAAACCACCAGCCAGATCCAACTAACAGCATCAAGGTCTAATCTCACAGAACCTGTTCTCCCAAAACATGAAAAATCCATATAATCCACATGACATCTCAACAAACGCTGCTAACAAAACATTTCTTTCTTTGTGAAGTTTTTCTCTTAGCACACAAGTCAAGCACAACTCATTTCACATTAAAGTGACTATGCAAAGTTGTCAGCTTGTCAAAACAGCTGTCTAAAAGAAGGGCCAAAAAGTTTGAGGGACTTACCGAAGATAACCTGGCACACAGAGGGCTGAGGGCTACGTGCTGCCGTACACAGTGGTCTGCCGCACTATTTACCAACGCACCCCCCAAACCTGACAAGCCTCAGCATTCACTCCTTATATAAGCCTGTCCCCTCCGTTAGATTCCAACGCCAAACAAAGTTAAGCAGACGGAAGGTCTAATAGAATTAAGTCAGAAAGGCGAAGTATTGCAATAACAAGGCCATTAAAAAAGCTAATTACGGATGCTTCCAGTGAATGGGTCCCTTTAAGCCGGATGCATGCTGCCTCCCACTCTTTGACTGGCCAACAAAAGAGGGAAAATTAGAGGTAATCATTTCGTACTACTTCTGAAAGAGGAGGGAGGAGAGAGCTGGGAGAAGTTGGAGGTGGACTGGAAGGTGGAGGCTGATAAAAGAACAAAAGTAATTATGAACTCTTAAAGTGTTGCAAATCTGCGAGTGATGTACAAAAGAGTTAGGCTGCCCATCTGAGCGTTTTATTTTCTGCTCGACTTCTCTCAGCAGCATACGCCGTAATTGCTTTTAAGGGGCCGGTGGATTAAGCGAGACGTCACCATGAGAACAACGAGAACCTAAAATAACTCAAGACATTATCTCCAAACGACTGAGCCCAATTCAAACAGCCGAAGCCGTTAACTGCTCATCGAGAGCCGCTCATTAATGCGCTGACTACAGGAAAAGGAGGCTGTTGACTAGAGATTTTAACAAAAACATTAAAAATCATGCTAATATTGAAAAAAAACAGGTCAAAAACAAGTGTGGGAAAATTTGACTTGAACAAAACTATGATTCATTACAAAAGCATTCAACCAACCATTGTTGATCCTTGTTAGAGCATATTGCGCAACCATATCGCACAATCACAAAGAGCCAAGGCTGCACATGTTCCTTCTGAGGAGTTTAAACCAGGTGCTCCACCCAGGTGCAGCAAAAGCACCTTCTACAGTCAAGCCTCCTCTGCCCAGCACACAGGTGCTGTTTTTCCTAGTCCAGATGTGCCTTATTCCCTTATTATTATGATTTCACCCTTTCAGACTTCTCTCGCTTCTTTTAAAACACTTCTGAATCTGTTTACTGCACGCTGTGTTGCGTGAAAACAGCCCATAGGGATGACATTCAAGAGATGTAGACATAATTTGATGTTACTCATTCAGTGCTAATGTGGCACGAACACTTGCACTACTTATTAGGATCACGGCCATAAACACTACTTCCTTTCAAAACAATGTTAATGTTGCAGAAACTAGACTAATTGGTAGTAACGTCCTGAGGGTGCGAATGTTTTTTCTCTCCTTCAGAAATAAAGTTGCACATGCATTTTTAAACAGGAATTCCACAGATTTTCTTTTATTTCTGCATAATAAAATCAGTGAGACGTAAACAGAGCCATTCAGAGCGGTCTGATGTGAAATGCACCGTTCTGGAGAAACTTATCAAGTCAGTCGTGGTGATAGGAACCAGACGTCTGCAGAGCTTGCCATCTTATCAGAGGTACATGCAGTGTGTTGTAAGGCAAAATATTCCCCAAAGAAAACGTTTTTTTTCCGTAGACAATGGGACCCCTGGATCCTATTAGCCGCAAATTTGAGTCAAATTTCTCTAAAATGGACCATTTCACATCACACTACTCTGAATGTTTACATATCAACAAGTGACCTGCAAAGAAATGTTGAAAAATGAGTGTAATTCCCATCTAAAGTCACATTTCTGCTAGAGGTGGGCAATATGACACGATTTTATTGCTATTGTAATAAACAGCATGCATATTATCAGTACTTAACGAACACTGATCAACTGCATGTTTCATTACATAGACAGCATAATTTGTCTTGTTAACTAGATTTCATGCAGTGAACTGCGTGAAGCGTTGAATAATAAATCACTGTATTTATAGTTTTTGGTTGCAGTTTTTACATTTCACACTACCAGCGCATTTCTGATAATCTGTATCCTGTACTGTCAACATTTCTTTACATATGGTGATACACTATTTTTTACATATCACCCAAAATTGGAAATTTAGTCCAGGATCTTTAACTTGCAGACAGTAATCCGCTTTGTATATGCCACAGATTTAGGGATATCAAGAAAGTGCTGATAAAAACCCCCACAGTCATAAAGGAAATTATAAAATCCTAATTATACTGAATGTCCATCATGACGGTGAAACATAACCACTTCCGCTGTTTTAAATTAAAGGCTACAGTTGTTGACGCTGCCTGAAAGAACACTACATCACTTCATAATGTGGAATTCAGTTACATAACACAGAACTTGTAGGGTGGGTGGGTGGGACAGATCTGTCTAAAGAAGTGAATTCAGGGCCACTGAGCTCAAAATGCCCTCCGATTGCATCAAACTTAAACTGCTTCTCTCGGCGGCCTGTTGGGTCTGCACTATTGGATTGCGGGAGATTAAAATGCCATGCGGCCGTGTGTCCGGCAGCTTTTCTGAACGAGCCAGGGCAGCGGAATCCAGGACATGCCCCGGGCTTCCCTTTCTGTCAACAGGTGCAGAGGAATAAATGAAAGCTGCCACCCGTCCATCTATCTTCCCTCCCACAGCGCTGACAAACACAAAAAACAAGCAACCTGCACCACCGTCTCGGCTCCGTAAGGGCTTTTCTAGAGCCTTCTGTTGTCTCTTACTCTGTCTGGCTCAGAGGCCTTGAGCCAAGCTGATTCAGAAGCTGTCTGGATCCTCTTTAGCAACACAGCTGTTTGTGCGCGAGCACTTCCTGCCCCTGTGCTGGCATTCGTCGACGAGTGTGGGAGAGACAGAGGCTGTGCTCAGGTGAGAGCTACAGGAAACAGCAAAGATACTCATCGCTGTGGCTTACAGAAACACATGATCGGTATGAAAGGCCTCTGAAGACTGGCGATAAAAATCAGTGAGGGCATGGGGGGGGCGCAACTGTTTGGGTTCCGGCAAACTCAAAATGAAAACAATATCTGCACCACACTGAAATTCACTGTAAATAAAGAGTTTACACTGAAGCAGACAGAACAATAGCACCATATAGTCAGCACTGCCCCCAACTGGTGACTCATCAGGGATTAATGCCTAGTTCAATTTCCAACCACCTCCATAATGATACACCAAAGCAATGCAATTGTACTCTGGAATAAAGCAAAGTGCAGCTGACTGCTTTCAAGCTCAGGATTAACATTTGTGTGACAGCTTTACACCGTAAAGGACTATTATCCACATCTATTACGCACACTATAATCCACACACTATATATAAGCACACATTACACAATCCATTAATAATGATAATCCATTTCATATATGAAATGCGTTTCAAAATGAAAAAAATATCTACCCTCCCTTAAAGGGAAAAGAAAGTTATTTAAAATCACAATGCATATCCATTTTAATAATCTTTCCTCTCTATTTTCCATTATTTATTTTGTTTATGGTTTTACTATGTACGTTGACTTGACAAAGCAACCAGCAACACCTAAACAATCACCTGGGATACACAGTAATGGCCTAGCAACACCTTAGCAACCACCTGGAATACCAAAGTAACGGCTCGGCAACACCTTAGCAACAACCTGGATTGCCAAAGCAATGACCTACCAACACCTCAGCGATCACCAGGAATCCCAAAGCAATGACCTAGCAACACCTTAGCGACCACCTGGATTACCAAAGCAATGGCCTAGAAACACCTTAGCGACCACCTGGATTACCAAAGCAATGGCCTAGCAACACTTCAGCAACCTTCTGGAACACCAAAGCAATGGCCTAGCATCACCTTAGCAACCACCTGGAATAACAAAGCAATGGCCTAGCAACACCTTAGCAACCACATGGAATACCAAAGCAACTGCCTAGCAACACCTTAGCAACCACCTGGAATACCAAAGTAATGGCCTAGCAACACCTTAGCAACCACCTGGATTACCAAAGCAACTGCCTAGCAACACCTTAGCAACCACCTGGATTACCAAAGCAATGGCCTAGCAACACCTTAGCAACCACATGGAATACCAAAGCAACTGCCTAGAAACACCTTAGCAACCACCTAGAATACCAAAGTAATGGCCTAGCAACACCTTAGCAACCATATGGAATACCAAAGCAAAAGCCTAGCAACACCTTATCAACCACCTGGAATGCCAAAGCAATGGCTTAGCAACATCTTAGCAACCACCTGGATTACCAAAGCAACTGCCTAGCAACAAGCAATCACATAACAACCATCAAGAAAGACCATAACAACCAGCTGGAATCATTATAAAAACCCAACTGAGTTATCAACAGTTTTTGGTCATTCAAGAAATTTCCCTTTCTAGTTTTAACTCCAGAGTTTTTGCTTTTACTTTTAAACTTACCTTTTCTACTGTAAAGTTCATGTCATTCCTATTACTACTACTACTACTACTACAATCCTTATTATTATTACTACTGTTATTTTTATTATTATTGTTATTATTATTATTATTATTATTATTATTATTATTATAAAGGTTTGGAAATCAAGGACAAATAAACACAACTCCCTTGAAGAAAACTGTTTTCCAAGGCATCATAAGACCATTCAACTGATTCAGCCTGAACTCTAGGAGACTCATGACTGTATTATTTTCTTCCAAAAGCCTGCAAAAGCAAAACAAGCAATTTGTGGAACGAAAGGAAAGGCCAGCCATTAAGGGCAGGATTTAGACAGGATTTACACAAAGCAGCAGCAGGACTGAAGTTCTGCGCAAACTGCAAACAATAGTCTTCAGGGTCAATGACCTCAGCTGGGCAGGATTAAAACACTGTTTATCTATAAATGGCTTATAAGGGAAACAACATCACAATAGCTTCAAAGCTATTTGTTTTTACAAATGAACCAGTAATTCCTCCATAAACGTAGACATCTGAAGCTCAGTTTGAACATATCGAACCACAAGAATGTACCGAACATGAAGGAAGAAGATACTGTTATAGCAGAGACGCTTGAATAGAAATTCTGATGGAAATCACATGCTTGTTACTGCGACAGCTGCATGCTTGTAAATCTAATTTGACTGCATTGCCTCTGTGCCACTGGCAGGAAAAGGGAAAGTTTCTTGCACACAGTCTTACTTATAACCCACTTGAAAGGCGAACAGACGATGCCAACAGACAGAGGGCTAATATTAAATAAGGGAAACCTTGACTTTGTTGGGCAGAGTCTTGTTGTGTAGGTCTGAAGAACAAAGCTGATAAATATGTGGGTGTAACGACAGCAAAGAGTGCTTGTAAGAGTGGGAGGAGGAGACGGAGGGACATAAGAAGCAAGAACAAGGCCCAATCCCATTTCTTCTTTTCACCCCTGCCCCTTGTTTTCGAGTGTCACCCTAACCCCTTGGAACTGAGCTACAAGGGGAAGTGGTTGAAATATTGCCCTACGAAATGGGACCCTCAAATAAAAAACAAAACAATACTTCATTAACAGGTTACTAGTGCGACCCAGTCCGTCTTCAGTCATAGCAGAGAAGGGAAAAGTTCGGCAACCTCACCGCTGGGCTTTAGTTACATTTAGGGCATCATATGCCTTCAAAGAGGGGAATAACACAATTATTTATTATCATCCACCGTTAATTCTTTGGTGATATGAAGCTGAAGTCAGATATTCTGCAGCTTCTTGTTCGAATTTTCCCGTCCCACCTTAAATGGACAATTTAAGGTGGAACGGGAAAGTAAGCTAACTAGCTACCGAGACATTAGCATGCTATTAGCGATTTTTGAAACGACATTAAACTAAGATCATTTGATTTTCTTTTTTTTCTCATAACATTTCATTTGGCGTGTGACTCTAAAACCCTCCATTTGGAGGGTCATGTAGCCCTAACACTTCACCCTACCCCTCTATCTCAACAAAAATAGGGACACCCTACCCTTAGACGTGTACACACAAAACAGAGGGCTAAGGGCTAAGTGGTAGGGGCGAGGGGTAAAACGGGATTGGGACCAAGAGAGCTCAGAGAGACAGAGGGGCCTGGAGAGAGTGAGGGAGAGCCAAAGGGAGCGATGGAATGATGGGGGGAAGAGGAGAGCTGAGGCGGGATACTCACACTGGTGACCCGGCGGTAGATCTGAGCAGGGTTCTGACACTCGGAGTACGGGTACTCTGAGGTAGCCATCTCCAACATGCACATCCCAAAGGCATACACATCCACCGACTCGTCATACTTCTCCTCATACATCTCAGGCGCCATGAACTCAGGGGTACCTTAAATCAAAAGAACCATTCAGAACTCTGAGGCTCAGACCGGTACTCACCCAGCAGGGCCAGAAGAGACGGGAGGAGAATCACGTCATCGCGCCGTTCGGCCCCTGAGAAGAAAGAAAGATAGAAAAGAGAAGGAGAGAGAGAAAGAGAAAGCAGAGAGGAGCGAAAAGGATAAGGAGAAATAAAAGAAAAACAAAAAAAAGAAGAGGAAGGAGGAAAACTGCCCTCAGTTATTCAGCAGAGAAAGGATTCAGCATTTTCTCTGCAAGGCCTCCTACTGTTTTTTGCTTAAGGGTGTTGGTGCACAGAGAAGGCCCAGCCAAATCCCCCTCAAGTTAGCAAGCAAAACAAGGTCTAAAGCAAGTTTACTGTCAGCACCAGTCGTTTCAGCTTTAACAGAGATGGGCTTTTCATAATTACATTTACAACAGCATAAAATAAGGACTTTAGGAAAGGCAACATCCACTCACCTTGCAGTTAGCCTGTTATGAGGAAAGGTTATACAGACAGGAGACAGAAAAGCACATCTCAAAGCAAGAGAACACAATTTTTCTGTGCACCAAGTTAGGTTTGATGAAAGGAAAGGCCTTGCACAGAAAAAGGCAAACGTTTATTTCATGTTTTTTCTTTTTAATTGTGGGCCATTGCATGTTAACTTACCAGTCCATTTTTCAGCATACTTACTGTCTGAACTGCAGTACATTAAATAATCCATACAGCACAGTGAGGGACACTTGAGCTTATAGCCCTACAATTTAGGGGAAAAACAAATACTGAAGAGATCGGGGGAAATATAATGAAATGAAATGAAATAAACAGGAGGAAAGAGGCCATTAAGGGAAAACAAAGGGCAGGTAACCATAAAGAAACAACAGCATCTCAAACTCCTGAGAAGGAAGGAAAACAAATGTGATGAGGCAAACCTTTGGAGAAAAATGCAACATTATTGGCAACATAAGCATTTATTAACCATTAATCATTGAAGTCCACAGTTCTCCACACCAAAGTGTAACTGCCAACGAACCATGTGGCTGAACCACTGAAAGTGATCCCACAAACTGGGATTCTTGCGGCATATTATAAACTCGAATATGCCACCGTTTATGGAAATTTTAAGTGCTCTCGCCAGATTTATTTACAAGTCAATTAGCTGTTTGTTGTGCTTGTTACTGGTTTCGACTGGGAAACAGGATTAAAAGGTGTTTTCCTGTTTTAAAACAAACAGACACAGCCGGAGCGCATCTGTAGTTTCCCAAACTCTCCACCATTTTAGGGGGAAGTGAAAAACATAACTAAATAAAAATAACACTGACACTTCGGCTGCCAGGAAAACTGTGGTCTTCACCCAAAGGCACTGTCCAAACTCAGCAGATCACCAAAAAAAAAAAAATCTCAATATGAAATACATTCACTACTGCATCCCTTTCCCTGTTTCACAGGGGACTCCCACTCAGACCTAGAAACCGAGGAATGCTAAATGCTAGGGCGTACCTATAACACTCTTGGCGAAAGAAGAGCACTTCAGAGTAGCCAGGCCCAGGTCGCCGATCTTAACGGAGCCAGTTGGGCCGGTGATGAAGATGTTGTCACACTTGAGGTCCCGGTGGATGATGGGAGGAGTCCTAGTGTGGAGGAAATGAAGGCCCTTCAGGATCTGACGGCACCAGCTCCGCAGAACCTTGATCTTCATCACTTTGAACCGCTTCAGATACCTTAACAACATAACAAGAAAATGTTATTTTAGCTGTGTTAGCGCTATTCAGTTTAGCCTGTTGCTTGATGTGTAAGTAGGCCTAATGAGCAGTCAACCACTATTGATCAGCCAAGGTAGAAAAACAAACAGCAGCTGTTAAAATGGCAAGAGAGAGTGTGATAACATTAGCCATTAACATTGGAGATAAAGAAAAAGACCTCATCTACTATAAACTTTCCAAAAAATCCAATATTAAACTACATATGTTAAAAAAAATCATAATTGTGTGCAGGCTTTGTATTACAGCAGAGTTCTTGGGGGGCTGGGGGTTGGAGTAAAGTCTGTGAAGTGACCTATGTACAGCCATATGCAAAAGTGTAATTTTTTTTTTTTACCTGAATTGGAAAAAATAAAACATAAAACATAAAACAAGACATATGTATCATGAGCAGTTCTTTAAGCATAGAGATATTACATTTTTGCCATATCACCTCTACCCCCAATTCAATTTTGTCACTCTTATGGACAGTCCAGCACTCCTTTAGCTCCTTCAGCCACCCCCCCCACCAGACCACCCAACCAGTCCCCCTGCCCAGCCCAGCCATCAGCTGAAATTACAGCTCAGTATAAACACATGGGATGAGAGAGAGGTGCAGAGAGAGCAGCTTTGATATTATTTAACACGGAGGGGTGGAGTTGGGGCGTAGAGTGTAGCTTTAATTAAAATGTAATTTAATAGAGCTAAACTTAGCATTATCTTTTCAACATTAGCTACGCCGCGCTCAGCAGTATGAGGAGATCAGACAGACACTCAGACAGACAAATTGGATGGTGTCACCTCAACAGGGACAGATTTAAACGGTTACTGAGTGGAGACAGAATGGACTGAACTGAATACCATATTTCATCTGTAATGTGGCATTATGGGATTTGTATTTCATCAGAGGACAATGCGACTGCCCTCGCTCGCAGGCAGAAAGGTGGGTCCGGTATGGAGGAAGGAGAGCAACATGTGATAGGGGCAGTGTAACCCCCCACCCCCCGCCCCCCGAGCACTTTCATTAGATTAGCCTGCCCTAACCAAATCTTTTGGAGCCGAGCCATAGCCAGGATTTAGCCCAGTAATCCTCATTACAACAATCTACTCAGTGAGAGCACAGAGGCAGAGGGAACTGGGGCCCATCACTGCCACACGAAATGGATGAGACACAACACAAATGCATGCACTCATCCTCAGCCACTAACGGTGAACTACCTTCTTCTTTATTTAATTCTCAGTCAAAAGAGCTATTAAGTACAACTTCATCATTTTTAGTGTCAGAAAAAACAGGACATATAGACGAACAGACTATACACTGTGCAAACGCAGACAAAGCATCTTATTTAAAACCATTTGTCTTGGCAATAAGTGTTTTTGCTTGTATCACCATACATCATTAGAATAGACAGAAATTAATAGAGCAAAAATGAACAAGAATGCTTATTTTGAAAAGTTTGGTTCCAGATTTCTCCTGGACGTCTCCAGCCACCACACGGATTTGTTAAATTCCATCAGCGGCACCTGATTTAATTTAATGAAGTATTGATTAACCAAATCAAGTGTTGGATGATAACTGCATATCGCTGTTGTTGGAAGAAAACCTTGTATCTCCATTTTGGTCATTTTTTTAGATTTGACATAATTTGAATATGCCTGTTGTCCTTTACATTGTGTGTAAATTTCATGATGAATGGACTAAAAGAAACAACCCAAAATGACTTGAAAAAAAGGCTGGTTCCATTGACTTACATTAAAAGTAAAGTAGGTTTTTTCTTTCTCCTGTAAAGTTACCATTTTGGAGATACGTGGTTTTCTTCCGACAGTGATTTAATACTGGGCTGTTATGAGGAGAGGTTTGGAAATAGATAAACTAACACAGTGACACATGTAAAATCACTACTTTTTGTATTAATATTATTTGTATTTAATATCAATTTAGAAAAAAATAATGTTCTTCTGATCAAATAAACACTTACCGCCCAGATAAACCACTTTTTAATGCTATTTTTTTCAGGTGCCTAAAACATTTGCACAGTCCTACATACTTAAAAGAAATTTATATGAAACCCCGCAACACTAACTATAATATCAAATCTATCAGTATTTAATTTGTCCACTCTTTCCTTTTGTGCACCTACTGCCACCTTAACTCCTCCATCCTTCTCATCTTAAACCCAACCAGTACCAGCTGTGTCCTCCCACCAAAAGCTGTTCCCAAAGGAGCCACTAACTTAATGTTCCCCTTCAAAATTTCACCCAAACTACACAAACTCCCCTAAGCTGCCTTGCAGATCTCTCTTACGTGCATCTAAAATGGCTAAAGAAGATATTTTTGATAAAAGATTAAATATAAGAATGTATCTGCGCAAGGAAGGAGAAAGGAAAATAAGTGAAAAAACAAGAGTTTAAAAAAACTATTAAAAGATCAAAAGACTTGTTTTTTTTTTTCCTGTACCTTCATATCTATGTCTCTATCAACCGCACAAGAGCTTGAAGACACCAAAACTGAAAAATCAAGCTGCTTCAGATCTGAAAACATGAACAGGTGTTTCTGTCCATCCTTGCACTGTGAGAAGACGACTCAGCCCTATGGGTCTGAAAGGATGTGTAGCTGTCAAGAAGAACCTCACTAAGAAGATGAAAAGAAAATCTGCATCAAAAAACTGGCTATCTGAGGTGAGGATTAAGGCTTTATGGACTGATTAGTCTGAATTTGTGGGATTACTAGGACACGAGGAGCAGAAACACAACCAACGTCTAAGACTGAACTTTGGAGGTGTGGAAAAATATCTCTGTAGATTTCTTTGAAAGATTGAAGTGAGTCGTCTGGAAAAAAGGGAGCTGTAATAAAAACAAACTACACTAAATTCCGAAAAATATTATATTTCATTGCATTATTTATTAGCTGAGATGTTTTCTGCTTTTTCTTGAGGCTGAAAAATGAATAAGATTGTCCTTAATGGCCGTTTTGACTGGAAAATAAATGAAAGTGTGGTCTCTGATATTTGTAAACTACTGCGCATTTAAATTTGCAGTGCAAAAGGAAGACCATTATTGCTTGAACAGGATGGATGCTAAACACAACAATCAAAGGATCTGGAGCTGTTTTAGGCTTTGTAATACAGCAAGGAAGTGAATATGTATACAATGGAAAAATGTTTAATTTACCACAAAAACAACTGCCTCAGGGTTAAGTAACCCTCTCTGCAAACTCATTAAGATAATGGAGATAGAACACAATGTATGCAGTACATGTTTTCTAAGAAATTTCAATTTCCCTTCTTCTCTATTATTTCCTTATTGCTCCAGTTATCCTTCCTTCAGCTATTATTAGGAGCAATAGTAAAAGCAGCAGCTTGTTTTCATAAGGAACAGGATTAACATACAGGACAGGATAACTTGCAAAACCCATCTTTAACAAAACAAAAAGCGGAAAATAAATAACACAAACGTAGTGGGCTGATTACTGTTGGTGGTTTCTTCAACAGCGCTTGTCAGCAGCCCTGTGTGGCCCAACAGGTTTGTTTGGGGTAGAATCAGATAAGGCAGTGTGAGCTTACACAAATGCAGAACCTACCGACAGGTAAGTTTTATGCCCTGCCAAGCATAAATGTGCCAGAGGTGCTGAGTAGCGCATCCATCAACTGCTTACACAAGCTTCAGGTGGTTTCCAGTTAGTTAGCAGGACAGTTATATAAACATTACTAAGGTAATGGAAATGCCTCAGCTTTGTTTATTGTTCAGTGACTGGCTAGGAGTGGTGGTATTTGGGTGGTGGATCATTCTGGTGGTGTGTTAGTGTGTGTTGCGCTGGTCTGAGTGGATCAGACACAGCAGTGCTGCTGGAGTTTTTAAACACCTCAGTGTCACTGCTGGACTGGGAATAGTCCACCAACCAAAAACATCCAGCCAACAGCGTCCTGTGACCACTGATGAAGGACTAGAGGATGACCAACACAAACTGTGCAGCAGCAGATGAGCTATCGTCTCTGACTTTACATCTACAAGAAAGACGAGGTAGGAGTGTCTAATAGAGTGGACAGTGAGTGGACACAGTGTCAAAAACTCCAGCAGCACTGCTGTGTCTGATCCACTCAGACCAGCGCAACAGACAATAACAAACCACCACCACGTCAGTGTCACTGCAGTGCTGAGAATGATCCACCACCCAAATAGGACCTGCTCTGTGAGGGTCCATGGGGGTCCTGACCACTGAAGAACAGGGTAAAAGGGGGCTAACAATGTATGCGGAGAAACAGATGGACTACAGTCTGTAACTGTAGAACTACAAAGTGCACCTATATAGTAAGTGGAGCTGATAAAATGGACAATGAGCGTAGAAACAAGGAGGTGGTCATAAATGTTATGTATTTAATTTACTTACCTCAAATACTTGGTAAAGCTGCACTATCCCTGAACAAATTCCCTCAAGGGGAAAAGAAATGTTGCATTAATTTCAACTTTGGCCCAATTCACTCCTGTTACAGTATGCACAAGGAAAGTAATGCAGCTTAAAACTTCGGAGTCAAAAGTCCATTAGCAAAATTCAAATCATACCAAACCTATGCAGTAAGTAATGAAAAATGAGTGCACATTCCCCTCAATAAGAGGTGTTCAAATAGCAATCCTTTTAAGAGGAAAAACAGGCAAGGCTCCTTTGCAGCATGAGTGACATGTGGGCCTCCAGCCAAAGGTGAGCTCAGAAGTGAGGGCTGGGGGCGTAACAAAGCTCACATCAAAACTATCTCCTCATTCGTCAAGCGAAGCAAAGCCATCTGCACAAACTCACTATCTCAGCTATACATCTCTTCTAACTCGTTCCACAGAATAAGAAATGCTGAACACAATTTAAGGTGTTCTCCACAACAGCACAACAGCCTGAGAGAGCCAACATTTCAGCTCCTGAGTGCTTGAGTGATTACAGGACGGGACAACTGGTTTCCAAAAAGGTATTTACCAACCCTTTAGGGGGCCGGACTGGTAAATCTTCACTGCTTAACACGAGAAGGTGAGCAAATAAGTTTACATAAGCTAAAACAAACGAGACAAAAGCCTCTCGGTGTGGTCTTTGGTGGCCCACAATTATACAGAGTGATCAGGTGTCCTGGTATGCAGCAGGGACACTCCCAGGTTTTGACCTTTTGGCCCAGATACCACTGAAGAAAAGAAGAAGAAAAATAAAAGGACTGCATTTGAACTAAAATGAAAGTAAACTGCACCTGATTATTATGTCAAACACAAGGAAACAAATAACCACAAAAATGAACTACCTGCAGCTATGAAAACAACAGGAAAGGCAGTTAGAGGCCAGCCCTGTTAACTAGGGTTCGACGGATATGAAAGTTTTGTGGCTACTAACAATATCAATTTTGGGCAGCTATGAATTCAAATGACTGCTAACGTCAGCCAATGTCATTTTATATTTACATTATAGATGCCAATGAAGTTAAGCAGTGATCACTGATATGATTGCTGGATTATCACGCTTCTTTAGCTCAGCCAAACAGAAGAAACGCAGCTAAGTAATAATTAATAAAAAATGTTCTTTTGGTTTCCATTTTTCACTTCTTATGGTTCTTATTTTTCATTATTTCTTCTCATACATATTTTTGGTTATAACGTTATGCTACTTACCATGATGGCGTTTTGTGTTCGGGTTTTACTAGTTCAGCCTGTATTATCATACAGTGTCTCATACTGAGCTGCCCAGCGTCTGAGGCCCATGTGTCAAACACAAGGCCCGTGGGCCAAGTCAGGCCCGTGACACGGTCCTATTCGGCCCAAAATTATTTATACAAAATGATTAGCCCGTTTCACCCTGAGATGCACTACAGCCCCCGTTCTGACCCCCTTTTCCCAACAACAATCAATGGGCCAGTAGTTACACAAAAAGAAAAGGTGCCTGGTGTCTAGTTCAAGCAAACAGGCAGCTTTAAAAAACTAATATAACAATTAATAATAAATAAAACAATTTATTTTTTATTTGGAATTATTTTTTAATAAGTATTCAATGCATATTTTGAATAAACAATGGCCCGTTCAGGTCAAGGTGAAATGTTAAGTAAAAATAAAATATAAAAACACAGCTGGACCATGGATTTGTTGAGATTTTTTAATATATTTTAGTGGTTGAGTTCGACACCCCTAGTCTAAGGTTTAATCCATCTTCTCAAGACTGTGAGGCAACAGCACAATCAAAAAAAAGGCTAATTATCAGTGATATTATCGACTGATATTGTCAATACAGCAGATAGCTAAAATAGGCCAACCGATATATTGGTCAAGCCCTAATAATAACTTTTCATTATGTGGGCCTAGATACCAGTCTACACATATAAAGGTGCCTAAAAGGGTTCTCTGGAGTGTTGCCACAGAAGAAGCACTTTTAGTTCCTTTTGTTTTGTTTTGTTTTTTTAATAATCTTTTGGAAGATTCTTTGGGGGATCAAAATCATTTTTTTTCTACAATAGTGGTTCAACCTTCCTCCCTTATATCTACTGTACTGTAGAGTTTTTGCACCAACCTGCAGCTAACATGCTGCCCCCCCCCCGCCCCTTACTTAATATTCACACATCAGGCATCTGACCCAGTCAATCAAGGACTTCTGAAGAAATCAATTAGCTGGAGCAGGTGTGGCCGACTGTGGTTCGAACTATTCCACAGGTAGATCTCTAGGACCAAAAGATCTTTAGGGGACCAAAGGGGTTCTTCTACAGCAGTGGTCACCGACCCTCCTCTTGGAGAACTTTCCTGCAGAGGTTAGTTCCAACCTAGAGCTAAGATGCTGCCCCCCCTTACCCAATACGAAAAAGGATCCACACAGAGCCAAGAAAAAGAAGTGCACGACTGACCGAAACACGAAAAGTAAGACCAGGCGTGTCACTGTCTCTTTCTTGCTTTCAATGTCTCACTTTTTCCTCAGCCTCCTGGTATTTTATTCTCTATTCCCCTCGTTTCCCCCTCATTCCTGGCCTCTGGTCATGCTCATGGTGTTGCTGCTGTTGTGAGCCGTGTGATTAGTGCTCAGACAGGCCAAAGACAGACATTTAATTGTGCATGACTGGGACTGTGAGGGGGGGAGTCGTGTGCAGGCTCATCCTTTGACCATGAACTCAGCATGCCCTGAGCAACTCCAACAGACATAAACAAAGAAGACAATCCAGAACCTTGTTAGTCCAGCCACTATCGCAATGCAGTCATGTTTTGTCCATGTTTTGTTTAACTGACGGGTCATTTTTAAACAGTTCGTGAAGTAGTTACTAGGTTTTTTGGACCTATAAAAGAGGTCAAGGGAAGAAGGAGGAAAAAAAACGAAAATAAACTAATGCAGAGTTTGGCCCCATCTGTGTGCGCATGTCAGAATCCACACGTCCACATGAGGGAGCTGCTGACCCTGAGTCTGAGCCCCAGCGCTGGCCCTCTGTCTGGTCAACACTGCTCTGCCTCTTCCACTCTCCACATTGCAGGAATGTTTGGAATCTGCATCAGCAGCAGCTGGCGAGAGGGCAGCAACCCACAGTGCACCTCTCACATGGAGGTGGCACGCCGCTCTCCTCTCGCTCTACCGTTGGGGACTTTTTCTAAAGCCACCCTATTGTGATTCAGTGTTTTATAACAGACAATAACCGGCCTTTTTTGGTCTGCAGCTTTCAGTCCTGCGATAGACACATGGCATGAAAGCACCATTTAGGTGAAAAGAAGCTCTGCTATGTGTTCTGACTTTTCACACCCTGAGGAGCTGAACAACATCCCTGATGTTCTTGGGATAAACAGCGTGGAATTGTACAAAACTCACAGAGAAAAGGTTATGCAAGTGGCCTCAGATTAACAATCCATGAATAGGACCACCTCTTCGCAGAGTTTTAAAAACTGTGACATAACTGCTTTTCACTTAAAATATAGTAAAACTTTACTGTAGTTCATGTTCACAAGCCTACATGACAAGTGACAGACATACGGAGAAATTTTTAAATCCAGGGTGATTCAAAAAGATTCATCTGATTTTAAAGCGTCAGATTTTTACAACCATGAGGCGCCTAGGAACCAATCACATACCAATTGAAAGAGGGGGTCATAGAGTTTCTGACTGACTCCCTTAAGTCTGCGAGGGGATGGAGACCCCTGAGCAGAAAGCATTTTGCGTTCTCCACTTCAATAAGAGTGAATGTCATAACTGTGCAACGTGATTTTCATGGTCAGTGAACCTCCAACAGCTCAGAGCGTTCGCCGTTGGTTCCACAACACTGGATGACCTCTGAAAACGCACTAAAAGAGCTGTGAGTGCAGCGACACCCGACATGCTCAATCGAGTATGGGATGAATTTGACTATAGCGTTGATGTTGTCTGTGCAGCTGGAGGAGGTTCATACTGAGCACTAAAATTACATAATAAACTTTATGCTCATTTAAACCATTTACAATTTACTGCATTGTTCTGTAATGATTTACAAGGGAAATAAATCATTTTGAAATTGGATTAATCTTTTTGAATCACCCTGTATTCTCCCAAAAGGCTTCATTCGTCATAACTGTTGTATTTGTCAACTCTGATGTTTTTCTGACTTTAGTTTATGTCATGACACTTTCTGGGTTGAAATGATAGACTTAGCAGCTCAGTGTCAGAGTGACATAAGGCTGATAACATGACAGTCAGGCTCGTTGGCCACTGGGTGAAGTGAGTTTCATTGCACCATTTATAAGATTTGTGCTTTGTCACATTAGCATTATGTCACTGTAATATCATATAAGCTATAAAGTCAGTTGTAATAACATGCTAAGACATTTCGCCCAAAAAGTGTCAGCTAAGACAAATGCAGTCTTTATAATGCAATAATATTGGAATAAGCCTTTATAAATGTTTATGTAGATTTAGGCCAGGTGTCATGTAGCCTTATGAACACTGTCCTGCTGTAAAATACTTACCTTTAACATTTCCCAAATAAAATGAATTATATTGAAAGTGTGAAAACAGATCCGGATACTAAGCAAATCAATTCTACAATCAGATCAATGATGTTTGTGATTGTGCCAGTGGAGGGCAGACATGCTGCACTCACGTTTTTAAGGTGCCTGACGTCATGAGCTCCGTCACCAGCACAATGCACTTGCGCCCCTTTAAGGGAGACTCCCAGGAGTCGTAGAAGCGAACGATGTTGGGGTGCTGCAGGCCTTTCAGCATACCCGCCTCTTCTTTGAAGCGCTGCCGCTCAGACTTGGACAGCTTACGGTCCTGCACAGACACAAACAGAAGAGACAAGGCAAAGCCTTTAATGACTAAAATTCAGCCAATCAATATGTACAACAGGAAATGTGGAGTTTGATGAGTGCTCACATTAATGGCCCGTCCACTAGGTTTAAACAATTTGGGGATAACATCTAATTGCTATTTTCTGACCTTTTTCGAACTGAGTATTTTCTATAAATTGAGCTCCAGGCCCATTTTTTGGCTATGAAGGGCACAACATCCAAGCTTTCTAGCTTAAGGCCTAAGTGCTATAGTGCAGCAGACTGAAAGTTAGTTGTCTGCGTGTCGTCATCTACACAGTACGTGATTGCTTCGGATTCGACTAACTAAACTACAGGCGGTCCCACCATCTCAGTGTTACTGGATTAAATTTCCCCTACTTAGAGCTTCCTAAGATAACACTGTTAATAATGTAGGCTATAATAAAAAATTGCAGCTCTTGCGACTGGAAAATTGGACTTGAATATCACACAAAAACTTGTGTCTGAATCTATCTGATCAGGACTGTGTGGCTGTTTCTGAGACCCCAACCCCACTGCAGCAAACACAAGAGTCAGCAGTGGAGTCACTTTCACTCTGTGACATCTCAGCTTTAACTTCACAGCATGCATGGAAGTAAATAATCATCAGGCATTCTTTAAATGAATTTTACGCTAAATGAATGTCCCTCTGCCTGGTGAAAGCACTCTCTGGTTCAGGCACTGTAATCCAATACCATATTCTCGCCAGGGCTTACACATGAGTCAAAAGTGCTTGCGTGGACAGATCATGCAGCGCCAGGGTGGACACAAGCCCAGAGCACATCTACCATTCAGACTTTTTATTTTATTCTTTTAAACATGTTTGTAAACCACATACACAAAAATATACAAAATGCTATTTTTGGATAGACACCCTGTCACATGACCAGATCAGGGAAAGAAAACTACATCCACCCCACCCTCAACGTGACCCTAAAAACCTTCCAATATCCTTTCCAATGGACAGTTTAATGGGAAAAACTGTGAAATGAAATGTTTCTTCCCACATAAGACATCCAGTTTAGGTAAGCCAGAGGCCAAGTGGAACTGTATCATCTCACTCTTCTTCATCCAAATGGACAGAGGCCCTTCCAGCTCACAGCTCAAACCATGTTAACAAGCCCAACTGTAATCACTTCAACAGATATGCATTAAATTGATGACACAGTGGGGAGGGAGAAAAAAAAAAAGGTCATTCATTTTTCTTTGCCCTACTTTTCCCCAAAAAACGCCCACTCACACCACCTACTCATCACAGCTCACTTCAGAAACACCACAGGCCTCCTTATTCACTATTACCTCCTGCATTTCCCAGCTCTAAGAAGCTCTTGCTACACCAAGCCTGTCTGTCCACTCTTGTCCGTCTCTGTCTGGTCAGCTGGCATCCTGCCAGCGTATAATGCTTAGTCCAATCACCATTAATGCAGACGCAGTCGTTCATTTTCCAACAGCGCTTCTGTACTAGCAACGAGCATCTGCAAGCCATTAAGAACTACTAATCCCCATGGGGGCAGGGGCATCCGCCGGAGAGAGAGGGCAGGAGAGAGAGTGCATGACTGAGAGGAGAAACGAGGGAGCGCAGGCAATTATCACTATCAAAATAATCATAATTATCTCAAATTTCATGCAACCTTAGTTGAAACAATTGAATTTAAATATTGAATACCTCCATAAGGAACAGGACAAAGACTGAAGCATCTAAGCAGCTTAAAATGTAGGTCTGTGTGATCTTCAGGTCCATCATCAAAGCCATAAACCATTCTGTACTAGGAATGTACAATATATGGTGTGTTCATTTTTATTTTGACATTAAGCTTTGCAACGCTAACATTGCTGAAGTCTGCATTACACAAATGGGCTTCTAAGTAATCACCGAATGCCTCAGTACAGGCTGTGAGCAGCTCAACCAATAAAAGATGCTTTTGGACATTAGGATAAATCAAGGCATTCACATGATTCAACAAAAATAACTAACCTGGGTCAAAGATTAGACAGGCTCTTTAAATCAGATCACATCACAAATGTGTTTTCATTGTATGGAAGATGTCTCACAATGTAGCCTTAACTAGGGGTGGGAATATGACAATCATTTTATTATGATAAATTACTGATGAATTATAGCTTAATTAGTCCCATTTAACTGGATTTAGTGCATTAAATGTTGAATGAAATCATTGTATTTATAGTTTTTGAGTGTGTTTTTTTTTTTTTCAAGTAGCACAATTGGTTCTTTTTTGTGTGTCAACGTATCAGTAAAAACTTTAAATATCTAAATATGATGACACATATTGTATATCCAGAAAATTTTATTTAAAATGTACTTTTTATTAAAAGTATCATGTTGTAAGTGTCATATCACCCACCTTTAGCCCTAACCTGAATACTGAATCACTGCCCTAATTCCCCTCTAAATGCATCCCTTTGTTTCCATTGCTAGAGTGGTGATTAGCTCCCTTTGTGAACAGTTTATCTATGTAAATACTCAGTTTCTTTTCAAATACTGTAATATTTATTCCAAAAACACAAAATATCACAATCTGACTTTCCCCCCTAACATCGTTCAGCCCTGTTCCACATACTTAGCAGTTTATGAAATGAAACATGACATTGAGAGGACCAACTTGGCGCGCCGCTAGGATAGCGAGGGGTAAACGGGGGGGGCAATCTTATCTGCCATCTCAAAGAGTCTGAGAGGAAATCCAATCAATGCCTGACTAGGACAAAGGGAAAGGTCTTCTGCAGCATCTCGAGGCTGCAGAGCTAACCTTCATGCCAAGCTAAAGATGGGAAAAAAATAAAGCCACTGAGCACTCCCATCACAAAACTGCATTATTTTTGCGTTCGCTGCACCAAGACGTCCTTCTCTGCTTGCCTACAGACAGAAACGAGGCAGGAAGCATAAATGAGTGACAGTGAGTCAGAGAGTGTGAGGGAAGTTAGCGCATGGTGCACATCTCGTCTTGGCAAACCATGTGTCACTTTTAACACCCCGCTGCTTAAAATACACATACAGGTGGGTCTGTTGGGCTGACATTTGCAATGAAATAGCACTAATTTTCATTTCATACCATATTTCGGCATTATAGTAAGTCTGTTTACGTTCACCAACAGTCATTAATCGCGGTAAAATAAGTTCTGGGGCTCAGCCAGCTGGCCAGACACGTCTTACAGAGTCTTCAGCGCAGACTGTCCTGACCGACAAACATAAACAAACTCACAAAGGCAATATTGTCGTGCTGGACAATATTGCAGCTTGGCTGGCGCACAGTGAAGTGCAAGACAAACTAAACCAGCCCTCTTCTTATATGTAAAAAAGCATAATTCCCTATTCAAACATTTAACTTATGACACATTTTGCAGTACAAACATTTGGTTTGATCTAAGTGAAAATAAGTTGACATCTACAGGACATGCAATAAAACAAAATCTGCCATTTTTTACATTTTATTTTTCCCCCCTGTATGTTACATTCAGCTTTACATGGTGATATTGCTGCAACTCCTAGTTCTGTCGATACTCATTGTGCTTTTAGACAACCTCATATCACTCAGTGCCTGCTCTCATGTAAATACAACAAATCTGTCTCATATGCCATGGAAATATGCAAACAAAGATTCTATTATTCCTACTCTCTTATACTTTAACTATACTTTTGTCTATTTTTTGTCTATTTTTTTATTACTGCCTAACTTATGCTTTTTTTTTTTCTATTTTTTATTTTCTGCATATTACATGTGAGTTTATGTGCAATTATATGTCTTGCTACTGAAACACTGCAATTTCCCTTTGGGATCAATAAAGTTCTTTCTTGCTTGCTTTCTTGCTTTCTGTCTGTGTCTGTAGTTCTACATTAAAAGGTACAGATCTCTGTCGAGGATGTGTTTAGTTTCACTTAGAAAATCACCAAAAACTGTGTTTTGACTAAAACTGAAACTTTAACTAAAAACTAAAAACCTTGCACAATACTGTCCATTGAACAATCAAAGGCACCTCATCAAGCCTTATCAATAACCGTAAGTGCAGAAGCAGAACTTAAAACAGTAATGCAATGCAGTGTTAGCAGAACTTGAAAGTACAAATAATCCCTGATGAATCTGCCAATTTGTCCAACTGCACATTTCTGAAGTTTTAACCTGATTTGATCTCGTAATCATGTCCAGCTGTAGCCGAGGGCTGAGATGAGTCCATTCATTTTGGTCTGCAGGTGCGTTCAATAGCACACACGCAAACTTGGCTTTTATCTTTGTCCGTGTGGAAGGTCACATGATAAATGCAATAGAGGACAATCAAATGTTTATTCTCGTCTGCCTCGCACAAAACACCCCGTGTTAACTACACCTCTCGCTCTGGCCACTGCGTACTACCTTTCAGCCAGTAAACAACCGCGCCACACTAAGGCAGCCAGATTCAACAGTGGGCCTGAGTCCTGAGTGGTTACATTTCTGGAAAATTCACTCCTGCTTTTTAGAGGAAATAGGCCTCATGCCTGCATGACAAGATAATGGATGCTTCACCAGTCCTGAAATCCCAAAATCAAATTAACACCAGGCTTTGTTTTTCTCTCGGCTCGAATGAAAGCCAGTTTGGCAGCACAGCGATTCTAGAGAAGACGCACGGGGGAAGTGGGGAGAAGCCGCACTTGGACTTCTGTCTTGCAGGCATACGACTCATCCGATTTGTAAAAAGACGCGTGGGGGTGCATTAACAGCTGCTCAATAGACCAGCACACATTCAGCCCTGCAACAGGCACACAGCTCAGACCATTAACAACAAGGAGGAGGAGGAGGAGGAGGAGGAATCATTTAATAAAATCTGCAAAAAAGGGTCTGAAAGAAGTACCGCAGTGACTCGGTGAGGCTCCCCCAAATAACTGTGCACTTGAATAACCCTAAGATTTGCATATGTAATGAAGCTGAAATGACTCATGCCAGTAGGCCCTTTTTTTCATGTGCTCTCATAGAAGGT